GCTGAAAGCCCCCAATAATCATTCCATTCTTGTTCTCTCCAATTCTCATCTCAACAGGTTATGGGCCCCGCCCTAAACTGAACAGTCTCTCGATATCTGTCTTACCCCCGCGTATCAGTCTTATCGATCAGCCAGCACATCGCTACGTCATAATCCTCATTATCCAGCATGTCTGACGCTACCACCTCCGCTTATCGCATCCTTGCCGGGTCCACCGACTATCCCACATGGGCTGTCAAGCTCACCGACATCTTGACAGATCTTCAGCTCGATGACTATCCGAAGGGTCGTATTCTCAAGCCTGGCGCCGCAGCGCCTGTCGTCGTCGTTTCGCCTCCAGCAGGCACCGGCACAGCCTCCGCCCAGCAAACAGCTGCAGCCGCGCCCGCGGCACCTGCTTCCACCAGCACACAGACTGTCGCTGAGTGGGAACGCAAGGACCGCCAGGCCCTGTCAGCCATCCGACTTCGCGTATCAGACGGCCCGCTCGTCTATATCACCAACTGCACCACCTCAAAGGATGCGTGGGACACGTTGGAGAAGATGTACCGACCGCGCGGTGCATTCGCTGTCGTTCTCCTGCGCCGGAAACTCTTGCATCTCCAGTGCCCGGAGGGCAGTGACATCGAAGAACACATTCGGAAATTAACAGCACTCCGCACACAAATCCAAGCCCTCGGCTCTAAATTTGAAGAGGATGAGTTCTCTACGGCCCTCCTGACTTCCCTCCCCGAGTCCTGGAATCCATTTATCCAGACTGTCGACACCTCTTCCTTCACCGACTCTGCCCCGATCATCGCGCGCATCCTCGAGCAGGATCGCCAAAAGAACGCCAAGCCCAACTCAGATGCTGTCGCGCTACCCGCCAAACCCTTCAAGCCCAACAAGTCCCGCGCGGACATCGTTTGCTATGGGTGTGGCCGACGCGGACACATGGTTGGCGATTGTCGGGACACGAAGAAGGGCAAGAAGTTCACGGAGGAGCAGAAGCGCCAGAATTACCAGCGGTCCCTGGGAAACGGCAACGGCCAGTCGGGCCGTGCTCACGTCCACGGAGGTGACATCATCTCCTGACGAAACGGCTAACTATGCCTTCACTGCCGCCCCGTCTCTTACCACCGGCCTGGATGTATGGCTCGCTGATAGCGGCGCCACTAAACACATAGCCCGCAATAAATCTATCTTTTCCTCGTATACGGAGACCCCCGGCCAGTCTGTCACCGGCTTCGGCGCGATGCCAAGCCCCGGTATCGGCAACGCCGAGATCGCTTCACACGTAGGCAACAACGCCTACGCGCTCACGCTCAAGAACACATTGCATGTCCCCGACGCGCCATACAACCTCATCTCTATCGGTTGTCTCACGGCTGGCGGATGCTCTGTCGAATTCTCTGGCGACACGATGAAAGTCTTCGCACCTGGCTCCAAACGCGAAATCATGCGCGGCACGCCGCACCGGTAACCTATACAAAGTCCGCATCACGCGATCATCACGGACGCCGGCGCCACCCGCATCACCTCCCTCTATCGCACTCCCATCCGTCTCTCCTCCGTCTCACTCCTGGGACAAATGGCACCGTATCTTCGGCCACATGCAACATAAGTCAGTCAAGTTGCTCTATGACAAAGACATGGTCACCGGTATGAAGGTCGACGCGTCTAGCACGCCGACTTCCCACTGCGACATCTGCGTCAAAGCCAAGTCTCACGTCATGCCATTCCCTGCGAAATCTGACACAAAATACACGGAGATTGGTGAAATGACCTTTACCGACGTCTGGGGTCCATCCCAAATCACTGGGATTGACGGCTCCCGCTACTATGTCTCGTTCACAGACGCTGCAACGCGCCGCACACTTGTATACTTCATGAAACAGAAGTCTGAAGTCAAGACTAAAATGCGGGACTATGATCAGTACATCCAGACGCAAACGGGAAAACGCGTCAAATGCTATCGCTGCGACAATGGGGGAGAATATGTCAATCAGGACGTCAAAGACCTCCTCGCCGAGCGTGGAATTCGTCTCCAGCTCACGGCTCCCTACTCCCCGTCCCAAAACGGGCGTCGCCGAGCGCCTCAACCGGACTCTGATCGAGCATGCCCGTGCCATGCTAGCTGCGCACAATCTCCCACTCTTCCTGTGGCCCGAGGCCGTTGCGTACGCCGCTTACCTGAAGAACCGGTCGCCGATAGGGTTGAGCACGGGTCCGGGTCCGGGTCTCAGAAGGTCGACCCTGACCCTGACCCTGACTAACCCTGACCCTTCCGGGTACGGGTCCAACCGGGTCCGGGTTGACCCACGGGTTGGAGACATGGAAGTAGAAGATGTATTTGGGATAATAATTTCAATATAAGATACATTTTGATGTATGATATTGGCTCAGATATAGCATATGGAGCCTATTCCTCAATATTTCAAGCATATTTAATACAGTTCACTCATATGTCACATGTCACATGAGTGACATAAGTGACATATGATTTTTTTTTTGTCTCTTAAAAACTCACAAAAATCAAGTTTAGATAGGGAATTGTTAAATCACAACAGCTCATTGGACCCTCCGGGTTGACCCTGAAAGGGTCCGGGTTTGGCCGGGTTTAGAAATTGCCATACCCTGACCCTGACCCTGACAGACCCTACCCTGAAACCCTGCGGGTTGACCCTGACCCGTGCTCTACCCTAGTCGCCGACCGCCGCTCTCACCGAATTCATCACGCCGGACGAGGCTTTCTGGAAGCGCAAGCCCGACGTCTCCGCTCTCCCGGAGTTCGGCACACCTTGTGAAGTCCTCAAACAAGGTGCCGCTGTCTCCGGCAAGCTCCCTGTCAAGACACGGCCATTCGTCTTCACCGGCCTGTCCGACGAGTCAACGGCCTGGCGCTACTACAACCCCGAAACTCGTTCTATTCAAACTACTCGCAACATCAGCTTTGCTCCGGACACTTCAACAGCTCCACTAACCTCCTCCACCATCACCAAGCCTGCGTCGATGCCGCTCGAGGGGGAGAATGAGCCTGTCGCGCAGCCATCGCCGCCGGCCCCGGTCGATCAGCCCGCCGATCCGAGCATCGCCACCCCCACACCCGTCATTCCCATGTCTCGGCAACCGCTTCCCCGGTCCGCAAAGACCACGCTGGACTACCGGCTGCTGAACAACCCGGATGCTCGCTCGCCCAAGAAGCCTGACGCGTGGAAGCACCGCGTAGCTTCCCATGACGCGCCGAACGTCGCGCTCGCTGCTCGTGTCGATCCCCTTGCGGATCCACTCACTGTTGCTGAGGCACAAGCGCGCGCTGACTGGCCGGAATGGCAGCAGGCTATGGAGGAGGAGATCAACCAGCTGCAAACGCTGGGCACCTACACCATGCAAGATCTTCCCGCCGGCCGCTCCACTGTCGCATGCAAATGGGTTTTTCGCGTCAAACGAGACGACAACGGCAACATCATCCGCTACAAGGCGCGACTCGTTGCTAAGGGTTTCTCTCAAATCCCTGGGGTGGATTTTGATGAGACCTTTGCGCCGGTTGTCCGGATCGAAACCATCCGGCTCCTACTCGCCCTCGCGGCACGCTACAATCTCCAAGTCCACGTTGTCGACGTTGTTGGTGCTTACCTCAACGGCCAACTGGACGAAGAGATCTACATGCAACAACCCCCGCTCTTCGAAGATGGAACGGCACGCGTCTGCCGCCTCCTCCGCACGCTCTATGGGCTTAAACAGTCCGGACGCGTGTGGAACATTCAACTCAACGCGTCATTCATCAAACTTGGCTACACGCGGCTCATCTCCGACCAATGCGTCTACATCCGCCGCGACGGCAACGACATCGCCATCATAGCCGTCCACGTTGACGACATGACGATTCTCGCATCGTCAGACGCGCTCATGGCCCGTGTCGAAGCCGAACTCGATGCTGAGTTCACCATCAAGAAGCTGGGGGAGATCCGCCAACTTCTTGGCATGGAAATCACGCGCACTCCGGAGTCGATCCGCCTCACGCAAACCCAGTACATCACTCGCATCCTGGAGAAGTACCAGATGCACAACGCCAACACAGTCGCCACTCCGATTGACCCCAGCGTCAAGCTCACACGGCTCCCTGACGACAAATCTTACCCCGACGTCAAACTGGTCTACCAAAACATGATCGGCTCGTTGCTATACGCGGCCATCACCACCCGACCCGACATCTCCTTTGCCGTCCAGTCGCTCAGCCAGTTCAACACTAACCCTGGCCCCGAGCACCTTACGGCCGCCAAGCGTGTCTTCCGCTACCTCAAGGGCACACTCAACCTCGGAATTGAGTACAAGTCGGACCATCCGGTCACCGCGCTTGAACTTTTCTCTGATGCTGATTGGGGCAGTGACACTGACACCCGCAGATCCATCACCGGCTACGTCTCCACGTTCGCTGGGGGAGCTGTAACCTGGAACTCCAGGAAGCAGGCCACCGTCGCTCTCTCGAGCATGGAGGCCGAGTACATGGCTCTCGCAAGCGCAACTCGCGAAGCTCTCTGGCTCCGCACCCTCTTCTCTGAACTCGGGCTCGACACATCCCTTCCCACGCACATCTCTGTCGACAACCAGGGCACCATTCTCTTCGCCGAGAACTCCGGTTTCCACGCCCGCTCCAAACACATCGACATCCGTTTCCACTTCATCCGAGAGACTATCGCCTCTAACAAGGTCTCAGTTTCCCACGTGCCAACGGACGAGAACACCGCGGACATTTTTACAAAGGGCTTATCTCGAGTCAAGCACGAACATTTCCTCCCGCTTCTCGGGATGTATCGCGCTTGAGGGGGAGTGTTGAGGATATGCCCGGCCGGCCGGCCGGACCATCCACGGTCACATGACCTCGGACTGACTCGCCTCCGACGCGGCTCAGTCAGCACTTAGCAAGACTTGTAGATAGTTATGGAACATTCTAGTTACTCTCACTTGTAGTATATATACTGGGCTGAAAGCCCCCAATAATCATTCCATTCTTGTTCTCTCCAATTCTCATCTCAACACTCATCTTCCGTCAAGACTCGCTTTCCGACCACGACCTCCTAAGGCTCGCGAAAGTCTGTCGCCTGTTTAATGGGGTCGCTATCCATGCTGCTCGACGTTTGGCGGGTATATCTCTCGCAGACCAAGAGCTGACCATCTCTCCATTCCTTCTCCGCATATTCTACCTTTCCTTCGTTGGCTTGACCGCTCCCCGAATCCGCATCGACTTGAAACCGCCGGCGGAGACCATACAACAAAACCTGCGTTTGCTCCACAGCCTCATAAAAAAGTCGCCCGGCCTCGAGCGAATTGACATCGACTTCGGTTGCGATCTGTTTGGCGCTCTGTTGGACAACCCCGATACGAAAGTTAATGCCAAAACACTTCTTGCGCAGTGCACTTCGGTCATCGCGATTTCCCTCCGAAAAACTCGAAAAATGCCGCAAATGGATCGAGTTGTGGTTTTTACCCCGATGGATGCATTTAGCTGTGATCCGGAATCCGTGTCGTCGTGGAACCTTCATCTTCATGCTTCACAATTTTCATCACCCGACGCAGTGTCGCCCTCGGACTCATTCTACCGCTCGTTTCTTTCTCAGCGGCTGGGGAACGGCGGCAGCACGAAGGCGAGACTATATGGTGGACAACAGACTTATGTCTCAGGCCTGAAGAAGATGAATTCGATCTGCATCGAACTCCGAGTCAACGCTCGCAGTCCCATTGGCGCATATATCCCCTTTGTCATCTTCAATCGAGCGAGCATCTCCAGTGTCTCTTTGTTTGCTCCCGGATCAAAATCGCTCCAAGATGATGGCACTATGATGGCAATTCTGAGCAATGTCTACCTCCCGGGCCTTCGAAGCCTCACCATCTTTTTCAACTTCGCTCATATGGTCCTACTCCGCGAGTTCCTTGCCCGCCACCCACTCATACGCACCCTCATGTTGTCTGACTGTGGTATCTCTTCCGAATTCCAAGGCGTCCGTTTTGCGACCCCCGTGTTCCCGTCTCTCTCCCATCCTGGGATCACCAAAATAACAATATCATGTTATGGCGATCGGGACTATATGCCTACACTGCTCTCTGACCTGAAGGACTCCCCCAAGTTGGCGGAGCTCGACTACTCCCTCACAAATCGGCCTTCCAAAAGTCTCTTGCAGCAGTTGGTCAAGGACCTCAAGATCATCGCAGGTCTTCCTCGGCCAGTGACGTTGACCCTGTGTTCTCGGACCCAAAGGAACCCATTTGTGCCGTCGAAGGGTGTAAAAAGACCGTATTGGTATACCCATAAACAAGTGCGAGCTGTCGCGCGGTCGTTGCATCCCATTGACAAACTTTGCATTACTGTGAACTCGGTGCAGGAGGCGCGAAGGATATTGTCTTTCGCTGAATACCTCCCCGCGCTAACCTCACTCCGATTTATTGTTTACCGACCCGATCCAATGTTGAAGCTGGCGCCGCCCTCAGATGATGAAGCCGAGGTCATATCACGTGACGACGCCCCAGTCTTTGCGGAAGAGTTCAGAACTAGGTTGGGTGGGGGAGTGCTTGTTGACGTGGATATTTACTGAGCCGGTTGCACAACTGATGCGGCTCTCAATGGTTGTACGAAGTTGGAGATACAAGAAAAGAAGAATAGTGATACAAAAAGCATTAGTAGTAGACGTATTTCCTCAGATCTTTTTTTTGGACTCAGTCTTACACTTCGACCAAAATCCCACCAAGGCTGGACCTTGCCTGAACCTTCCCTCTCCCCGTCCCTTCTCGAGACCATCCTACCTTAGCATTAACGACGCCCCTGCGCACCCTCTCCACACCACCAACACGCTTTCGGTCCTCGCCCTTGGGGTCTTTGGCTCCACTGTCAATCTTGATATCGACATTTGCTAGCGACGTCGTAGCTTCAATACTGCCCTCATAGGTTTCCGGAAGCCCGACAAACACCTTTGCAAGAGCGGTAGTGGCCTCAAGGTTGAGTTCGGCATCGATAGGGAGTGCGAGAATGGGCAACTCGACCTGCCCATGGGCTGTGTGTGCGCTGACATCGAAGCTGCCGGGAGAGCTCTCGGAAGATGAGGCTAAGCTGATGTTGGCTTCAATAGCACTATTGGCCGCTCCTCAGTCCCCAACAGAAACCAGTGAAAGCAGAAGAAACGCACGCGTTAGTAGTGACCAGCTTGATGTTGCCAGGTCGTTCGTTACTACCATCGGTGACGAGGTTGATGTCCACGTTGATGGGGGCGTTTGAGGTGGTAAGGCTAAGCGAATCGGTGACATTGTATGTACCCTCAATGCGACCCAGGGCTGTAGTCAGCGTAGCATTGTTGGATTTGAGGGTCTGTCAATGTCAGATTAGAGGGCGAAGAAAAGGCACCATTGGACAAAAAGAACTTGCCTCGATGTCGATCGCTGCAAGTGATGTACGTAATGTCGCAACATCGGCGGTCAGTTCCTGCATCGAGAATTCGGAATGGATACTAATAGTTAGAATAATAATGACAGACCTTAGCAGTTATTCCCGCTAAAGCGGACTTGAGCTCCAATGCTTTAAAGTGCACTTCTTTCATGCTTCCAGCGAAGGTTTGCGAGTATACCTCCAAGTCGGTCTCGAACTTCTCGATGTCCAGCACCTTGCCATCCTTGGCAGCAGGGAAAGTAACGGTAATTTGGAAACGGAGCTCTGTGGAGCCATGGTGGTGGTCATGGTCATCTTCCCAGTCTTCGTCTTCCCATTTGGTCTACCAGCGTTGAATAAATGGCAAATGAAGAAAAATGGGCGATAACTCACAAGGATGCCAACACCGTTCTGTTTATTTCCATCCGTCTTGGACAACAAACACACCTTTGCTGCCTCGAGATGTGCGGTATGCCAGTATTGCGCTGTTACAGCCACATTGACATTATCGCCACTATCAGTCCCTTGGACGTAGTCGATCGCGCCTGCAGCAAAAAGCCCATGGTGCTTGCCGTGCCGATGGATGATGCTTCGCGTGGCAAGAAAGAGGGCCGCAGATTCGACGGGGAGATTGAATGATGCTGAGGCTGAGTGTGGATAATGGGCATCGATAACTGAGAATGCCTCAGGTGTAGACTCGCTCCATGTTGCGCATTTTTCGACTTGGGTCTCAGGCGGAATAGGCCATTTGTCTTCCTATCGCCACATTGAGAATACAGGAGCAAAACGAGGAAAAAAACATACCGGGTCATCAAAAGAACGGGAATATTGTCCTGTGTGGTGTGTGGACCCGTACTTGTGGCCGACCCAGTGCACCAAGGCAATCAAGCCGACGATCTTGAGGAATATCCCGGCGCGTCTGCGTTTCTGGCGTTTGTGCTGGTGGTGCAAAGCTTCGGCGAGCTCAGCATGCGTCACGTAGGCGGGAAGGCCTTGGTTGGTATTGTCGGTTGTCTTTTCGTCCATGAGAAACGGAGGGAAGTGAGGAGGGAAAGGCGCTCAAGCTTGATCTTTATAACAAGACGGGCTGCGCCGCAGAGATGGATTTGAGCGAAAGTCTGACGGGGATGACGCGTACGCCGTGCGAGGATCCAGGTGACAAAACTTTCCGCCGGTATCGAAAAACATGAATTGGCAAAGCAACGGGAACGGGAAGGTGGCATGAGGGGTTGCTAAAAAATAGCCCCCCAACTACAGGATTAGTTTCTAGATGCACATTAGAGAGAATAAAAGAGCTAGACGACATTCACTTGGAGCACACGTACCCACATGCCGAATCCCGTTGCGCAGTTTTACCGCAGTCTCCTTGATTCCAAACTGAATTCGGGGCGTCAGTTGACGAAAAACTGGGAATGCCAAAACAGAGTGGGCCCCGAATTGTAATTCGCCATTGGGGTTTGACAGTCAAAGTCTGGGATGGGAGAGAATTGTGACTTGTTCACGTGCATTGACAGAGTTTGCGAGATTCAATGAAGTCGATGGTGGTTGACCAGGTTGTACTCTCACTCATTGTGCTGTATCGGATAGTTCTGACATGTACCAGTTGAGCTTCGTCTCGGAGCTGTAGATCATGATAACTTGAACTTCCGCGGGATCGAATGAATATTCAAGTTTCGGTTGTGGGCCACAACTGTCCTTGTTATATAACTCGAGAGTGACACTGTAGTAAACTATGCTATATTAATAACAGGCGCGGTGCAAGCCCTTAAACTTGCAAGGCGAGAGAATGCAGTCTTTCAAGGTTGCGCCGCTAAAATTCGATAGGGAGAGTAATAGTGCAGTTGAAGAGGCTTGTTGAGTACTTCGATGCTGTACGATAGAAGGTGCGGTTTACAGAGCAGATAGGTATAAGCGCGTCCCAGCATATGGTACTTGGGACTTCTTAATAGTGGTGCATCAGCTTGAAAAGTCACGGTCAGGGAACATTATAGCAAGGCGCAGCAACATTTTGCGCTGCAAGAGTGCACAGTAGCTCGGCTTCATGGAATGGTTCGGAGGTTGCATGAATATAGGCTGTCTTTCCCGAAATGGACTGGGCAGCGGAAGTTCGACTATACTAGTGGGCGTGATTGGTTCCAATGAGCCTGATTGAACAGCCAAGGGATGCGGGGCTGTTGGCGATGGTGGCGGGAATGGGATTTCTAAAGCGGCTGCGAGCATCGATACTGGTGGAGAAGGTGGTAGTGAAGTGTGCGGAGAGGCGCCAGTGCGAGACAGTGACGGAGAGGCATCTTGCGAGGCACAAGCTTGCCAGGATGTTGCTTCAGTTTCAGCTGTGCCCGGGCATATTGATTGGGGAGGAGATTTCGGATCACTTGGTTGTTGAGAGAAGGAATGAGCTTTATGCAGGTGGCGACGTAGAGCGTAAGGAGCGATATATTGACGTCCGCATGTTTCAACAGGGCAAGCATAAGCTACAAGTATGGCGTTGGGCAATTCGAATATTGAATTAGTAGTGCGTACGACGCTCGCCTGTATGTGTCCGCTCGTGGCGCAATCTATCCTTCGTGAACTTTCTGCACAATTGGCATTGATAGTATCCGCTTCGAGTGCTGTTTTCCGGAGCCGACATTGACCGCATTGCAGACAGCTCATCTTTGTGGTAGACCTTTGGGAGTAGAGAGCTAAGAGGACTCGTTGCTTCATGTCTAGCGCCGTCAACCGGTCGTATAGCCTCGCAATCAACACCGTCTGTTTCGATCTAGAGAATGAGCAGTCATGCGCGAACCCAACAGTGACTGTGCAGCTAACATCAGCAAGCCTACATGTGCCAGAATTCGGATTCGGATTTTGAGCATCTGTGCTAGCTGCGCATTGAGAGAAGAGGGGGTTTATGTCCAAGGGCGTAAGATTTCGAGAGTGTGCATGGTTGTTCATCGCTACACTCATAGTTTTGGGTGTGGTCACATGTGACGATCGCAATTTTTTACACCTCCCTCCTCCGCCATGTCGACCAGCGGGCTGAAGGCAATCGCCCCCGTTCCCACCGCGGCCGACTTCCTTGACATCGTACTCTCCAAGACCCAGCGGAAGACACCCACGGTGCGCTGCAAGTGTAATAAAAAAGCCTCGTTTCATGTAGCTCGCTCAGGTCATCCACAAAAACTTCAAGATCAGCCGCATCCGCAACTTCTACATGCGCAAAGTGAAGTTTACACAAGACTCCTTCGATGAGAAACTCAGCGCCATCCTGGACGACTTTCCGATGCTGGACGACATCCACCCGTTCCTTGCCCAACTCATGAACGTTTTGTACGACAAAAACCACTACAAACTTGCGCTGGGCCAGCTCAGGACGGCGCGGCATCTCATCGACCAGGTTGCCAAAGACTATGTTCGGCTGCTCAAGTTTGGAGACAGTTTGTATCGGTGTAAGCAGCTGAAGCGGGCTGCTCTTGGTCGGTGCGCTATATCGTTGCTTCCGTTTCGTTTATTTTGAGGCTTAACTGTGTGCAGAATGGCTACCGTCATGCGCCGGCAGAAAGACCCGCTTGCCTATCTGGAGCAGGTCCGCCAACACATCTCCCGTCTCCCCGCAATCGACCCAAACACCCGAACCCTCCTCATTTGCGGCTACCCCAACGTCGGAAAATCTTCGTTCATCAACAAGGTCACCAGGGCCGACGTTGATGTTCAGCCCTACGCATTTACTACAAAGTCGCTTTTCGTCGGCCATCTCGACTACAAGTACCTGCGATGGCAAGTTATCGATACTCCTGGAATCCTCGACCACCCGCTTGAAGAGATGAACACCATCGAAATGCAGAGCATAACCGCACTAGCGCATCTCAAGAGTTGTGTGCTCTATTTCATGGACCTCTCAGAACAATGCGGCTATACCGTTGAGGCCCAATGCAAGCTCTTCCACTCTATCAAGCCCCTCTTCGCAAACAAGCCTACAATGCTTGTTATCAACAAAATCGATGTCATGCGTCTCGAGGACATTCCAGCCGAATCGCGGGCCCTTGTTCAGGAAATCATCGACTCTGAAGACGTTAAATGTGTACAGGTGTCGTGTTACTCGGATGAGGGTGTGATGGACCTCAAAACGCAGGCCTGTGATGCCCTTCTGGCCCACCGGGTGGATAACAAAGTGAAGGGTGCTAAAATCAATTCCGTCATGAACCGCATCCACGTCGCGCAGCCCAAACCGCGCGATGATCTTGTACGAGCGCCATTCATTCCTGATGTCGTCAAAGATCGGAAAAAATACGACAAGAACGACCCAGAAAGACGAACACTTCTGAGGGATGTGGAGTTGGCTGAGGGTGGTGCTGGTGTTTTCAATATCAACCTCAAGGGTGCGTTTGTTACCTTTTTTTTCTGTCGCTCTCACTCATATTCATCCCTAGAAAATTACCTCCTTGCGAACCCGGAGTGGAAGAACGACATTATGCCTGAAATCATGGACGGCAAGAACATCGCGGACTTCATCGACCCCGATATTCTCGAGAAACTCGAAGCCTTGGAGCGAGAGGAAGAGAAGCTTGAGGCAGAGGGCTTCTATGATTCGGAAGAAGATATGGAGGAGTCCGAGGACGAGCGGGAGCGGGTGGCTGCACGGATTGCGCTTTCCCACAAAATCAAATCACAGAGCCTGAAGAAGAGCAAAAAGAACCAGGCGCGCATGCCGCGGTCGACCGCCGCTGGGCGATCAACGCTTTCAGAGATGACAAAGCAGCTGGAGGATGCGGGGCTGGATCCAAGCAAAATTGTCCAGCGGGCGGAGAGACTCAAAGCCCAGGTCGGCTCCAAACGGAAACGGGACGACGACAACGGCAGCGATGTAGACATGGAGGGCGGGGGGAGGCGCGGACGGGTGGATGGATGTCGATGATGACGGTGATGTCGATATGGGAGGAGATGATACGCCTTCAAAGAGACTGAAAACCAACTCGGGTGGCGTTGCGAAACGACACCCAAGGGCGAATCGGTCCCTGGCTGGAATGCGCGACCAAAGCGTCTGTATTGCCATCCGTTTTTTTTCGGTTTGCTCACAATTTTGCAGCAAGCCGCAAGGGCCACGAAACTACGAAACCTGGGCCAACGACCCCGGAATATGCATGCCCGCGCCGGAGAAGGCGACCGTCATATCCCGACCAAAATGGTATGTCGTTTGTTTGGGCTGTTCTGTAGCAGCATTTGCTCATTGTCGGGTCTTAGCCAAAACACATGTTTGCTGGAAAGCGGAAAGCAGGCAAGACACAACGGCGGTGATATATATGTTTACGGTTTTGTACCATGCTGTATTTCGTTTTTCTGTGGCACCACACTCGACTACATGGTCATCATTTCACGCGTGTGGTTCCCTTGGCAGGACCAGTTTTTAATGCATTCCCAGTGGTTTCTGTCAGTCAACAAAGGTTTAATTCAGAGATCAAGACCAGTTTAAGGGTCAGCAGTGGGATGTACGCGTTTCTCTTAAGGTGGAATCCTTTGAGACCGGCGTATTGGTACAGGTGCAATCAGGTTATAGGTGGTTTACTACTGTTCAGGTCTATGATAATGGTAGCAGCTCATACATCAGGAAAGATCATATTTGCTGAAAGTGAATAATCAATGATAATTAAGTATACCAAATCCAACTCAAATTAAAGTATGAATATCCAGAAATCCGGGCGGAATTGGTTTGCTAGGGAATTTTTGTGTAGAAGCTTTCAACTCGGCTTGGGTCCAATTAGCTAAATGCTTTGCTGCATCCGAAAAAAATGAGGAGCTCATCCTCAGCGCCATTGTCGCGTTGCATGTAGCGCCGCGCCGGGGCCTGAAGCGCACAACATGCAGCTGCATGTGACCTGCGCTACTCTGGACCCTTGCAAGTTTGTGGTCCCATAGCGGATCCTCAGTGATCATGTGGGGTCGGATATCCTCTTCTGGATAAACATCCATTGTCGGTTTCATGGCAGAGATATCAAAGACTGTGACGGTACAACGGCGCCAGTCGTTCACCGAACGTCGGCCAGTTTTGAAGAATATTTCTAGCCGACGCTCTTGGTATAACTGATGCACGATTGCGCGCACCACATTCCACGACCCGGAGGACAACATCTGGCGTCGTCCTGGGCCATTATGTAATTGACGGAAAGTGAATAGTAGCACTCACTTATACGTTGACTTCGGAACTGCGGGCAAAAAACCCGATGATGGCCCTCATTCCAGTCATTGACCTGGCACGATGTAGAGCAGTACAGCATAGACTGGCAGCGGGTACAACGCCGCAGGCGAGTCTTGGGTATCATCAATTGGCACTGTCTGCTGCTTTAAACCGAAACCATCCGACCGGGCCTGACGACTCACCTTGGTGTTGTCGCATGCCTTCACAGCGTGTTTGACCGGGTCTGTGAGACGCAAGGCAGACAAAAAGAGCTTGCCACAATCCGCGTAGTCTTGAATAACATCTGATAAATCCGGATAGCGAACCGCACTGATCGAGGACGCCCCAAGTTGACCATGTAGGATACGCAGGACGGGAGTGTAGATATTGAAAGGAAGTATAATCTCGCGGACGAAGGCCTTCAGATAATGCACAGTATCACTAGGCAGCCGACGTTGTCCAAGGCGGATGATGGATCGCAAAAGGCCATGCCGAAGCGCAGATCGCATGTCCGCTTCATCGAACACGGAGAGCATTTCTGAAAGAGCGAATATGACTGACATGACTGGTTCCGAGGACATTTCTTGATCTCGTTCCGCCTCATCTTCTGTCGCTGCCAGTATGCACAGCGCTTGGGTGAGTATTTTGATAATTTTGCGAAAGCGCAAGGCACTGTACATTGCAGTCAGACTTGGGGCTTGATCGAGGTGACCAAAGTCTTCCAGCCAGCTCATACGAGAGATTATGTTTAGCGTGAAGTGGAAGTGATCATTCATTTCTTCACTCCCAGACCGCAAACTGTTGATGCAGAGATCGATATTTTCCACCAGAAACTCTGCAACGTCATCGAAGGAGGCCCCCAGAGCAGCGATGATAGATTCGGCGTCTAGCTTGTCGAACTGATCGAGAATGACGCTGGGTAGCATGCCTAGGTTTGTCCTGCGGGTGTCGCCGTCCTCGAGTTCCATGATAAGTTCCCAGATTTTGAAGAAGACAAAAAGAATAGTCGGGCGTTTGGTCGAATGAAACAGTTCTGAGAAGTCGTTGCTATTCCGGATAGCCGCTGCCAATTTGACGTGATAAGTGAAGTCAAGGAAGTTGAGCAGTGGTTCTTGTTGCTTGAGATTGCGGAAGCCAGGTGTCGGTGCCACATAGTCGTGGAACTCCAGTACGAATTGGATCCATTCAAAGATCCGTAGCCAGAGAGGAACCTCTGTTCCCGTAGGCAATGAGTCCAAAACTCGAGCTTGGAAAACACCATTCATCGCGATGTAAGCAGCCACGATATGGGCCTGGTTTTGCGCGGATGGCTGATCGACCTGAGATGCAGTTGGAATCCTCGCAGGATTTAAAAGATGATAAAATGCTGGTAGAAAGTGCCTGGAATAGTCGCGCATGGGGGTTTCGAGCGCCATGAGGGCAACGAGTGACACAAATCCATCCGGGTCCTCGCAATCGCAGGCTTGACGGGCTATCTCCTGAGGTTGCGCGGAGTCAGATGGCCAAGAATGTGCTGAATATCATACCTCCAAAGCAGCAGGCAGCCGGTTCAAGCATTCCAGGCGCAAGTCGGGATGCATGGGCTTGGTTGACTGGAAGCGGCCGTGACTGATCGGAATGGTCACAATCATTTTTTGTTCTCAGCCCTCATGCCAAACAAAAAATCTGGTTCCGCCTCTTACGCATGGGGCTAGGAAACACTCTGCTATAAGAAAGACCGTACTTATCTCAGTAGGCAACCTTTGACACCTGATAGGAAATCCAACGCTCGCAACTTGAAATTGCTTCAACTTGAACTTGAAGTTTTAACCCTCTGAACTGAGATAGCTTGGTCCTACCGCTTATGAATCTCTGGTGCGCAAACTTCATACCCTCTGTCGTCTATCTTCGACTCTTTCGATCTACGGGAACTCTCGTATGAAGGCATTTATCGCTGTTTAATCGAATGTTGGGATCAAAGTTGGAAGTCGGAAGTCTGAACTTTTGTGTGACATGCAGGGCAGGTGTAGTTGGTCCTCGGAACTTGAAGGCCATACAAATAGAAGCCTGACTATGATTTGTTTTTGTGCTTATATCCAGTTTTGACCATATTTGGACTGATGTCTGGAATTTCAATTATTTTAAATTTTTAATTATGTTGGCTGAGTGTACCAGTGCTAAGGTATTCGCCATCCATCATGTGTAAACGTCACATGATATTTCCTTTCTAAGATATTCTCTTTCTGTAGCCACAAATCCTCCATGAATTTTCAGATCTAGCTCCCAGCTGGGACTCAAATATATTCCCTTCACCCCTGCCAAATTTCTAAGGAATTGATACAATTTTGACCAAGTTCTATTATCATAGGGTAGATGTTACTATGATGTGACGATATATCAGGTTTTTAGAAAGTTATCTATTCTTGTCCCATAAGTGTATCAATTCACCTCAAATTCAGATATTTGAAGACTATGCAATTGTATCTAGCCACCTTGTAGTACAAATAGTAATCCATAAAAGATTGAGAAAGATTTAGCTACATTGACTTAGAAAGGAAATATCATGTGACGTTTACACATGATGGATGGCGAATACCTTATTTGACTCTGAACTGTATAAGTTTAATCAAATGGTTAACATTATACTTCTTAACAGCTTACTAAATATTGAATACAGATCACTAAGACCATTTTCAGCAAGGTCTTCTCAGCTATTAAAAAATTCCAACAGTCAATATTTAATTAAAAATATGACTACTGTACTATTTTGTTCAATTCAGCCAGATCACTGGTTTTTTATCAGCTCAAAAGTTGCCAAAAATCAAAATCAAAAATCCAGAAAAATATTATCAATGTTTCCAAAAAGTTGTCATAACTGTGACATGCCAAATTGATTGGAATGGTACACTATGGCCAAATTAGGAAGCTGTTAAAGTCTATAACAAAAATAAAAATAAAAATAACAATAACAATAAAAAATCATAGAATCCTACTTACAGCCACTTGTGACTTAGGTTCAGAGGCTTAATATTTATAATTTTATAGAAAATTCTCAAGACTCTTATACCTGTATATAAGCTATCACAAGGTTTAATAAGGAAAGAGGATATTTATCAAGCAACCAGGGCTAGGGCTTATCCTTACTTAATATGACTCAGATTCACGCCAAAAACATATGAGATAATCAGTAAACACATGATCAGTAGTCACATGGTATGTAACGGTAGACGTGACTAAGTCACGTAGCAGCATCTTAACTCTTTACTCCTCTCTTGTCATTCTGTCTCTTCTTGTGGCCCTGTCCCAACTGCCTGAGTACACACAACTACTCCCTCCCCACTATAGGCTACAGGTCATTAGTCAGATGAGGCACTGGCCGGCCTTACAGTACGGTACGGTGTACAGTGCGGTCCAAGATATGGTGGGTAAATCGGTCACATATCACAGCCTCGGCAATGCCAAGCATGCATTTTGGGCCAGATTGACTGTTTCCAGGTGGACACCAGCCACCAATTGCAAATCCATGGCACAGGGAGCTGGAACAGCGGCCCGGTGATCCCATCACCACATCAACCCGCACTTACGGATAAAATACGGACCATATAGTCAAATGTCGGAGCTCCACGGCATGGAGCTTTTGTCCGTCCGTACATCTGTATGCCATATGGCTATAGATACGGTGCCGAGCCCTATATAGATCCAGAATTTGTAAAGTGTAAGGATAATCCTGTAGGCCTGAGATCAATATGCTAGCATAGAGGAATCTAAAGAAGTGAATAATAGTTAGGGCAACCAACCCTGGAGGCCTGAGATCAAGGTCCTAGCAGGGGAGGATCCAAAGCGTGAACATTGGTAAGTGAATACAAATGAAACTGACCTAGCAGGGGAGGATCCAAAGAGAAGAAACTCTAAGGGTCCGCCTGCTAGGGAGCTGACTATATACTGCTTGTCCGTAGCTGCCGCTGTCAGGCACAGAAGGCTTGGGCGGCGTCGCAGGCGAGGTCCCAGGGTGACTGTCGGGAGGGCGTTGACGGATCGGTGATTGTGCGGGCGAGATGGAGGGCCGGACCGGAGTCGGAACCGGAATCGGACCGGAATCGGGCGCGTCTCCGGGCCGAAAGGGAGGTTCCCCTGACAGGGAGGATCCAAAGAAAAGAAACTTCAAAGGTTATCAGAGTAGTGGAGAATAGTATTACAGTTCATTGACTTACTGATAATTCAAGTATAATTGATTATATCTTATGTTTATTTTATTTTATTTTCTCTCTCTATTTTCTTCTGTCAAGGCCTAAATATGTCACAAATGTCAAATTATTTATTGTTTAAATCAGTTTTTGATCAGATGGCCATTTTATAGGTGGCCTATAAGTGATAGGCACTCAGTACCTACATATCTTTACAATAGCTGATTTATCAAGTTCAGAGTTCAGAGTTCAGAGTTCAGACTTTCCTCATATGGTCATGTGACTGGATTCACACATCAGAAGTTCACACTTTGGTCCAACTACCGACTTGCCACTTCAGACTTGCCTCCAACTTCTGACTTCAGAGTTTGATATTACATAAATGATGTGACTTTGACCTTTTGCATTAATTAAACAGCGAAAATACACCTCATACTCTCGTTTGAAACGAAGTCGCTGTTGAGTTGAGTGGAACTACTGTAGTATTTTACTCAATCCGAATGCCATTTTTGGCGTGACATCGCATACGAAATTCGCAATTCGTATGATGGCATCAAATTGCCTAATTAGGCAACTTTTAGGCGCCGCAGGCGTGGAAAATTGTAATAAATTACCATTTTGGGAAGGGATTTTCAAAGATTTGCTGTGACATACCAAAAAATTTCGCATGAATTGACAGGTGTGACATGTGACATGCGAATTGAGTAAAATACTACAGTAGTACTTCTGACGATGTTTACAGTCCGGGCATATTAATATACTGCTACCACGGCTTATGCGTGCTACTGGACTTGGAAGACGCAAACAAACCGAATAGATGCGCCGGCGCCCGTATGGGAGTCGCTGCTTGCGGCGCCACCGCACATCGGCAACTTATCCAAACAGTCCAACCGCTCCGCTCATAGGGTGCCAGTGCCAGTGCCAGTGCTATATATTACCAAGGCTTACTAGCCTTTCGATACCGTCGGGGACTCGGAAACAGTACGGAGTTGAATCTGAACCAAAAATATCCGTTAATTGGCATTCACGGTTGGAATTCCAGTACAGTATTGTATCAGTTATTTTGGTGAGTCCTCCGAGTCGGCTGTACTGGAACCTGATAAATCACTAGCGCAGAATATCACTTGAATAATGGCAACTTGAAGCGAGAGATGTATGATCTGCTCACGATCACAAGTAGGAGCGGGAGTCGCACGCTCAGGCTAATCTTGTTCGTACAATTCCGGATCCACGATTCCCGGTGCCATACTTGAACTGTTTGTCCATCTTACTTGCATCTTACAGGCAAAATGCCAACAAAAGGTAGCAATGTGGCTGCTCTTAGGGACGGCCTTCCGCGACGGCAGAGTTTCAGTGTCTGCTTGTGCTCTTCATATGCTCGGCAATCGACCTTTTAAAGCTCCGACCCCGTCCGACTCCGCCTCAACCTCCATTTCCGCAACAGTTCCGCGTGTCGGGTAAAGTGGGGATTTTTCTTGTTGCCGACACCGAGCGAAGCCGCGAGGAGAGATTAGCGGCACCTGGTGCGAGTCGTTTATTGGTGAGATCGCGTCTGGGCAACGTCTTGGGCAGGCTTGATGCACGATGAGTGCGTGCAACGATGTCAGCTTGCTACCGTGACCCCGGGATATGATCGGCCCGAGTGTTGATGGCGGCATAAATGTTGTTCAATTGTTGGCTCAATTGTCCCGTGCGTTTGTTTATCTCGCTTACCGGTGGCAGATGGGCAGATGGCGCCCACAGTTCTTGCCTTCCTGTGCAAGTTCTTCTTGCCTTGCTATCCCCTCGGGAATCGGTAATTCCTGGGACTTTGTTCGGCGCCACGTTGCACGGCGACTGGTTCGGAGCGCTCGGTCCGACGTACTGGACTTCATCTCCGGCCTTTCAGGAGGGATCCTGCGTTTCCCGAGCTAAGAAGCGGACCGCTTGGCGGCAGGGCTGAGGGCTCAAAGCAGGCGAGCAGAACTCATCCATCGGTCAGAAGGTGGGTGAAGTCACATCAGCTTCAAGTTGCTGAATACTTAGCTCAACTTGAACTCCTTTGATCGGCGGCAAGGTCCAACTCAACCTCGGGGCCCGAACCGCCATACCAGCCTGACTAGTGCGGGTGCAGAATGCTGTTGTCGAGCTCAGGCTCTTTGCCGACGGAACTCAGGCTCTTGCTGCACCGCAGCTGCAACTAATACATACAGTACTGATTATGAAGGCATAACCAGCATCAACAACTTGAATTACTAATTCAAGTAGTAGATCTACAACTGTGCTTTTTTATTTTGCTAACCAATGAGTCTGAGGATCAGACACCGCTGTACTAGATTTAAAGTAACCTAAGCCTGAGGTCTTGAACACCCGACCGAATACGTATTCGTGGAGCCTACACAGCGCAGCGAACGAAGTCCGTCCTGGAAACGGACTGAATTCCGAGTCACTGTGTGAATGAAAAAGAAGACCACAATCCGGTAGTTGCCAAGCAATCCTCAAAATGCCGAGGATTTAACCAATTCGAGCTCGTTGTGGTGACGTGTTTGCGTTGAAAGTTGACCCACTTGAAGCAAAAAAAACTGAGATTATTCGACAAACAGGTGGGTTATCGTTATCGTTGTCAGTGCAGGATCACATCGACCGCTAAAGCCTAAAGGCAGGGTCGCGGAGTGCAAAACACGCCTGCTTTTGGTTGTTGGCCTGCCGCTAAGCCGTAGCAACGACGGATACCTATAGTCTATTGCTCCCGAAGGAGTGCTGTAAGACACGCACATGCAAGCCGAGACGCAGCAGCCGAGGAGGAGCGTTCGCGGAGTTTGAAACTTGAAAGAAGGGGAAACCGACGCGCCGGAGAAACGCCAATAAGCCATTGTGCGACTTGATGTGGCTGCCATTGTCAAGGACATTCGGAAGCTGCTGGGAAAGTGAGATGACGTCAGTGAAGGGCGAGAGCCAAGTGCCTGATATTGATTCAGAGTGAGAGCGTGGATGTGGCTACAAGTTCGCCGGGGCAGACACCAACGATCTTCATCGTTGGCATGATCAATTGCATCTGCTGGTAACACCACCGTGAGTCGGGGAGGCCGATCGGCGTAGCATACACTCGATTCAATGACCAATGTCCAACGCTCGACGTCCAACATGCAGTGGACTTGGACCGTGCGCGTCGGGCAAGGAGCCCGACCCGTGATTAGACGCACACACATCGTAAGAAAATAAACTTCGAAGTTCGGAACGAAAGTCGGGCCCTCCGGATCGTGAGCTGAGTTCGAATTCTTTTCCGTGCTTCGTGACTAGATCTCGCGGCTTATTTTGTTTGACGCAGAGTAGATTCGCGAACGAATCGATGCCCTCCGTTTGTTCGCGGTGTTTGAATGCATGTCTGGATCCCTTGTGATTTGTGCCAGTTCTGTTCCCCGAAATCGAGATCTACGCGCTGCTGTCTCTGAGGTGTTACAGTGGACAGCGCAGTCTGCATGGTGAACGGGAATAACAATTTGGGATCTGCGCCGGCCGCGGCAAACTTCAATGAGGGGCAGTGGGAGGAGATGTGGATGAGTCCAAGATGGTTCCACTGAACAAGTAGTCAGTCGTAAGGTTTCCACTGCGAGTCAAAGAAAGATTGCAAGAATAGTGTTAACTTGAGGTAAGTGGCTGCTGGGCAAAGTGGCATGATTGTTGGGGCGTCCAGTATTGCTTGTCCAGTGAGAATCGTATTCGAAGCCGATTGCGATGGGATCCCAGGGCGGTGGGGATCGTCGTTTTTATGTATTTGGAAGGTGTCATCGAGAACACCAGAGTGAGTGCTTTGTTTGTGGGGTTGTGCGCGTGTGTGGTAATGACCGCAACGCGTGCGTTGAGCCGCCGGCAAATGTCAATGAATTGACCCCCCGAGCTCGCCGCAATGGGCGTTGGATAGGCCAGGTCAGATTTCGGCGGAAAAAAGCGGCTAAGAAAGGATGATGCGAACGAGAGGGTCTAGACTGCTGGAGCCATTAGACAGATAGTAGATGGCGGACTGAAGATGTTGGTGACGGTGACGATGCGGTGTGGGGCATGGGAATTGGGCGGGGGTTTGTAGGGCCGTCGACACGATGTACGTCTTGTGAGAGATCGAACAACGGTGGTTCGAGAGTGCTAAGTTAAAAGTAGGTTAGGCTTTTCATATGGATGCGTGAAACGTGGTGTACCGTTTGCGAGTCCACTTGCAATTGCCAGCGGAACGCCGGTCTCTTGAGAGTTTATGTTGCTCCCGAGAGTATCAAAACCCCCAAACACGATTCGGGCGTGTATTCTCTCACCGCGGCGGATGAAAGTAGAACGTAAGGAACCAGATGCTTGCAATCACCGCGACGGCCATCATAAGCTACACAACCAATAAGCGGACGCTCACGTCACCATCAACTTTGGCAAGCCGAGGAGTGAAGACGAGACAGAAGCGGCGTACGTTGACGTCTGTCCTGTCCGTGCATAGGCTGCCTCTTTTTTTTTCAATATTGGAAGACTATGCTTATATAGCTATGGCTGACTTTGCTCGCTACCCAGCTGATGGCGCTCGTCTCTTCCTCCCACCACCATTCGCGCCTACTTGCTCTCCCGCCAGAACTTCTCGAGCACGTTGCCTTCCACCTCGCCACCCGTCCTCCCAACCTGGGCTCACCCGCCGCCCTTCTTCCACTCCTCTCCACATCTCGCCGCCTGAATCAGGCTCTTTCCCCCTCCACCAACTCCGCTCTCTATGCGAGAATAGCGAGAGCAAAGTTCACCCTCCCTCGCCACGGCAAACGGCGTTTAAAGGCCGACACCGATGCATCCCTCCTCCCAACCTTCTGTCGTGTGCTACGTGTGATCCGGTCTGGCGACCCCCACCATCCGCAAGCAGAGTGGGCGTTGCAAATAGCTTATGGGCTCTTATTGGTTGACGATACGGCCAAACCGGACCTCAGCGACCTCTCCTATGCCCCAACGTCATCTCCCTCCCAACCCCCTCCGACTGCCCCCCGGATAGGAAAAAATAAGCGCCAGCTTGGCTGGGCTGGAGCGCGCGCGTTTGCATTGCGGTGGATTCGGTCCCGGATGTGGGAGAACAGAAATGGCGATCGGGAGCCCAGTTCAATCCAGGTGTGCAGACACTGTCCTCTCACTCAAAACCGTGGCTTAGCCCTATTTGTCTGCAGGATACAGAGTGGCGTCCAGAATGGTCCACTGAAGCATGGCGCGTGGGCTGGCCACGCGACTCCAACGCCACTGCGTCGGCATTATGGTTGTTATGGTTCTTCGAGTCGAAAGGTGCGTGCCATGGTCTCAATTTCCTCGAAATTTTTTTACTCAAGATTAGCTAGAAACCCTTGCCGCGGAACCGGACAACCTACGCCAGAACGTTATGGCTCAGCTCCTTCCCTTTGTTGTGGCACCGTTTCGGGTGAGTTGTTTCCGCTTGCTGGTCATTATGCTATTGACGTCTCGATTGCTCACTGGTAGTATGCTTCCGCCCTCGCCCCACCCCACCATTACACGATCCCTCTACTCGACTCCGTTCGAGCTAAAGTGGGTCTGGACCAAGGCATAACAGTCCCAACGTTCCACGGAGACTACCCAATATACGCCTTGGGGAAGCCTTCTCGACTTCCGATCAGACGACCCCGCTCATTGTCATCCAAATCCAAGGTTCTGGGACCGCGACTACTTCTTCCGCGCAAAATCACATCTCGGCAACGAAAACGACTGCTCTCAGCTCCCCCTGCGCGTCTTCTCTTCTTTGCCCGCGTCCAAGCAGGCAGTCGCATGGGCATTCCCCCGCATCTCCCTGTCGACAGAGCCGATGCAGACCGACGGTGGCTGGAAGGTGGGAATACTGGACCGCCGATTATTTCTCTCACACAAGCGGATATTTTGGAGAAGAATACGAGACCCATTGTACGCTTCGAGCGGCAAGTCGTGGCTCGTCTCGGAAGCAGCAGTTTAGAGGACATTTGGGCTGTGGACCCTGCTGTCAGCGACGCGAGCGAGAGCACTAGAGCGAGGTGGGCTATCGACCTGTGGCGCGGGAGAGTTTGTCGCGGTTATGGGGAGGACTTGGAAGTCGCGAGTAGTGATGAGAGCGAATCGGGTTCTTCTGACGAGGATGGGCAACGGACAGCTACACCCAGGTCAACGCAAATTGCGGAACCAGAACCTGGCCGGATTGGACGGGTGTATGAACTTGGGAGCTTTGCGGGACTATGGGCTGGCACGATGATGGTATGGTGGTCTCGATTTTTCTCCTTTTTTTTTTTTGTCTAATCTCAATTTGCTAGATGCCCGGAGAGCAAGCCTACACCAATGTGATCAACACGGTTGGTGGCGCTCTCCCTCCCGGCGGACTGACCAACGACGACTTTGTGGCCGTTGCAAGACCGGTGTATATGAGGATTCGGGAGCATTGGAGGTTTGTCTTTTACAGCGGTGTTCTGCATAAAAGCAGGTAGCTGACTATACACATAGCTTTCATCCAAATATCCCGGCCCCGCCCGCTTCAGCCGACAGCGCGACCAACGATGAAGGGCTCGGAAACGGGTGGTTTCCCATAAACACTTCGTTTCGAACCGGTGCTTCACTTGCTGCGGGACAACAACTCGAGGTCCGTGTTCCGTCGGCAGCCTTTGCGCAAGAAACACACGTGTACGAGACTATTTCTCTGCTTGATGGCGATCTGCCCAAAGCCAGAGACGGTGCCCATGACCTGGATACTTGTCCTGGTTGCAAGAGCGTCGAACAGAGGGATTGGGAGAGGAGACAGTTTCAAGATATGGACCAAGACAATGATGCGGATGTGGATGAAGACCAATATTCCGAACCGCCCTCGTCGGCAACCCCCTCCCCCGCTGTTGCCCTCAGCCCTTCTTCCGAAGATGGCGGCTTTTCTTCTCCCGGTTCCCCAACTCCGCCGTCTTCTTGGCCGTCATGGGCTCATTCAACGTTGTCAGATTCTGAAGACGAAGAAGATGACTGGGAGCCACTTTCCTGCGATGGCGTACAGGACGTGGTGTTCACTGGAGAGACGGACGCGAATCACGGACAAGCTTGGCACCATTATGAGTACATTGGGCGGGTGCGGCCCTGGGACGGGCTGATTGGACTCCTCATGAGGCCTGTGAGTTTCCGTTCCGTTGCTTATCTGAAAACAAGCTTGACGAGACTATTTCCTGATAGCGCAACCGCACGATAGGACTCGCAACATACTTTATTTCGGGCCATCTGGTTGGCCGGGACACGTTTGAAGGGACGTGGCAAATGGCTGCCCAGGATGTGCTCGCGCCGAGTTGGGGAGGGAGTCTGTGTCTCGCGAGAGGGGAAGAGTAACAAGCTGGATGACACCCCCAACGCCTCTTCCGCTCAACGGACTATCGCCAAGAATACGCTCATGGACGATATCAAAAATGTAAATTCGGCAACACCCACTGTACCACCACCACCACTTTCAGCTCTGTGTTTGTGCTTGTTTTTCTTCTTGTTCTTTCAATGTCGTTGTGCTTTCACTGCATTGTATCAGTCAGCATTCATTAGATGGCCATTGGTTCTGTATCCCTGCTCTCATCGCATATATATTCTGTCTACACACGCATATCTTCACTGGCAACTTACTACCTACCTACGAACAGGCTTTGCTCGGAATTAGAACCAGTAACGCTGTCGAAGGGCTCTTAATTGAGTTGCGAGCGATAAGCAATTTGAGGGGCTACCACAGATTTCTCGATAACAATAGCAAAGTTATAATTAGCGGACTCTGGGGATTGCAAATGCGGGTTTATTAGCAGTCCTCACCAGTTCAAGGCTTGAAAGCGGCAATGGGCGCCATTGGGCGGACATGTGGATTGCGGCGGCGGGCCCGCGATCCGCCTCGGCAACGATAAGTAGGCCAGAAAAGTCAAGAATCAGCTACCAAATTTGGACGCGGAGATGGAGAGACAGAGATGAAAGCGGAGTTGCGGTGCCAGTGGCGGACGTCTGTTCCGCCTACCATTGACACGCATGGATGGGAACTTGAAGGGAAATGGTGCGGCGAAGGAGTGGTGCCTATTCCGGGCATGGGAAGCCTAGTCAATCGCGATTGGGATGAGTGGTCTCCGGGGATGGAGAGGGTATAGGCAACTGGTTTTTTGGGATCGCCTCGGCTCGCCCTGGCGAGTACAGTTTTGAACAGCCTGAGACTGGGGAACTTATATCAGGCGACAGCAAGCTGTATCGATGGCGCAGTATGCACTTCCCCAGAACCGACTTTGAAGCCGGCAGGACGATCGACATTGAATCCGACTCGACAGAAAGCACGAAAGACGTAAGGAAGTCGGAATTCAAGAAGTACTGTTCCTTGTCCTGCCGGCCGCGGCCGCGGCCAGATCATGATGATTGCATTATTCACTGGCAATTATTTGCGTTGCCTATTCACATCGCCGATTCCTCGGCGAGCCCTTTCGTTGGCACAACCAGGAGCAGGAGCAACCCAACGAACAGGCATTTCACAACTATTAGTAGTACTCCGTACTTTGCAAGTATTTGACGTTTGCTACGAGGAGGCAGGCAGTTGGGCGGCTCTGACGTAAATCTCGATACTTTGACTCAGAAAACACGATGCAAACCAGCTATTCTCTACCGCACCCTAGAATTTCGTGCGTCCTAACACACGACGTAAGCGCTGCCTGGCACTCTTCATCGATTGTCTGACATCCTCCGTTTCTGAGTCCGATGCTCTCCTGCCCAACTTGGTTGCAATTCCAGAGGTAGTATTCGAGTTGTCCGCAAACAGCGTTTCGTTTACCGCACAGGTCGTGCCGGGCTGGGGGAGGGAGCCGTTGGCCAAGTAGCCGGCGAGATAGCCGAGCGTGCAGAAGGAGGTCGCGGCTAGCGAAGTGTGCTGCGGATATATCCAGTCAGCTGGAAACATGGTCTCGAAAATGGCACCAACGCACCCCAGGGGAGTCTTGCGTGAGCAGCACGGACCCGGGGAAGTTCGCCAGTGTGTTCAGCGCCCTATCGAGGTGAGATACTAGACTGACTTGACCAACAAGTTTTGGCTCACCCTGCCTTGGGAGTCACCGGGTCTACCAAACTTCAGCGAATGCTGGAGCGTAAGAGGGTAAAAAAGTATACCAGCTGTATTCGCGATGAACAGAATCGGCCAACTTGTATTCGCAGCTTTGGCCGGCCCCTTGAAGCGGTCTTCCCGATAGACCTTCCAGCCACTAAGTAATTGCCCTCAGCGGGCAAGGACGAAGCAACAAGCGGTGCAAGCACGAACCTACACACGACCCGCGTCCTCCCTATCAAAAACTCGGAGAACTGGGACACCCGCGCCGCGGTCGCGTAGAAGGCCTCCAATTCATCCAGAGTGTCGTTCACCTCCACAGCATCGCCACAGGACACTGCAAATTCCACATCCGCCTCCGAGTCGGCCACGCTGGTGTTGTCGCCACACTGGTAAAGCGGCTGCGCGACCAATGTGTAAAGTGTGGTGCCGTTTCCCTTCTCCAGATCGGCGAGTGCGTCCGCTAATAACGGGAACGAGTCGTATGGCGAGTAAAGGGCCTCGAAGATAATGCTGCGGAGGAGGGAGTAGTCGATGAGGAGGTAGCCCATGGATGTGACGACAGGAACAGGCTGTTTGCGGATAGCATTGGTGAGCGCAGTTATGCGGTCAGAAATTTGCTCTGCTGTGCTGGAAGAGCGGGCGAATGCACACCCGGATGGACCAGCAGCTGCACAGCCGGCGGAAAATGCATTGAAAGCGGCGTCTGTGGAGGTAGACAGAATAGTCAGGTTCGCTGCTGACACTTAGTTTGTGAACTTGGGATGTTGATGGATTGAGAGAACCTTGGAACCAGGCATCGACATCAACAACACCTATAAGTAAGGTTCTCAACAGAAGCAAGTCAGCTAAGGTTGAATGAAGTACCATCGATGACCATACGGTCAATCTTATCCTATCGATGAAATAAGGACCCGAAGCTTTGTACAAAATCAAAATGATAACGCTTACCGGAAACAACGCTGCAAAGGTAGCACCAAGAACACTCCCATATCTGCACAAATAGCTCAGCAACAGCACAAGGCAGAAGACGGGACCACAAACGAAATGCCATAATACTTGAGCTTGTCGAAGCCCATCTTCTGCGTTATCGACAGCATGTCTCGCGCAACATTGTCGGTTGTGAGGTATTTCAAGATTCCGGTCGAGTCCCGCTGGGCAGCGACCTGGCCCTCGATCTGAGCGAGCCCCCAGATCCGCGTTAGTGCCGTCGAGTCTGAAGACGCGTTGAGCGATACGGGCCATGCCCCGGCGTTCCACAGCGCGGTTTCCGTTGCCGAGCCAAAGATGGAGACGGTAGGAGTAGTGAACCCAACGCCTTCATTCCGAGCTCAGAGCAATGGGAATACGGTAACACGCATCGCTTACCTCGCGGGTCAAAACTGACCCAGTCGAAGTTTTCGCCAATAGCGTTGGCGAACAACGGCGCGACGCCGACTAAGGTTTGCACGCCGCTCCCTCCCGGGCCGCCTGGGTTGAATAGAACGGGCCCAAGATATGCGGGGTCGGAAGGGGCGACTTTGGCGGGGAAGCGGATGACCGCGATGGCGGCGCTCCCCGCGGACGGCGCCGCGTAGTCAAATGGCACGGAAAGACGGGCACATTGGAAGCCAGAGTTGCATGGAGCCCAGTCGAGGCTCGTGCTTGGCTCAAGCTAGGAACAGCACATTAGCGATCGGTCGCTGAGAAAAGTAGTAAGCAGACACACTTTAGACCAGTCGAACGTGTTTTGCGCGGAGACATCCCGCGCTGCGGCCAGCGCGGCGGCAAGTAGCACGTATGGGCGCATACTAGTAGCGGTGAACACAGTTAAGAGTACTGGTGTCGGAGAGGATTAAAGTCGATTGCCAAGGCCCAAGTTAATTGCGAGAATGATTTGACTCCTGGGCTAGCACCAGCCCAGTTTTATTGTACCGGTAGCAAAAATAGAGGTCGGTACGCTGTGCAAACGTAAGATGCTGCAGAGCGTTCGGACATGCACGCTTAAACTCCAAGGATTTGCTTCTTCAAGCCCGTGGGGACAACGGCAGGCTGGAATTCAGAATGCTCCGTCGGGGCCATTACGCAGCAGACTCCACCGGCGGACGGAGAGATCCGACTTGCAGTGCTTTGAATGCCCCTGGGCAATGGACATCGTCAACCCGACAGAGGCAGTTTCTGAGTTGGCAAAGTCTGTGGTTGTATGAGAAAGCAGTTTGTGGCACAATCAACAACGTGACGAGCAGAGCATTGATTGATGCTGTTGCCGAGCAAGAATTAGGCCAATTTAGGCCGGTTTTAGGGTTAAATAGAGCCGATACTTAGTGGGTACACACGAAGAGTTGTTGGTTGCGGAAAGCGACGCTGGTGGTCGAATTCACATTCATATCCCCCTTACGCGGCCCGTCGTGTTGCGCCGTAGTAAACTTACACTGCATATGGATTGGCTCATCGTTTGAAGTACAATCAGCCATGAATTTTATTGTGATCAAGCTAAGCCACAAGACTGGGAATAAGTATGCTGTACAGTCCAAAACCATTAAACAATGATAAGCATGATTAAGGGTGTTTATGAGATTGTCAGATATATCAAGAAGGGGGTCTGTCGGGGAACATTGCAGCGAGGTGGAAAGCCATTTTCCGCTGCAAGAGATCGCAGTATCTTGGCGGCAGCAAAACCGTTTCTGGGCGCCGCATGAATATAGGTTGTCGTTTTCGAGACAGAGCGGGCGGGGGAGGGTCAAGGACAACAGATTTGGAGAGGACTTCAAGTTCTGGCGGTAACATACTAGGGTCTGAGGCAGCTGGTGTCGGCGGTACTTCAAGTTGCGCCACTGGCAGAGGCAGGTCCAGAGGATCATCATTTATGGGAGAATTGGATGCCGGAGGTGGAGACGGAGATGAATAAATTGTAGCTGGCGAAGCACCGCGTTCCACAGAAGTCTCCGATGGAATTAGGGTTGTCAATGTTGAGCGTGTATTCGAGACTCGAGGTGGGCGGCGATGGACGGTTTTCAGGTGGCGCTTGAGGTGGTACCGTTGCTGGAATGCATATTTGCAATGTTCACAAACAAACGCTATAGTTAGTTAGCTTGTGGATTTTATAAGAACAGAACGCGGCTCACGTCTTTCTCCAGTATGTATGCGCCTATGGCGTTCCAGGGCACTTGCGCGAAGGAAGGTTTTGGAGCAGAGGGAACATTGGTGCAAAGGGGAGTCTGTAGTCTCTGGAAGTTTGGGTGTGGGTGATGGAGGCGGACTTGGTGAACGGGAGGATAAAGGCGATAATGGAGTTGTCAATAAATCCTCGCGCAGCTTGAGAGTGTCGGCAGTGTTTGCGACTGGAGGAGCAACTTCCTCGCGGCTTGGATTGATATCGTTGGGGAATACAGACTCACATTGGGATGGGTGAAGAGGAGGTATTGGGAGGGTAACTTTGGCGTTGAAGCGCGACAAGGGAGGTATCCGAATCACAAGGCGAGGGTAAGTGACCTCGGTGATCGTCAATTGACCAATCGCCTCTGGGTTCCAACCATGAACGTTTCGCAGGTGACGTCGTACATTGGAACGGCGGGACAAGCGGCGCCCGCATGAGTCAAGGGGACAAGGATAAGCTACAAGATCGCGAATTTAGCCACTACTCAAGGAGATGTAAGGTGGTCCGCGTACGCCGTCTTCCTGGATGGGTCGGTTCATGGCGCGAGAGGTGGCCGGTAGTCTTTCCACAGATTCGGCATGCATGATGGCATCCACCGTTTACTCTTTTTGGGGTCGAAAGTGCGACGTTCCCTTCCTCTCCTTGGAATCTTGTCGAAATCGTATCGTCAAGAGGTCCACTGGTGGACGCGTTTTGGAAGGTGGGGTCCGTGTTAAGCATATATCCAGCGCATACGAGGGAGGTTTCGCACGCGTCTTAAGCCTGAGGAGGGTAGTGGTTGGGAAGAGGAAGTTGTTGGCAGATCATTTGTGCCGCAAATGCCGCTGCACACGTCACGGTAAACCGCTTGACATATTCAAGTTGACAACAACGCCCACCATCGTCCTGCAAAGCAAACGTTGCTGTAACTCCAAAGGCAGAAATTATGTGGCTCATGCCAACTGTCCTAGGTCTGCTTCATGGGTGCCCAGTACCGGAACCAAACCGAAATATGCGAGCTGCATGCAACCTAGAGTCTACATGTGGCGTTGTTGACTCATTCGTGTTCTCGGGTGAAGAGAGAGCACTGTGAGCTGTGTCGGCTAACAGATGCTCGAAACGGTTGAGCTTACCGGGGACCGGGCGACTAATGGAAGAGGCGGGTGTTTTGATTCCAATGGGTGGAATCTTGATCTTCGGTGAGTACAAGTATTCTGTCGTCCTTTTAACTTACTTCTTCCCGTGTATTGAAGAAATGTTTCTGGCCCCACTCTATGGGGGAAAACAAACCTGAAGCGGGCACTCTAGGATGGCCCAACAGCAAAAAAGGCTCCAGAAAGCTTTTTCCTTTTCTTCGCTGCCCTCTGAGACCATCGAGATGCGAAGACCAAGTTCTGCTGGCACAGGCCACCGGATGCCCGCATACCCTGCGAGGGTGGTAGCAGCTTCACAGTGCCGGCGTCCATCGGCGAGTAATCCGACATCGAGATAGTAGTAGGACCGAAGAATCTCAGCTTGCAAATCGTGAATAAGTATGCGACTCTCTTGATTCGAATGGGGAAGTGCTTGCTGATGAATTTCTAGTGTCTCTTGGGCGAAAAGTGTTTGAGCATACTCAAGGTCCTGGCGACTGACGGTAGGCGATAATATCCGTCGGCCCCACACTACGATTGCGTCCAGTAACATGGGCGATACGAGTGGCACATAGGGCAGATTAGAAAGCTCTTTGCGGAGAGTCTCTGCGTCCAAAAAGAATATCGGCGAGGCGGAAAATTTGGTAAGAAATAAATTGATTCCGCTAGTATCCTGTTAATAATTTGGAGAAAGGATCTGGAGGCACCTACGCTTCCTGATCCAAGTTAACAACACGCAGGTTCTCTTCTCGTAGCGGTGGCAGCCTAATAAGGCTTTGAATCTCGTGCTGTGCTGGAAAGCAGATTATCTGTTTGCTCAATCCGGAAAGTCAAGCTTGGAACTTACTGCGCTGGAGGGCAGGCTTTCGGGGTTCGGCGTCTTCACCGTTTGGTGCGGCATACGTATACTTGCACGGAATCTGCGATCGAGGGGGTCTCGAAATACAAGCGCTGCAGGCAGGACGTTGACCATCGCAGCCCTAGGAGGTATGAATTTTGTCAATGTGCTCGGGTCGGGCTAACGTACAATTTTGCGTTTCCTGAAGAGATTGATGAATCAATTCTGTAGTTTTCGCAGTCCGCAATCAATGTATACCTGCAATTCTCGCATGCCTTTTGGAGATACGCCGTCGCAACTCTCCGCTGACGAGACTTCAGGTTTTCCATCTTCTGCATGAGGGGGAAGTCACTTGCTGTGGTCCTAGAGTCATTCGACCACAAAGCTGCGCTTTTATACGATGCATTCTGATCTTGATTTCAGCGCGCACCTGCGTGCACCGAATGCTGCATATTGACCAAGCCGGGAATTTCGGAATGGAAGGGCACTAGTACGGCAACACCCTCTCTGGCTGATAGAGGCAAACACGGTGGACGCTCGAGCGCCAACTGTCGATTTTTCGGGCTATTGACATCGAATGCTGTATTGCTTTCCCGCTCAACGGCCGACCCGGATGTGCCAACGTATTGAAGCCACCCGTCAGCAGTCGAACTTCAAGTTGCCCGGTATCGAAGACCCCGTTTTTTCTGCGATGTATAAGCTGCTTCATCGACTGCGATTGCTTCCTGATCTTAGCAAATCTTGCGCGGGACATATAGTATAATGCATTGACCGACTGTCCGCTGGTACCTTTACGACTGGAATTACTTAGTATGATGTGCTGAATAATAATATGATAGGTCATTCGACTCCTCCGAAATTCTAGCCCGCACTAGACGGGGATACTACATCCGAGCTGTGCTGACTGGCTACGTTGACATTGGCAGGTCTCGTAGAATCCCGAGGAACTTGAACAATGAACCTTGTATTTATCTCAGGCTGAGTTTCCCAACCTGAGTCCGAGTCACGTCCAAGTCCTCAATGACCTTCCAATTGGCCCAGCGAATACTTTTACTAGTGAGATGCCGCCAGTACCTCTCCATGATTCGGTCGATCTCACTGCCTTCAGCTGCTTCTTATTGCCGTGGTAATCGTCCAGGTACTGAGGAAGATGACGCCAGTACATTTTCCCCACCGGAGTGCTTCTTCCAATCTATCAAGTATCAACTGGTGTAAGTTCTTTTGCGAGCATGCATCTTCTCGTGCTCCGGTCCGCTGATCGCCCGCCCAAGTTTAACCAATGTTGAAAGAAAGCTGTCCTCTGGGAGCAACTACTTGTTAATATCACTGTGAAAATACCTGGAGCTAAGTATTCAAGTTGTGTTCACACTCAGCCTTTTAATCCTTGCTACCAATGCTGTGAAAGATCGCGGTCGCAAGGATTCCGCTCACTTGGAACTTGAACGATTCGGTAAGCGGCCTTCAATTTAAACTTTGGAGTCGCCGAATTCAAGTTTGGAGCGGCACAGCCTTCCGCTGGGGCCCACTCATACATAGAACTGCGCTGAAAAAAAAATAGAATGCTCTCAGGCTGAAGTGAACGATGTCGGATGCTGAACCTGACGCGCTCACCCGTTCATCCGGACCCACATTTTAGGCTGTCTTAAACTTGAATAGGCTATGCTGTAGACTGGCGCGGACTTCGGGCGTGCATATGTTGACAAGCTGCAGCGGCCCGAGTACTAATAGTACCGCTGGCCCTGATGACATTGTCAGCGCCTCCGATACGCATGCAAGAAATCACGGACATCACGGTCCCTTCAAGTTGCCCACACAAGCACTGCAAGGTGATTGCCACCAAGGCCCAAGGGGCTAGCGCTGTCACCGGAGCTAACTCCAAATTCAGGTCGGCGACCTGCCCTTGGACATCACAATCCGAGTCCCATTGGCAATTGTAGCCTGAACTTGAATCCCTTCAAGTTGCCCGCATATTGATAAGTTGCCACCCTCCCGCTGCCTACTAGACTAGTACTGGTTTGTTTGGCAGTATAGGCAATGGAGTTATCATCGCGAGGTCTTTATGCATATGTCTTCCAGTGATCTAAGTACTGCCAATGTGCTGGCGGCTGCCAGCGGCCGGCACAAGTGACTGACTGTGGTTTGGTGGCCCACCACACACTGGATTGGGAGGAGAATCATTGAGGATGCCGTTCTCAACAGTCTCGACAACTGTTTCCACAACCTGCATTCCGTACGTCCGGTGTATTTACCAACTTTCAAGTTAATTTACTGATGACATCTTCACGTGATCGCGATAATGATCGGAACATTGATCGGTATTCCTCATTTTTTCTTTCCCCACCATCGTCGTCATCGCGCATGGCGCCAAAGGAGAAAGTGTGTCTGATCGTGCACGATGGCTGGGGTGTTGCTGTGGAGCCTGGGCTTGAGGGCAACGCCATCGAGGCGGGGACGACGCAGAATATGGACAGTATTGGGAAGGAGCACGGTAGTGAGCGCAAGCTCGCTGCCCATGGCACCGCGGTCGGGCTGAGTGACGGGCTTATGGGCAACTCAGAGGTCGGGTAAGCGCTTGTTTGTCTGCTGCCACTAAAATGCTCATGGTAGACAGCCATCTTAATATTGGTGCGGGGAGAATCGTCTGGCAGGACATTGTTCGCATCGACGTCGCAATCAAGAAACGCGAGTTCCACAAGAACAAGACCATACTCGAAAGCTTCAAGCACGCGAAAGAGGGTAATGGGCGACTGCATTTCCTGGGTCTAGTGCGTGTTTTCTTAAGGTCGTGTTTGTGTTCTTGAGCGATTGTAGATCTCAGATGGTGGAGTGCATTCACACAATACCCACCTCTATGCGCTGCTTGAGACGGCCAAAGAGCAAGGAGTCCCCAATTCTTATGTCCACTTTATCGGCGATGGACGCGACACGGCCCCCGAATCAGCTGCGGGCTACTGCCAGGAGCTGCTCGACTTTATGGGAAAAGAGAAGTACGGCCAACTCGCGACGATTGTGGGGAGGTACTACGCCATGGACCGCGACAAACGCTGGGATCGTGTTAAGATTGCGCTTGACGGGCTTATTGGGGGCGAGGGGGAGAAAAACGAGGACCCAATCGCTGCAATCAAGAAGAGTTACGAGGTCAAGGTCACCGACGAGTTCTTCAAGCCCATTATTGTCAATGGCGACGAAGGAAGGATCAAGGGTGGGTGTTATTTTATTTTTCTGCTTGTCCCTCATAAATACCAGAAAACGACACGATATTCCTCTTTAACTACCGTTCTGACCGCATGCGGGAGATCGCTAGCGTGCTTGGCCTACCTGAAAAGCCGATGGAGGTCACTGTTCCATCCGGGCTGCATATCACCACGATGTCGCGGTACAACAGCGAATTCCCGTTCCCTGTGGCGTTCCCGCCTCAGGTCATGACCAACGTGCTCGCAGAGTGGATTGCCTCCAAAGGTCTGAAACAAGCGCACATTGCTGGTTAGTCCTAGTCAACATCTTTGCTAAGGCTTACCCCAACGGGCAGAGACGGAGAAATATGCGCACGTAACGTTCTTCTTCAACGGCGGAATCGAGAAGCAATTCGAGAAAGAAGAGCGCCACATGATCGCCTCCCCCCAAGGTCGCTACTTACGACCTCCAACCCGAGATGAGCGTGCAGCAAGTCGCGGAAAAGGTCGCCGAGGTTGTCGAAAGCGGAGAGAACGACTTCGTCATGTGCAATTTCGCGCCGCCGGACATGGTCGGCCACACAGGTGTCTACGACGCGGCTGTCAAAGCTATCTCTGCGACTGATATCGCCGTGGGGACCGTCTTCGCCGCCTGCCAGAAAGCGGGGTATGTTCTGCTCGTCACCGCTGATCACGGCAACGCCGAGCAGATGCGGAACGCGGAGACTGGGGCGCCGCATACGGCGCATACGTGTAACCCGGTGCCCTTCATTCTGGCGCTACCGGAGGGGAGTAAAGGGAAGTATGCGTTGGCGGAAGACAAGCCCAAGAAGGACGGGGAGGAGTATGAGCCTGGGGCGTTATGCGATGTCGCCCCAACAGTACTCGATCTCATGGGCCTCGATAAACCAGAAGGTTCGTCGTGTTCCCCTTTTCTGTGATCAAGCTGATGCTGCGCAGAGATGACCGGTCGTTCTCTGCTTGTCAGAAACTAAAAAATGGTATGCTGGCTAAATGTTTCAATACTTGTGTTATTGAATGGATCGCAGTAAACATACTTAGATGTAGACGCACACTGTAAATGTAGAATCTGCTTGTTATACAACACCATCCTTTTGCTTCCTCGACCAGAGTTGTGGGGGTTATCAACCAGTTTGATAAACATGTCCACAAAATACCTGTTTATGAACTGGTTTTTGATTTTATAAACCAACCAGGCAGAATACCCCAAATTGCCTTTCTGAGGTAATTTTTTTGTCTTTTAGCTTAGTTGTCTGATCAATAGTAGGAGGTGGACACAGGTTGAATAAAAGTAAATATTCTCAAATAGGATAGTACAACAGGTTTATATGCACTGGACTTGCATATCAGCTGACCCCTGTCACTGGCTGTCAGGAACTTTGTACATAGCTTAATCAGAATAATAATAAGATATACATATATATAGCTAATATATAGTATTCTAATATGATAAAATAATATTGATGTCATTAACTAAATTGTATCTATTTAAAAGAAGCACATATATCATGATATGTAATATAAGTATAACTATATTAATAATAGACCTATGAGATATTGGACAGCCTACTAATAGTACATATAAGCAACCTTTGGTATGAAACAAATATGCTTAGCTCTAGCTAGCTAGCCTTTCCCTTTTAGATAGGGGCTCCAGCCTAGGATTTATAAATATCAAATATATAAACCAGGGGTGTTTTATAAACCAGTTCCTAAACACTCCAGCCTGAGAGTGCGTTCAGTAAAAACTCAAACGCGGTGTTTGATGCTGGACTCCTATATAAACCAAGTCCTACACTCCCACCATTCTTATGTACTAATCATGTACCCTCTACCTGTCCTATCATATTGTCTTCTACTTACAGCACTGTTACATAGTGTGCTTTGTAACACGATGGTGTGCTTGGTAAGAGCTCAATACACAATCAGTCATCCTGTACTTACAAAGACTTACTCATGTGCTTATATACTTATCTTAGTAATGCAATGTCATGTGCACACAGCCTGTGTATATATATACACCGCCGGCATTCTGTTGCCTCCTGGAAATCTGGGAGGCTAAAGCTACCTTAAAAAGGCTACCGGGCTCCCCAACAAAGGATCATTGCCTTTGTTGATCCTGGATCAACAAAGGGCCTTTTGGGGGGAGCCACCCAGTAGCCTGGTGGTGTAGCCTCCCGGATTTCCGGGAGCCTACAGAATGCCGGTGGTGTATACTGGCACACACTATTTACAGCATACATGTTGCAGATAATTAATTTGTCCAGACAAAGAAACTGCAGGCTGAGTGTATTCCTCAAGCTCTATCCTACATATACTTATATGCTGCCTCTAGTAGACTCTGGACAGAAATGTTTTCTTCTCAGCCTATCTCAGGTATATTCTCAGTGACTCAGTCTAGCCCTGTGTTTATTCACACAATTCTGATGTTATCTTGTCACCTTCCAGACAATGTATTGCATTGTTAAATATATCTCAATACATTGTTGGATGGTGACAAGACAATATCAGCACTGTGTGAATGAACAATAAAACTAGATTAAGTATATTCCTAATCACAGTACTGTTGCACTGCTATACAATACACTGATACTATTCATTTATCATCAAAACCTACCAGTAATGAGTAGAACTGAATTCTTAGAAACACCAAGGGCTATATGTACAAATATTGACAGAGGCACACATGTAAATATCATAAGAACTCTTACTAAAACTTGGAGAAATAGGCACATTATCCACACAATTGGCTGTTTCTCTGCCTGGTAATGTTTTCCTGCTTTAGCCACTGTATTGATAAATCATGTAAACCTGCTATATACATATGTACACCACCCCGTTTTATCCGAAATGCAAGACGTCGACTGCGTCGATAGAGAGCGTCAGTAGTGGCCCGAACTAACCAGTATATTTAGTAACAATTCCGGACAGAAGACGAGACGATGCTCACCCGTGTACCCACGATTGCCTCGTGGTTAATCTCGACGGCCGAGTAGTCGCACTCGGCGCGGGCGGTGCTTTCGACGTAGGGAATGTCGGAGACCACGCTGCTGGGGTCCGCGAACACCGCCAGAGACGGGAACAGTAAGTCGAGCTCGCCTTGTGCGTCATCGACGTCCATGTCGTTCTCATCTTGTGGCGCGGGATCGGTAATGATTAGCGGCTGGGGCGCTGCGGGGTCACGTGGCGCGTCGGCGTCAACGACACGGACCGTGGCATACTCAGTATAGAGTGTGGGCCCGTCACCGTCATCTTGCACGACATCCGGGTCCCCCATTGCCCGCCCGATGCGCTTCTTGACCACCCGCACTGATCCAGCATTAAAGTTGAACACCCTAATGTACTTCCCAAAATTGAGGCTTGGAAGGGTTTCAAGCGACACGAGCCGCTCGCCGGTGAGGGTGGTACACGGGTGGAGTGTCATATTCCGTGCATCAAGGAAGCGCGTGCACGTAGGACCCCAGTCTGGCCAGTTGACTTCGATAAACTCTTCATGGGGCGAAATGAGGTCGATAAGACACGCGCGCCGGAGCACGAAAACATGCAGCGTGGGTAGGTAATTTTCTTCGGTGTTAAATGCACACTGGACCAGCGCCCGGGCGGGGCGGGGCAGGAAGCGGGTGTGCGAACGCGCGAAGCGGTGGGCAGCGGGGGCCCAGCTCGGATTGGGGAGGGTGCGGAACTGGACGGATGTTACGTGGTGATTGGGCTTTAGCGGCGGCAGTTTGAAAGAGTGGGTAAGTCGAGGTGGAGAGACCATCACGTCCAGGATATCGAGCGAGAACGATGCTGCATTGGACAGCAGAAGGTATCTTGGTGTTATGAATGTCAGCCCGATAGGACCGTTGCTTTGGATGGGTATGGGCTGAGATAAAATAAGGTCAGTGATTGAAGAGACACAGAGAGAGAGTGACAACACACGTTAGCGAGCGGTAGACCAGATTGCCAGTCATACAGATAAAGTCCGTCTTTATGTAAATCTGCGGCACCGGGATAGAGCATGGAAAATGCTAATATGCGGCCACTGATGTCAATGGTGATACTCGGAGCCCCATCCAGCAGACTGATATCGTGAATATGAATGATTGGAGAGGCAGCAAGTGGATGAGGGGTCGACATGGACGAAAATGACAGCAGGTGGATATCGATACTGCATGTCGGCGGGGTATTCTCGACGACTCCGCTGATGCTGAGGTCAGCGCTGAGCTTGGATAGATGCAAGGAAAAGACACACTAAGTTATCATCGCAACAAGGTCAAGCTCTTCTGGCGCGGCAACGAAGTCCACAACACGTCGCCACCGTGCCTCCGCGGTCCGCCATTCTGGCTCGTCCTCCCTCCTTGGCCCCGTGCGGAGAAATTTGAGCGCCATAGGCCGCAGTGAGCCCGGGTCAAGGGCATCTCCAATGATCCAATAGTCCCCAGCAATCCAATACACGCCCCTCGACGCTACAAAGTCGATTGAAGGGCAAGTTAATGTCTGGGGTGAGAGGTAAAGCCAATTATCCTCCCGCTTCCGCAGCGCATCTCGACGCTCCGCAATAGAAGACCGCGTGGTATCGGGATGGAAGGGGTTCTCATCGACACCCGCGCGCTCTTGCTCAGCGTTGTACAGCGTCACGGGCGACTCGAGGATAGTAGATAACAGGAGGCGATTGCCGGCATTGATGCACGACGAGAGATCATGATACGGGAGGTAGGCAAGACATGCGAGGACGAGTTCCGAGGGCAGTTCGAGGAAGAGCATCTCTCGTCGTCACGACCAGAGGCGGTGTCTGTCAGGCACGGTCATGTGCCGTGGAAAAGACTTGGACGCGTCCCATTCACAGACTGCTTAAACTCGTCTGAGCGGCCAACAGGTGGAAACATCCTCTAGGTACTTTTCATGCCTGAAAAGATCGCAACACAAACGTGGCGGCTGCAAAGAATGTCAGTAAGTAAGTACATAAGTAAGTATACGCTATCATAGAATCATAAAGTCACGCCGTCACAAAATCCTTCGTTTCCAGTCGTTTCCTTTCTTTCATCACGACCATGGGCTCGTGCGGGAGAAATGGCAAAAAAGGCGCCCTAGGCTTTAAGTACAAGCCTCACACACCACAAGCCAAGGGCGAGCCTCTGCGCCTGCACAAGGCGTCTCGTCGGACCCTTGAAAGCTGGGCTAATCATTATGGATTCAAGCACGAAGCCGATGACCTGCCGCAATCCGAACGCGCCGAGTTCTATCGGGAGCGCTTGAAGGAGCTCCAGAGACAAGGATTGGGGCCGCTCTTTGGACAGAAGATGCAACGCTTGTCTATGGACAAGTCGGATTGGCCAAATGCAACCCACAGGAGAAAGCAAAGGGAACTCGAGGAGCAGGGCGAGCTGGAGGTGCGGAATCATGAGTGGCGACAGAATAAAGGTAGGAATTCGTGCTTTCTTTGTGATGTGCATGCTAACCTTTGACCGCCAGCTTTCGAAGCCATCCATTGAACCAGTTGAGGCTTCAGGTTGACTCGGACTCAGACGACGACGGAAACCGTCTTCGTATACTTAAGGGTCCAAGGATAATAGAAATACATGTCTTACGTGGTCTAAGTCGAAAGTGAAGGACACAATACTTACTTGTGAAAGAACTGCGAAGGCCGGGGCTCGAACGCCCCAGCGTTCAAGTTTTCTGTAAGTATTCAAGTTGATCACGTTATTTGCGCGGCCCTGAGCTTCTTACCACAAGCTTACACCGAGCTCTTTCTCTCATCACGAACATTCCCTTACTGAACCCTATTGGGCTTTGAATCTTGACGCAGCGACGCTCAACAGGCTCGTGCAGTCGTCACGCTTGCCCGAATGCATCCATTGTTCAAACCAAATAATATCAAGGAACTTCCTCCTAGCTTGAAGGTGTGTCGTACAACATCCTCCCTTACCACTCTTAACTCACAAAAGTTTTACCACTAGACTTGCGTTGTAAAAGCATGCGCCCCAGACGCGTCTTCGGACAGCGTCAAAAAAGTTGTCGACTATTTCAACCACGGAGATTCGATCACCGCCAGATTCAACCTTCTTCCCGCCATATATATCATTCTTGACCCGCGCCGCATTCCCGACACCGCAAATGACGCGCCCTTGGTCGGCGGCGCCCCAGCCATACTCGAACGCGCGTGGACGATGCTGAGTGGCCTTGGTCACGAGACAAATCCGCTTTTGTCAATCCTGCCCGGGGAAATTGCTGCCGACGAGCTGCTATCTCGGATGTGGCCCTGGTTCGAACTATTCGACCGCCAATGCTCTTCTCTGTCGTTTCTTCCCCAGGGCTCTCCATCTGCAGCGCGGAACCGCATCAGCGAAGTTTTCATTACCATTATCGCTGCATTAGAAGACCGACACGGCGCGGAATGTCTCGAGCGCATGTGCCTCGCGCGGCCCGGGCTATTGCGCATGATAACCCAAGCATGGCCGGTCACACATCAGCTTCAACCGCCAAATCGGGCGGCTGCGACGCAACAGCTGGTACTCAAATGTGTGTGTAACCTCACCACAACACCGTGGTGTCGTGATGAAATCATTTCTGGAGCAGGCGGCTCGGTCGACGATGTCGCCCGCGTCACAATGCTTCATCTCAGGACCACGATCGAGAGATTGAAGCGGGACAGGTTAGGTATGATGCCGGAAGACTTCCGGAGTGGACCCACCGACGTTGCCCCACTCGAATTCACCGCCCTCATGTACTTTCTTTGGGCTTTTAATCAACACGACAAAGGCCAAGACGACAAGCAAGTGGTGGGAGAAGTTTTCGTGTCCGCCGCAAATCACGGGTTCGTCCAGGTCATTCTCGACGGTATCCACGCCTACGACCACTTTTACTACCGCGACTCCGAGGATGTCGAGCGCGAGATGCTGGAGCTCGTCGACAAGGCATTCTCTGTGTTGACGCGCCTTTTTTATACACCCGGCGGCGACCGCTACCTCGTCGAGGCGATCGAGCACCACCTTCTGCCCTCCATTCTCCGCTTCTCTTGCGCCAAAACGCCACCTGGCGGAAACAGCCTCGAGGTCCTGATTCAAAGCGTCTTGCCCTCGTATAGCACCCGACTGGAGGTGCTTGTGGCCTTCCGGGACCACGTCTTCGCAAACATTGACACAAACGGAATGCGCCAGCTGTCTGCATCTTCGGCCTTCCGGGCCTTGCCTCTGTTCAAAGACTGGACGGCGCTGATGAAGCTGCTCCAGCGACGAATGACCATACTCTATCGGTACAATGCTGGTAAATTCCCGTCCCCGAGAATGTGCGATAGTGGCCAGGTATGTCAAATTCTGTCTACAGTAAAGTTACATCTGATTCACATACTAGTGTGGACATGTCGGTGACGAAAGTCTCTTTATGCGCTGTTCTGGATGCCGCATGCTCTACTACTGCTCGAAGTTATGTCAAAAGAAGGACTGGACGGAGGGCGGGCACAAACAAGGCTGTTCCACGTTGCATGCTCTCTCCGAACGTAAGTTGACAACGCTTTAAATCTACTTTTCGACTGGTCTGATGAAGTACCTTTCAATAGATGAATCCAAACTTGACCTGTCCCCGGAGAACCGCGACTTCCTGCGCGTGCTAGTGGACGCGGACACCGCAGAGCACGAAGACGAAATTATCCAAAAGGTCTCCAACACGCTCATCGACCACCCGCGCTGCTCGTGCGAACTTGTTACGATGTATGACTACTCCGACGGGCACCTCATGATCACCGTCGAACCCGCCGGGACCATCTTCCCCGCCACCCAGCTACCCCAAGTCTGTGGCGGCCCAGAAGCCTGGAAGGAAACCGTCCGCCGTGCGGCTGTGAGCAGAGGGAAAACCACAGTACACGTGGTCGCGTTCCTGGGTGGCTCAACTGCCAAGCGCTTCCTCCTCCTTCCATTCCGCGCCCCGTTTGCCAAAGTCCACAAGCTGAAGGTATATTCCCGGTTGTGCGTGTCGAAGCCGCGGGAGCAGGCCATGGCAGAGATGCGCGGGTTTTACGAGGCGTTGAAGGAGGACGAATCTGAATGTGTGGAATTTCACTAGCCCCAAAAGACACTTGTTACTGATGAGATGGCTTACGATTAGTCCTTGTAATTTCGCGATACTTACTTAATTCAAATGAATATTGCTTGAGGTCCTTTGGGCAAGAATTTTAGAAAGATAAAACCAGGACATGAAGACAGCGACAATCGACTTAATGGTTACTCGCGTTTGACGTCTATCCGAACGGACTCTGATACAGCAGTACTAAGTACCATCCTCAGTCAAACTCCTTTTTCGTCTTCAAATTACCGATAGAGTTCATTCCAAATAACTCGCACCCAATCAACTACATGAGCTGCTGGTACCTGTTACAGGTAGTAATCGTAACCTTCTGACGAGATACCATCTTGGGTTTACTCGCGTTTACGTCTGCCTCGCAACCCAACTCCCGCTTACGTCTGCCTCGCAGCGGGTTGAATGCAGCTCCAACAGCACTTATGACCCAAGATTGCTTGGATGGGACATGCACCTTCCAAATAGCTATTACCCTACGGGCCCCGCTCCTCGGAGGTGACCTCCGTGATTGCCGACATCGTCGGATGGCCGAGCGTTGTCCTCCAAGGCGCGCTCAGTGCGTAGTCGATGGTATCAAACTCCACTGCATTCCGAGCAGTGGTACTCTCCGGTAATCGAGGGTAGCTATGCCCGAGGCTCTTGATATTGAGAAGAACGCGAGAGCCGACGATGGACGAGATGCTGACACGAAGGTCAGTGCAGATGAATATGTATACGAGGAGCGAGTGCATACGCTAAACCAGGTCTGCAACACGGTTGGTAAGTTACAAGGCTTGGAGGGAAACAAGGGACAAACGCGATCAACAATTCGGCCAGCGACTGTCTTCCTCTTGCCCAAATAGCGATTTCAGGGATGAACGTTACGAATATGATGATGAACCAGAAGACGCCGTCGCGGAGAAACAGCGCGTGGATGGGCATATGCACCCGTCCGTGCGCGAGCAGGGACGTTCCGCATTTGTACACGGTTAGCACAAACATCGTCACGCTCTAGAAGCCGTCGTTGAGCAGGGGAAGGAGGACAAAGATCCACGTACGACAACTAGGACAGGGACCGAATAAAATGCAAAGAATCTGGGGACGTTACCCATAGGAAAGCAGCCAGTGATTGAGTTGACAGGCCAGTATTCTAGTAGACGCAGGATCGTCAGGTCATTATCGCGAAGGCAATTTCTTACCTGGGACTGAAGCAATGGTGTAGTGCGAGACAACTGCCCTGCAAAATTGTTAATCGAACGATCAGAAGAGTAAGAAAACTAGTAACATTGTTAGAATCTCGACTGCGGGCAACGATGTCAGAACAGGAGGACGCGAATGGAGGTTATAAACACACGTCCAATCATTGGTACAAGCAAATAGAGCAGAAGGCGTTTCTTTTCGTATAAGAGCCATACTCTGAACAAGGTTAGATGTGGAGGGTACGTTGCGATAACGGGCGGACCTTAGCATGAGAATGAGATCCACCGTCGCAAGAATGATTGTCGAGGTTACTGCTTCTCCCTGAAAGAATTTGATGCAACTATCCAAAGGCCAACGTTCAAGAAGATACGATTGAGATACCAGGACTCACGCCTACAATGTGTGAGGTGAGAGAAAGTGAGTGTCAGATGCACGCACCGCATTGGATTTATATGGGCTTAGCATGACTGGCCCGAGTAGCGTCAGGCTAGGTTAACTCAGACTCGGACGTAACGCATACCACTGGCATCATATCTGGAAGGCCATTGAAAATTAATAGTTGGAAAACAGTAATGGCTCGACGCACGATAGCGATATCAAAGTGAAATAACGGTTCTCCAAGTATTTTCAGTGGTATGTCGCAGAAGATCCGGAAGAAATACCCATAACTGCATGTATTAGCCTGTTTAGAAGGAATCCAAACAACAGAGGGCAGCACACGCACGTAAATCATGTTCGTCAATGGAAAAGACGTTCTCGACGGCCACATGAGCTCGATTTCCTTCGAGAGCGTTAATAGGTGGTCGTACCTAGACTCAAATGTCATCTCCAGCACTGCTATTGACGAGTTACTCACGCTACCAATGTCAAGGCTCCGACTATTTGGCATGGCAGGATATGTCAGTTGGTGAGAGTCTGCTACATAGTTGAGACACGCACGAATCATGGCATTCGTTGTCCGGGCGTCAGAGAGAACCTGCCATGCATCCGGACTGCTTGCGCTCGTGATGTCTCCATCCATCGCGGAAAAGCGTGAAGACGGCGTTTTGAGACAAGAGGTCGCCTGTTGACAGATCGAATGAAGGTCGTGACGACTCTGCTGACAACCTTCCAACACAATGCAGACCGACACTAACTGCACTCAGGTCGTGCGGACGCGGGCAAGGTGGGGGAGAAGGAGAAGAGCAATGACAAGCTTGTGGCAGGGCTTTTTTGGATATTCCGGGTCGCTCACGTCAACGCGGGCGATAGACAGGTCCGATAAACAGTTCATCAATGTTGAATAATGTTGCACGAGTCGCAGTGCATCCTACGACGCAGACTCAGGTGCTCAGTGCACATTAGAATCAGCTTTATGTGACGCAGTTCCTATGTTGTTTTACCTGATGGCCAGGGGCGTGCCGACCAATATTCGGTGATGCCAACGATATCATTTCAATGGCGGGTGTTACCGCTGTTTTTTGTGAGCAGCCTAATTTTTAGCGTGGGATACATAAAGGCAACAGTTTGGGCAAACATGCTTCTCCGAAAACAAACAACACACAAGTACATGGTGCATACACATATGATTGGCCGCTTGCGAGAAACAGTATACCACGAACTATGTGACGTTAGAAGCAGCGCAAATTTCCTTACGAGAACAATTTTGGAAGCTTTGCTAGCGCTGAACTGTCGTTTGTTCGTGCTTGGTTGGTTGTCTCCTAGTCACGTGCGTCCGATCGATGATCCGACCCTTTTCGGTCCCTACCATGTCATCGAAAGGCTGACGATCTTGAAACCCTTGGAACGACTGCGGAATATTTGGCAAATCCTACATCGCATCAATGGCCAGCGATGGCCTCAGTTCAGAGGGGGCAAACTGCCCAAATGCCTCCAGTCAGGTTGCTAGTTTGCAATTTGCCCTGTTGACACAGTCTGGTCCGTGTGCATAACACATGGCTATGAACCTGAAATTAGATCATGACGCACAGTAATATGTGAACGAGGAACATTGAGGGCAATTATAGGTAATCCCCTCTGTTACTCATTTCCCTGGCTCAACCAATCGTAGTTGCAAATCCTCCGTTACTCATAGTCGGTTAGCTGTCCGAATCTTAGACTCTGAGAGGAACTTGGCGTCGTCAGAGGATTCCACTCCGACTTATTCACGAACACGCTGGAATAAACATCTTCGCGCTAACGGTCCAGATTGTTCATGGCCCTGTGAGGCGGGAGACCGCTTTCGGGTAGCTTGACACCCGGCTGCTGACGTCAAATTGGTTCCTTCAATGAAGCGCTGATCGCAAACCGCCAACCTGCAACAAGCCAAGCCCATCGTCGTTCTGTTTCTCACTTGGCGAAAATGTGGTAGCTGCAGCCGTCCTAAACTGGATGGTGTACTTATCGCCTCTGCTGCGCATTGTTTACCCAGCCCCTGCAAACATGTGGCCCATCGCCGTTTTTATTTTCATGCATGAAATCATCCACGATGGCCGATTATCCTGGTTCCTGCGACACCTAACGGATCAGGTGAGCCCAGCAAGCGTGATAGCCAAGTAAACAGCCGTACACCCGTTGCGGAGGCTCGATCAGCGGTGACCCACGGTGAGCGGTGCGTGTCCACACACCAGTCTCGCGTGGCATTCTTGATTCCAGAATTGGACGCTTGCTGGATTGTTGCTCGATGTTGCGCAGCAGAGGCCGCTCTGCTCTGGGGTTTGCTTCCTTTTTTTCACTCCCCTCCACTAAAACAGGTGCAGGTAAATGACGACGGTTAAAAGGCCGCCCCAAATCTGGGTGTCGCATCGCGATCTGCGGAATGGTTCAGTACACCGTGATGTCCAAGGATCTACTGCAACTTGGAGCAAGAACAGGCAACAACCTGTCAATCAACGCAAATCTTCTCGGCTTTCACTCCTTACGATCAGTATTTCGGCTCCCTCAGACCGTCAAGCACTTGTATAAATGGCGACTATGGTTGTCGAGTCTCAACCATCCCTATCCCAGTCCGTCTAACTCAACATGCGTACAATTCTCCTTCACCCCGCACAACCCGCTTCTTCCTCGCTGCCCATGACTGAGCCACACCGACGTCGTTCACCAACAGCTTGTCTAAACTGCAGGATGGGGAAAACGCGTGTAAGTCGTCAAGCTCACTATGCGACCTTTTCCCTGACCTCGATGTATCCAGTGCATAACGAGCGACGAGCCACCGCGTCGAGCCTGCAAACGGTGTACCCAACGTAGTCTCGTTTGCGAATACACAGAACCAATCGTCGTCAAGAAGAAGCGCAAGCTAAAGACGACCACGAAAATCGAGGTGGACGATAGTAAGGCCGGAGCGATCGAAAACACACCGACCCAGCCGACCTTCACTCCAGCCACAACGTATCCCCTCCCCACCGTCAATCACCCCCTCACCATCGCCTGAAATCGTCTCCTCCCCCAATTCTTGCTCCCTCCATGACCTTCCCTACACCCAGGCGCCTCCAGCGAATTTCGTCCCAAGATACTCGCAGGAGACCTATCCAGACTTAAGTCTGGCTGTACAGGGTCTGGAAGAAGACATCTTCGCGTTTATGGCTGCAAATGGTTCCGAACGGAATAATAGTAGTCTAGGGCTTTACTCGCTGCCCTCGACGCCGTTCTACCCTCAACTAATACGGCCGATATCGGCTATGGGTGCGACAACCCCCGGAGGCGCTAGCGACTCAGAAATATCTTACTCATACTCTTATCCTTCTGAATACGTTCTGTAGAGCGCCGACAGGCATCCACCATGTAGTTGACGCCTGTGTGATGTAGTAGACGCCCATGCGATAGCAGACACCATACGATGCAAATCCAATTCATAAAATGGCAACCTTGAGTGCGACCTGCCAAAAGTGCAACTGTTCCGAAACCACGGAAGTTTGACTGATGGTGTGCTGGCCCAGATGACATAAGTTCAACCTGATAATCTGCCACAGTCCCGATTTCCGTTCACGTGGGTGTCGATCGGGGGCCGTCTGGGCAAGACACCGGGTTGCCTGTTTCATAACGACGATCATGAACGGGGTCTTGGACACGCGATCATCGCGCCCGCCCGCTGACACAGATGTCTTGACCTAGGGCGACCTGCGAAACTGAACCGGAGAAAATTCACGAATTCACACAATAACTCCTCAGCGCAAGTTGAGTGGATATCTGTTCCATAACGAGAACATAGTTACAAGCAACCGCTCAAACGCCATGCGGACAAGTACGACATTGTAGGCTGACAACCGCTAAGTAGTCTCGACGTCAGGGTAAAGAGAAGATTGGGGTGTTGACTTGATGTCATGGTACAGACCAAGCACCCCAGCTAACTCGTCCTCATCTGACTCCCCCTTTCGAGAGTCTGAAATTGCACAGGACCTATGATACAGCCACCCTGAAGAGCTGCAGTCCACATGACTGCCAACCAGCTCTTGCAGGTACACATCCATGTCTGCGGCGAGAGAGAGGCTAAGGTCGAGGTCGTAGTCAAGCGCTGTGATTGGGGAGTTAACCCCTTTGACCATAGCAATGGGGCGCATTGCCAGGAGGTCAGAAAAGCTCTCGGCCAGGGCAGAAGAATCGTCGATGTTGTTGTAGGAAATGAGGTTGTACTTCTCCATCGGAACGTCTTCTAGACCGAGTACGGACCATTGTTCCTCGTCTTCCGCGGTGGAAGTAGAAGAAGACAGATTTTGTGGGCCTGAAAGCTGGGCATCGACCAATCCAGGTGCCGTGGGAGTGTTTGTGCTGGATGGTCCAGGGGTAGGTGGGAGCGGGCTCGTTGGCGCTGGCGAGGCTGGTGGAGAAGAAGCACGAGTTGGCGGCGGAGCCGGTGGCATAGTGGATAAGTGTTGGCAAAAAATTCTAGTGTAGTCGCAGAAATCGTAGTCTGCGAATGGAATGGTTGGCGACAGGGGAAGGATGGTGCTAAATTCGAGGTTGGTGCTCATTGCGGGTTGGGCTTTGTTTCGGGAATCGGCGGTTTGGGATAGTGGCATGTCGCATGTCGCGGTTTTATACCGTTGCTTATTGCCCTAGTTCAAAGCGCTGGGACGCATTGTCGTTTGCTTTGAACGTCAGCTTGAAAAATAGCAACAAAGCAGCGGCCTGCCCGGTGCGCTGCGGGCGCGAGAATGATTTATTCGTGCTGACTCCGAATCCAACTTGAAGCAGCCACGACCCGCTTAGCTTGTTATTTTCGTTGCAGTTTGGATGGAGGTTGTGCAAGCTCGCCATAAGTGTCGTGAGACTATAAGTATTGTCAACTTTAGTCAGAGGGTTACTTGTGTGTCTTGAACGATGAAGAGTACTAGTCTCCGGCAAACTCTGTTGAACGAAGCTTTGACATCTGGTTCACTTCGTGCTGGAGGTCTACATTCCTCTGTGTGAGCCATGAGTCAGCCATGTTAGCATTGGTCGGAGCGATTCCGGGTTCTGAATGACCGCTGAAGCAAGTACCAGTCCGCTTCTCGCCTTGGACGGAGCAAGTACTTGGAAGAAGGTGAATTGACAAGCATCAGAGGAATATCAGATCACGTGATGTCGATGTGTATTTTTTGCACACGCACTCCTCGAGCTTGGTTGTAAATCGAATGAGATTAGCAATAGCACAGGTACAAATACAACAAAATACAGAGAGTATATAACTAGGATAGAAGCTGGAGCCCAGAACACAAAAAAGGCAAGTACCTTCTCTGCCACGCTCCCAAGATTAACCCATGCATCCTGCCGGATATATCGGCATGCCCCCTCGCGGAGCGCCATAGCGGCCAAACAAGCTGGCGTCTGACAACGAGCTTGTGGCGAGTTACTTTCGGACTGCTCCCCAGGTCCGAACGACTCGCACTATTGTGCCCTCCCCATAAATCACTCCCGCATCTGCCAGCAGCACGGGCTGGCAGCTTGGGTTATAATATCCCGGAATCTTTCAAGGCATTCTGCAATATTGTTTCTTTCACAGCAGCAAATACGAGCCGAATGTTCTTCGTATTTGTGGCCTGGGTAACGCTAGACGAGACAGTCAGTCTTGTGATGTAGAACATGCAAGAAGCACCCACTGAGGGTAAACGGTCAACTTGGCGCGGTTCTCTTGCATGAACTTCCATAGGATGTACTTCGCGGCTTTTTGCAAGTCATTTCCTCCCGCATATTCGGGGAAGTATCGCCCCAAAGGAATCTGTGGCTAGCTTGAATATGAAGAGACGATATTGAGGCGGATAGCCAAACCTTGGGGAGTTTGCGCTTGAAGACGTCGATCTTGTTCAGAAACAAGATGACGCTTGTGCGAAGGAACCAACGCGAGTTGATTATGGACTCGAAAAGATAGAGTGACTCTCGCATGCGATTCTGGAAACCATTACCGCGTGTCAAGGTTGCAAAATATCACATACTACTCGCTTTTCCTCCTCCAGAACCTGGTCGTACTCACTGAGAGCAGTGCAGAAGATGATGCTGGTTACGCTCTCGAAGCAATGAATCCATTTCTTGCGTTCGGACCGTTGACCGCCGACATCAAACATATGAATCCTACGCAGCATCATGTCAGGACCACTATGCAAGGAATTTCCGACGACGAACGATAGGTCACCCATAAAGAATCGCGTTTCAATGATTGCCGTACTCTTTGCTCGCGCACGAAGAACGTCTTCCTCGTTCGGTATGTATGTTGGCGCCGCTATTCGATGGATGGAATTGAAGAAGCTTTGGTCAAGTCAGACTTGTTTGGAAAAAAAGGGGGGGATGTACTCACTAGCTCGCGCTGTCCATGAGATAAAAGTCAGCCGGATGGTCATCGACCATTTTTTCGACGACAGGCAGTCGAGAAATATGCCATATTGCGTCAGCAAGCGCTGGCGTAAGCACCGCGTGTGTTTGGGCCAGCACATCGGCTGCGTGTGGGGAGTCGGTTGTTGGTATTCGGCCAAGCGGCATTCCACCCAGATACCCTCCGTCTCTGGTGAATGGCACTGGGTCGAGACCAACCTCAACACCGCTGCTGTCCAGAGTCCCAAGGGTACCGGTCAAACTCCCACTTGTTGTTGACCCCTCGATGTCCGTTTCGCCCTCCAATCCAACGGGACCCATTGTAACCGTTGGGAATGCACTGAGTAGCACCCCCACAAGCCGTCTGACCTCCTCTCCCTCCGTCGCTATGCGCTCCACCCCGACCCTTCTTACAACTCGTGCCAACGTCGCCGCACTGTCCAGTACATTCTTGTATATCGTTGGCCGGTAAACCGCTCTTTCTTGTGTGTCGTAGCCTCTCTGGTGGATAATCTTCATCTGTGAATGATTCGTTAGCCCTGAAGCATTATCATGCTTTCAAGGAGACACACCTGCTTTACAATTGTTGACTTGCCCGACTCTCCGGAGCCCAGGAGCAGAATCTTGCATTCCTTCTTGAAGCGCTTCGAGTCTTCCTGAATCGTCCGGTCAATAGCGTCTGACCGTGCCCGCTCAGTGCGGGCTTCTTTGGAGGCTGGCTGCCCCATCCTCGGGAGGACTGTCCAAGTTTGATAAATTGCGTCTGATCAGTCATCCTGTGACTACGATGTGACTATTCCTTTTGACAGCCCCAACCCAACTTGGTTGCTTCCTAGAGAGTGTCCAGGTGGCAGTCTCGTGAGATCGAAGAAAGTGGGATATACCGAACTAGAACAATGAGCGGCTTCGAGTGTTAACGGATCCCCGAAATGTTGTTCTAGCAGGGTTATGTAAATCCTTTCGTCTAATCGCACCGCCACTTGTGCTGGAGATGTCCCGACTCCCGCAATCCATTTTTATCCCGGCATGATCGGATGCTCAAGCCTGTTTTCTTTTCCTCTCCGCTCTGTCATCATGATGGAATCGTGGTCAAGACTGCCTGGCGCCGGAAATGCAGCAAAACTGGTAGCTGCCAACTCGAAGAGCCCCCCACCAATTGACACCCTACCCTCCGAGCTATTGGTTCATATCGTTTCGGAAACGGTCAATGGCAACTCTGGAGACATTCGGACGCGCAAGACCCCGCAAGATGAACAGCATTGTCTGGCGAAAGAGGAGCTTTTTGGGGCTCGCTTCTGTGCGTATTGAATCTCAATGCTGTTTTGTCAGGGTTCGGATGACCCTCAGTAGGTTTGCCATCGTTGGCGCGACATCATTATGCACACACCCAGTATCTGGTCGCATATCGACGTCTGCTCCGAATTGTGGGATATGGCAAAGAAGAGTCTGGACTCAGATCGTGTTGACCCAGAGCGTTTATTCAAGCTTGTCAAGCGCTCACTCACTTACTCAGGCTCCCATCCCTTGACCCTGTGTCTCTCAGCAGACAGCGAAAACTCGGATTTTGCAGTCCGACTCTTGCGTTGGTTCTCCGCATATTCCCAGCGTTGGAGAGAAGTTCAGCTCCAAGTCGCTTCCAATTCAAGTTGTTTTCTCTCGGGGGCCAAAGGCAAACTCGACCAGTTGGAGACTCTTGGAATCTACTACTCCTCTGTAGACGATGTCAATCCTCCATTTGACGCATTCGCTATCGCACCACGACTACATTCATTCGACTTCCATGGGGTTAGCAAGTGTCGTCCTTGCATTCCCTGGCGACAGTTGAAGCTGTTGCGATGGACGGACGAAGACTTTTCCTGCTCATCGATCCCTTTGCTTCCGCTAGGAGAGTTGTGCGATGGATGCCATACCAACTTATATCTTGTCGCTCAAGATCACACGCCGACATTACTCAATACACCCATCGAGTCGAGAATTGCTTCCTTGTCCCTTTGGTTTTCCATGTTCAACCTCGACATCGCGTCGGTTAATCCTATCCTCGACGTATTTTTCGACTCATTTACGCTTCCGCAACTGCAAGAGCTCATACTGCTAACGGTCAACGCCCCGAGCAGCTTCTTCTTCCCCATCATGTGGCGTCCTTCATCCACACAATCATTTGCAGCGCTAGCTAGACGGTCAGGCTTCCGTCGCTCACTGTTGCGGTTGCAGATCTGTGTTCCCATTGCTGAAGACGCTCTATTCGAAGTGTTGGGCCTCTTGCCACTTCTAGAGACGATTACAATTGGCGATGTACACCCCTACGCAGTAGGAATCGGTCAACAGGTCACCGATAGCCTACTGGCTCGATTTACGCAATCAATGCATATTACTCCTCAGCTCCGACGCCTCAGTCTGCTTACGCTGTTACACTTCGAGGACGATTCCTTGGTGCAGCTTCTATATGCTAGAGCGTCGAGGAAATTCAAATTTGAATTGGAGGTTTTCTGTATCGCTCACCCATTGCGGGATATATACGAGGAACCTCTCCAAACCAAGGCGGAGAGGATAGAGCCAAAAGTCCTTTTGCGCATTGGTGTTGCACCTCCAGACATGAATGATCAACTGGGTCCTTGAAATCCATTTGTGGTTCAACTTTCTCCCCATACCCTTCTATCTTTTGATTGTGTGTTACTCTGAATCCTTATTACCAGTGTTATTAGTAGTAGTGTACTCATTGCAGAAAAAATGCTAGGATTTCAAGTCGCTTGTTCTACGTGTACTTCTTTTCGCTGCCTGAACTAATGAGCCTGGCAAGTTAGAGCAAAAATTCCCAAATATGGAATCCGGCGGTCATTTATTGACCTCTGTTTGTTCTTTCCGTCACCGACACGGATTTTCGCCACCTGCGAATACGTGGCACTCATCGTCAGGCACCCATGCTGGTGTTCGGCAGGATGGTCTGCTTCATCCTCGCCACCCTCTTTCTCTGTCCCTCGTGGATTCTAGTTGCGGCAGCCTCGACAACGACAAACGACCCATTCAGAGCGATCGCTGCTCGCGTTGTCAAGCAACCGGAACCACCAATATGTTGTCTCGTCCCCCCGCCTTCAAATGACCACCAAGAGGACCTCTTATTGTCTTTCGAGGAGTGGAAAGAGAAACGAATCGCTGCCGGAGATGTTGAGAGTGGGGTGACAACGCTGCAGGACGGGACAGGTGGTAACGGGCAGGGGGGCATTAACTCGGAAAGGGCTGGAGACGGGGCTGGAGAGGTTCCGAGCTTGACACCCGCTGACAACGCCAACTCTAAAGCAGTTGTTTCGCCGTTGGTCGCTGATGAGTACACACCATCCCCCCATTTTCGCGTCCCCATCACCGACCGCTTTAATTACGCCGCCCTCGACTGCTCTGCTCGCGTCCATATCTCCCACAAAGCCGCCAAGTCAGCACTCTCCATCCTTTCGCACAAACGCGACAAATACATGCTTAGCCCATGCCGAGAGAAGGAAACACAGTTTGTTGTCGTCGAGCTCTGCGACGACATCCGGATCGACACAGTCCAGCTCGCCAACTTCGAGTTCTTCAGTGGCGTGTTCAAGGAGTTCACCGTCAGCGTCGCCAAAACATATACGACCGATCCAGAAGGCTGGACGTTTGCTGGAACTTACTTGGCGAAGAACATACGAGTTGTTCAGTCCTTCCATCCCCCCACGACCCTCAGAGACTTTTATCGCTTTATTCGAATCGATTTCCGCTCCCACTACGGGAACGAATATTACTGTCCAGTCTCGTTACTGCGGGTATATGGCCTGACCCATTTGGAGGAATATAAGTGGGATGTTTGGCAGGAAGAAAGTCGGGCTCGGTTGCGTGCAGTATCGGCTTCTAGCGCCAGCTCAGCAGCATCTACACCGGTCGAGGTTAATGAGCCAGAACCTGCTCCGGCACCAGAGATTCGAATACCGCCATCGTATTCTGAATATGTCAGTGCACGCGAAAGTCTTGGGTCTAAACAGGACGGGCCGACACACCCGAACACAATTGCCATCGCAAAACTCCTGCCTTCAGAATCAAATGAAAAGGGTCAGCAAGCTATGCGGAGGTCGGATTCGAGCGCGGAATCGAGGAGTGCTCTCATTCTTGAGACTCTCTCGTCCGCTTCATCCCAAGTATCTCGACAAAGCAACTCAGAATTGGGAACCGCTCCCACTCTCACAGAATCTGCGAAGCCCATCGCACCATCCTCGACAGATGAAGGGACCACCAAGAGCAAAATCATGTCCTACAGCTCCACACCTTCTGTTATTGCTATTTCGGGAGCCTCTTTGACTTCCGTTATAAAGCATACCTCCACCAACTCCGAACCATCCAGCTTTGAGTCATCTGAAATTTCCTCAATTCCGACCCCGTCTCTTTCTTCGATATCAAACACAGCCGCCAATGCTGCTCCTCCCCCACCGAACTCCAACTCCAACTCCATTTATCGCACCATCATGAACCGGCTGTCGGCTCTGGAAGCAAATCACACATTATTTTCGCAATATATGGAGGAGCATCGTGTCTATGCGCGATATGTCGAAGAGCATACAGCAGCCGTTCGAGAGCTTCTAAGGAGAGTTGGGGAAGATATAGGACGGGCGGAGGCTGTTGTCAGTCAACCCTCGTTCATGTCCACTGCAGAGACTGATTATCATGATTAGGCTCGTGCTCAAGCACAGAAATGGGATCGTCAACGGAAAAGAGTAGATGCAGAACAACTGGCACTAATCAAGCGAGTGGACTACCTAAGTGAGGAGGTGATATTCTTTTCGGTTGCTATTCATTTGCACTCACTTTTAATTTGAGATCGTTCTTGAAAAGCGCCTCGGTATTGCCCAGCTGCTCCTTCTGCTCGCCATCCTCGTGTTTTTGACCCTCACCCGCGGATCTCCTTCAACGAGCATTGTTTCCAATGCAAATATGCAACACTCCGCCTCAGCTTCATTGCGAGCTTGGGGTAAGAGACATTTGAGTTTAAGAAGTTTCGGAAGCGGTAGTCGGAGTCGGCGAAATAGTGAGGATGACTGGGACTGGGTTGGGAGGCTGAAGAGGGAGCGGAGTCCGAGTTTTGTGAGAGGTATCAAAAGAGAAGAAACAGAACAACGTGAGCATGACGATTTTACTTCTTTTCGCCACTGATAACGTGTCTTGTTAGGTCTCGATAAGAAAGCGAGCGTGGAATTCCCTCGACTAGAGAGCGAAGCCAAACCACTGGCTATCGCTGCGCCGACACCTCTTCCCGCTCATCCGTCAATATTAAATCCATCTACCTCTATCGCACTTCCAAATCGTGACGATACGGACACACCTATACCAACTTCGAGCAAACACAAACCCGCACGCCTCAATTTACTGCCTGTTGTCTCCCGGCAAAGAACTCGTAGTGCAGGAAATAGCACACTTGTTCTCGAGGGCGGTGTCGCGTCAAGTTCTGGCAGGAGACCGAGTACAAGGACTGCTCCAAACAACGTTGCAAGGTCATCTCATCGACGGGTATCTAGACCCGGAACCCCGACACATATTCATGGCTATTACGGACCCCATCCCTCTCTCCAAACCCAATCACATTCCGCTGGATCATTCCCAATGACTCATTCTATATCCCAAGACTCCCATGCTGGACCGAGAAGTGCCAGAAAGTGGGCCAGGACGGCGCATTTACACGAACTGAGGTCACCGCCGGCAGCAAGTGCACAAGCGCCACTACCACCTGAAGTGGGAGCTGCAAGGGTGGTATCGGATTTGGATGGCGACGAAACGGCAAATCGAGCGGATAGTGACGAAAAAGACATCTTTTCCTCGATGTCTCCTTTCCCGGCATCTGCAGGGGAACAGTCAAGCTCACCACGGTCTCCGACTGCGCGCTGGGGAATCGGGATGTCGCATTTACATCATGGCCTTGCAGGCGATGTCTTGGGGGATGATGGTGATGGCGATGGAGACTCGCAGTGGGTCGATACTGATGAGGGCGAATCTGAGATGGGAGACGAGTTGGTCGGTGCTTCAAGTCCAGACCCCCAGGACAAACCTCTGATTTCATCCTCGCCGTCTCCTTCCGGACGGTCGTCGTCGTCTTTACCATGGGTTGGTCAGGTCTCCGTTGGGGCTTGACGGGTTGCGTCGTTGGTTTTCTTTTTCGCACATTTCCATGGCATACATATATATCAGCATTCCGCATCCACACGCATAAGTAGCATTTCGTTTTATGAGCTTTCGCACTTGCAATACTTGCATACTATCTGTTTCGCTATCCTTCTGCTATCCTGCACAGAGACAGCAAGATGCTCAAGGTCAGAATCCCAACAAAACATAGACCTACTCATCGGACCGATCGGCGGATGGGCGACGACGGGATTCGGCTCTATCCGATTGCCCGTCGCCAAGACTCGTGAGGCATCAAGCATACCAAGTTGACCAACGAGAAAGCTACCAAGCGCTACTCTTGTATATTCCACAGTCGCGTCGACCTTCCAGGATGGAAACGACCCAAAAATGACCATTCAGCGACAGCGATGTTAAGGATAAAAATCTCCTGCGCGTTTTTAGGTGTGGGCGCTCTCACGTTCACAAGCGACGGCTGTCAAAAACGAAGGCGGAGAAGCCTGCGCGCTTCCGGGAAACTTGCAAGAAGCGTCGGCAGTCGGCAGGAAGCAGCCGGCGCCAGGATTTGAGCTGGGGAACTAGAACTGGAGAGCTGACGAGCGCGCTTTTGAGCTCAAGAACTGTGTCAACTCCTCCAAAAGTACCTTTATATCGCCTTTATAACTTCCCAAAGTTCCCATTGACATAAGTTGCTTCCGACGGTCAGCGGATCACATGTGGGGATCCATTACCTAATATCACGTTCTCGGTCGCCCTCGCTTCTTGACATCGCAACGACAACAGCACGGCTTCGCGCTTCAGCAGGATGACGGGAACGTGTGCATACCTTGGCGACGGGTTTCTGAAAGTATATTGTCTCTATCATCGCGGCAACAACGTTCCTCTTTCCCTCTTTCTTTTTCGGTGCTGGCCACAATGAACTCACAACAACTTCCAGTGCCAAAAACGACACACGCTCTCAAATCTGAGCAGCGGACAAGGTTGATACGGTCGACTCGAAAGATGGAGGCCGTGCTTGGCGAGACACCCTTTTTTGTTGATTCGTCCCCTCGTTCCTCTTTGCTTTCCGCTCCTTCTCAACTACAATCCACCACTGAAACGCGACGGGCCAGAGCCGCGTACATCTACACACCTACCCCTCGCCGCTCTTCCCTCGAAAATCTCGAAGAAGAGGGTGGCCCCGCAGCGTATTCGCGTCCCGTGCTGGCCGTCCGTCTACCACCATCCTCAGGGAGCTATCGCAGCCATGCACCAAACGATTCCATTGAATCACCCCTCATGTCAGCCGCCTCCATGTCAACCACATTCTCTTTTTCCATCCCTTTTACACCAGGCCACGAGTCCAAACGCTCCTCTGGCTCCGTGTCAAGCGCATCCTCTATGACCGCCGCCGCCGCAATTCGTCGCGCGCGTACTCGTAAACTGGCAAAGGTTACGCGTACTTTGGGCGAGCGTGTTCCTCAAGAGCTAGTATTTCCAACAACCTCAAATGCAAAGCGACGGTCTCGTCGGCAGTCCCTTTTGGCGCAGTCCGCTACCAATGCTGTCATGCCCACCAGGAGGACGACTGTGCTCCGTCATGCGAGTCAAAGACGGCGAATAGACGAGGCTATGGCGAGACAGGGTGCAGAAGGTGATATTGCGAGCGTGTATTCTACACTTTCTGGCGCAGATTGGGTTGTTGGTATGTTTCCAAACATGTTTTGTTGACCTTGACGGGCTTTGACATAACAATCAGCGTCCTCTCTTCGAACTTTATCGAATGCTCCAATTCACTCGAGTACACAACCTGAACCCATTGCATATTCGAATGCATCTCCACCACCAGCACGAACCCCTTCGGTCTCTTCACCCGCCAATCCGAGCTCGCTCTCTCGTTCCAACTCCAATGGACAACTTTATCGCCGTTCAGGCCTGCCGCCTAACCCACGAGTCAGCATTCCTCCAACACCCGTACCGACAAGCAGAGTATCGATGTCACCATCCTCTGCATCCCCAGTTCGTTCACCATCTCAGAGTCAACCTCGTCGTTCGGCTAGCATACGGTCACAGGGACCAGGACTTGGCCGATCACGTTCAGGATCGGCTGGCTCGCTGGGTGGTTTTAATCCTTCTCGCGTCCCCTCGTCGTCTGGCGCAGAACTGCCACCACCCCTTCCCAGCAATGCACCGTTTCCTTTCGATAGTAGTGCTCCTTACACTCCTGTATCTCGCGCGCCATCAACTCGTCGAGGCGTGCCTATTATGACCAAAGAGAGCCCGATATTGCCCTCGCCTTCGTCATCATTCTCGCCTACTTCGTCCATTCCGTCGAATACCCCCCTCCCGCCACCACCAGGTCTGGGCTTTGACGGCCGAGGAACCCATCGAACAGAGAAGGGCTGGTCTGGAGAGTGGATAACGGAAGATGGATCTGGACGGGGGATGGAGAGCATGAATGATGTTGCGCGGAAGCTGAGGGAAATGCGCATCAAGTAGACCGACTTTCCAAAAGACGAAGGTCTCCGAGTCATGAATATTGACGACCTTTCATGATCACTGTTGTTTTCTATTTGGAGGGGTTATAAGAAGCGCGTTGGCATAGAGAAGATGCTAGATATTACTTATTAATTAGATAGTGTATTAATCGCACAAAAATTGAAAACAGCTGGCTTTGGGAGTCTCGATTCGGTTGATAATGGATCACGTGGACAATCGGCATATCTTTCACTTCGCTCAAACTTCGCTCCTGTTGTGCAAAGTCCACGCAGAACACCGTAAAACAAACAACCTTGTTCTTCGCCGTAATCAACTCACCACCTGCTGCTGATTGGGAATCGCCTGCGCCACCGCACGCTGAACTCGGAAGGCAAAATTCGCTTTTAAAGTTTCACTGCTGCTTCCAACTTGACCAGAACTCATCATGCTCCAACAAGCGCTCGACTTTCTTAAAGACTGAGCGTTCTTGGTGCTCGCATTGTCTCAGCTACTTAACTGAACTGAAGACGGGTTGAGAGCCCCAGCGCCGGTTACAGTGAGTGCTTTTGAATTTGCATCGACAGAATTCCCTTCAATTAGACGTCAGATTTGATCCCCAACGGTCAAATACGCAACAAAGAGCAGATATAGACGCTGGTCGCAGGATATAAAGAGGACCCTGGCTCGGAAAACAGCCACCATCGAAGCTTTGTTGCCATGAGCGCCGACTCGTTCGAAACTGTGAATCCGACTCCAGAACCTTTAGCAATGGGCGTGGGCTTATCCGACCCTTCCATGGCGCATGGGCGTCGCCAGATGCTGGACATGGTAAACCGTTTGCACAACACTGGGTCCGTGTTGGTTGACTATCATGTTTCCTCTCTATTGACCAAGCCGCAGCGTTCAAGTCGACATTGACCTCCCTCAAATCGCTGTGATCGGCAACCAAAGCGCAGGGAAATCTTCGCTCATCGAGTCGATTTCTGGTATTACGCTGCCTCGCGCAGCCGGAACTTGTACTCGGTGCGTTTGCGACTGTCTTAGGTTGCGTGGTGCTTAGTTACGTGCTCTAGCTGCCCCACCGAGTGCCGCCTCTCTCGCTCTACCTCTCCATGGAAATGCATTGTAGAGCTGCGATACATCACCGACAAAAATGGACAACCTCTCGGCCAGGCTCGTACTGAGCGCTTTGGTGATCCAGTCGCAGACAAGTCCGAGGTTGAGGACCGCATTCGTCGTGCCCAACGCGCTATCCTTAATCCTAGTACTTCTTCCAAGTCTTTCTTGGGCGACGACAATGAGGATGACATGAATGAACTTTCATTCTCCAACAACTATATCTCGCTTCAGATTAGTGGTCCCGAGATGGCGGATCTGTCTTTCGTCGACTTGCCTGGTGTGTCTGTCTTGTCTTCAATTCTGAAAATCACTGATCACACTCTTTGTACTTGTAGGGCTCATCGCGAGTGTTGGCCGGGATGGCAACGAGCGTGACATCGAAATGGTCAAAGCTTTGGTGACCTCTTATATTTCGAAACCCAGCTGCGTAGTCCTTTTGACGGTCGCATGTGAAAGTAATGTATATTGTCGCCTTCGGGTACAGTTGTTCACCTTGCTTGCCTAGCCGATTTCGAAAATCAAGGTGCTCATCATCTCGCAAAGCAGTATGACCCCGAAGGCAAGCGTACTGTCGGTATGGTCCTCCTTTCTGATTACGATGCATCGGACTTACCCTCCATTCAGGCGTCCTTACGAAACCGGACCGTATTCCCAACGGCGAAGAAGAAAACTGGCTTCCCCTGATTCGCAACGAACTCGAAGCATTGGAGCACCACTGGTTTTGCGTCAAGCAGCCAAGCTCGCAGGAGCTAAAACAGGGCATTACCTGGGCAGAGGCGCGGGCCGCGGAGAATGATTTCTTTTCGCTTAAAGCCCCTTGGTGTGATTTGTCGGCATTGCACCAGAAGTACCTTCGCACGACCAATCTCATCGACAAGCTCAGCTTGATTCTCTCGGATTTGATTTCAAAACGGTTTGTTCTTTATTGATGCCTGATTTCGCTGTTTATTGAATCTTTTCTAGTCTTCCCGAAATCCAAATCGAGTTGGAGCGATCCGTTCAAAAGACCCAGAGTGCCTTGCAAAAACTGCCGAAACAGCCCTCGAGCGATGCCGTTGGCGAGGTTGCTGGGATGCTCGCGGTCTTTGTTGAGGAGCTGAACCGCATTGTCGAAGGGGTCCCCAAGGCTGACGGATTAATTCAGAGTATTCGACCGGCACAACAAGAGTTTAGGCACTCGATATTTAATACCGCACCTGACTTTTCACCTTTGGAGAGCACGGACAACATCACTCCACGAGAGTCGCTCTACGGCGATCAGGAAGACGCAATCAGCATTGGGCCGACTACAACGTTTGGAAGAACGATCTATGTTGATGAAGTTCACAAGTGTGCCGAAGAGTATGTGTCTAACACATCGACTTTCGGATATGAGCGATTTGACTGACATGAAATGGTAGTGCTCGCGCTAGAGAACTGCCTGGAAATTCCCCATTCTCAGTCCAACTGTCGTTCATTCAAGAGTTTACTACTCGTTGGGAAGATCCGGCCCAGACTTTGTGTGTTGCTGTCCATGCCACACTCTCCGAACATCTGAAGGCTCTGGTCACGAAGCATTTCTTGGGTTATGGACAAGGAGGATTGGAGCAACGCATGAAGTCTGCTTTCCATCCTCTCGGCAACGGACATTGGTTGACCACTGATAGGATTCTTGTACAAGAACGGCTCCAACGATGCACAGCAGCGACCCAAGCTTTAATCAGCAAACTGGTCGCGTTGGAAGAGCCCGGTCCCCTTACCCTGAACAACCACTACTTGTCTGATTACAAGGAGAAATATCTGACTCGTTATCGTGCTGCTCGCGAAAAGAAGACCAACAGTGAATTTACGTCTACAATCCAGAATCACCGACGCAAATCATCATACGCCAGCGAAATAACCGAAATTCTTAGTCACCTCGCCACCATGGGTCTCCGCGATGTCAAGGCTGCTGACCTCACTAAGCTCTTGCCGACCGATGAGATGGAGCCGGCACTTCATATAATGGCTGACGTTCGCGCATACTTCCAAGGTAATGAACTCGTTTTTCAATTAGCAATCGATCGATTTAATAATTTGCAGTTGCCTACAAACGGGTCACTGACATCGTCCCACTGGCTATTGACCACGAACTTGTTCGCGGCGTAGCGCGTGGCCTTCTTCCGATTCTCTACAACGGGCTTGGGATTGGCGGGGCTGACGGTGTTCGAATCTGTCGGGAGTTCGCGCAAGAAGGCTCAGATGTTGCTGCCATGAGGGAAGAGTTACTCAATAAGATGGAGCGTCTTCAAGTAGCACGACAGGAACTTGTCCAGGTCGAAATTTGAAGCAATTGAATGCACTTGGCTATACTTCGTGTTCGTCATAGATTCAGAGCTTCACAATAGAAAGAAATGTAGTCTGCGTGGGAACAGCCTTGGTCTGGGTCTCTGCTTGTGTCGCTATATATATCCTTTCTCTCGCCATTCTTGCATGAGCGAGGTCCTGCGCTCATTCTCCTCTTCACCTCTCCTTGTTTCAGCAGTGCTGGCCTCTTTTAATGGCGGAAACGCAGCCCATCTCCAACTCCCGTCATCTTGCATACCCGCACCGATGTCAACAAAGGATTCGAATTCCATATTCCCGATCTCGAGATTTGCGATCATAGCATGAATTTCCTCGTACGGCAAGCGACAGAAGACGCCTTCAACGTCGTCCTCGAAGGGGACATTATGGAAATCTTCGCCGAAAACTGTGCATTGGTAGACTTTGCCCACAAGCGCAGTTGATGATTCGAGACCCGCCTGGTCAACGGTGACCCAGATGGTGGGGCTGAGTTTGTTTGCGAGGAACGAGGCACGATGAGAGTGAACGAATGCCCGAATGGATTGTGTGGACATGCCCGCGAAGAAGTTCTCTGATGGCAACAGCATGCTCTTGCCAGCCTCAACCGGAAGGGGAAGATTGGTCGGCTGAATGAAGGTCGTTCGAGGGTGTTTCAAGTTCTGTTCCTCGTCATCTAGAGCATCGAGTATGGCGCGCTCCTTTGGAGTTATGAGTACCCAATGATGGTTCAACGGGTCAGTGTGGTATTGAGTGAGATCGAAGTCCAGCATGAGCAAAAATGCGCGGTTCAGGGCCTTGGCGAATAATGTTGGTCAGCTACAAATACAATTAGGACAACGAACTTGGGACGAAAACGATGAAGCAGTAACGAAAACTGCGCAGTTGCTGGTCATCGTAGACGCAGGTAGACCGTAGACGCCTGGTAAGTGAGGTTGGCCTCTATGGCAAAGCGCAGCGTTGCCAGAGTGATGCTTGAGCCAAAAAGAGGTGGAAAGTGGAGAGCCAGGCCCTACTAGTAGAGAGCTGCCTAACGACTTGGCCGCTTGTCATTTCGGTGTTGGTGCAATGCAATTGAACTCAAATTGAACTCATCCTGATTTCTGACAGATACTCGCATTTGGAGCTAAAGCCACCCATTATTGGCGAAATCTGTAGTCAAAGACGGAACAGCGGATGACGAAGACCGATCAGCCACATTTGTGATGGACTGCTGGCTGCCATCTCCCAATCTCCCCACACGCCCTTTGGATTACCTCGCGACCTTGTTGGCAGTGGCCGACCTATCTCATAGACGGTAGACACCTAGCGCAATACGACGGAGGCGTGTGACTCGGACCATAGACGCAAGGTCGAGGACTGCTAAGAACTGACATGACCATGGACGACACTGGTGGCTGGCGATTCGCCCAGGCGTTCGGAGACAAGGGAGAAATTGAGGAGATTACTGAGGGTACGTGCCACTCTATTTGCTCGCCCTTTAAACCGGCTCACGAATCGTTCCTCCAGCTGATATCATCTCCGCCGTCGAGTTCGACTCGACAGGCGACTTCCTCGCGACAGGTGATAAGGGTGGTCGCGTGGTGCTCTTTGAGCGCAACCTCGGCAAGCGCGCATGCGAATACAAGTTCTACACCGAGTTTCAATCACACGAGCCCGAATTTGACTACCTGAAGAGTTTGGAGATCGAGGAGAAGATTAACAAGATACGTTGGTGTGGGAGAGGGAATAGTGCGCATTTCTTGGTATCGACCAATGGTGTGTGTGTCCATCTGTGAAAGAATCTGGCACTGAATACCTGCAGACAAGACTATAAAGCTGTGGAAGGTCTTCGAGAAAACATTGCGCGTAGTAGCGGTGACAAATCACTACGATGGGCAACGCCCATTACCCGCACCAACGATGAAGCAGCACTTGCGCCTACCGAGGACTATGGAGCAGGACAAGATTATTGCGGCTGTTCCTAGAAGGATATACGCAAATGCACACGCCTACCATATTCATTCGATTTCCGTCAACTCAGACCAGGAGACTTATATATCGGCCGATGACTTGAGAGTCAATCTGTGGAATTTGAATGTCCACGATCAAAGCTTTAGTGCGTCGTTATTTCTTCTAAGATTCTCCACATTGACTTAGCGCGAAGATATCGTGGATATCAAGCCACAAAACATGGAAGAGCTCACTGAGGTTATTACCACCGCGTCATTCCACCCTTCCCACTGCAACATCTTCATGTATTCGTCATCCAAGGCCAGCATCCGACTTGCCGACATGCGTGAAGCTGCGTTATGCGGAACTCACTCGAAACGCTATGAAGACCCACCAGATCCATCGACCACTTCATTCTTTTCGGAGATCATATCCAGCATCTCTGATGCTCAGTTCTCGCCCGACGGTATGCGGATTCTTGCCCGCGACTACCTCACCCTCAAAGTATGGGATGTGCGCAATGAATCAAGACCATTGAGAACCATACCTGTCCACGATCATCTTAAGAGCAAACTCTGCGACTTATATGAAAATGACTGCATTTTCGACAAGTGGGAGTGCATCTGGGGAGGAGACGGGCGGAAGGTGCTGACTGGGTCATATGGGAACTACTTCAAGGTTTATGATGTTAATGGGGAGGATGCTGGGGAGGAAGAGGGCAAGGATGTCGTTTTGCAGGCTGACAAGAGCGTTTTAAAGACTACCAAGAAGGGTTTCGGTGGTATGTGACATGCAATCTCAAATCGCAGGGTTAATACTCAAATCTAGGCAAAGGTCCTGGTGGGCGAACCCTCCGCGAGGCAATGCATAATGAGCCTCAAGATTTCAACAAGAAGATACTCCATGCAAGCTGGCATCCCAAGGAGCCAACTGTTGCGGTGTGTTTCTGTTTTCTTCACTGTCAACATGCTGATGTTCTTGGTAGATTGCGGCGACGAATAGTCTGTTCGTCTATACGGCCGCCTAACACACTAAGAATCATTCAAACGGCTGGATCTGGATTTGTGGCGCGCTGTTGGCCTGGTGTCTCAACATTCTGCCACTGATTCCGGCTCTTAACGTTTATTCTTAGTGGATGTTTTTGACTCGGTGGGTTCCTTGGGGAGTGGCATAAGAAGAATACTGTACGGACGAAAAAGAATGGAATTCAGTGTATATACTATGTGGAGCAGAGCCCACTTTGGCTGAGCGACCGTGCTAATAATTCGGGTAGTGACAGATGTGCGGAGTGGAGAAGGTAAGATGACGAAGCTTACTGCTGGTTTTCCGAGAATGAGCGCCAGCGGATCACAGCCTGCGACGTCATGTAACAAACCATCGTCTTCTCACATTTGACCAGTGGAACTTATAAGAGGCCGTTCCTCTCCTCTATCGTCCATCTGAAACCCTTCACACCACACCCATCATGTCCTCTAGAATCATTCTCGTCACTGGCTCAAATACTGGTATCGGTTATGAGCTTGTCCACCTACTTGCTGCAAAGGGACATACTGTGTATCTAGCGTCGCGCAAGGAAGCTGCGGGGCTGGCTGCAGTGTAAGTCTTGTAACCATGGGTAATGGATGACTGAGACGGTATTGGCAGCGAGAAGATCAAGAAAGAGAAGGGATTTGACGTCAAGTTTGTCCAACTCGACACGAACGACAGCAAGTCTGTCGATACCGCCGCTGCCAAGATTAAGGCAGACGAAGGACGACTGGATGTGCTCGTGAACAACGCCGGCGCGTTATCCATATTCTTGTTCCTCTTACCCTACTTATTGCCTTTGGTCTGTGCAGGTATCGCTGAAATGACAGTACAGCAAAGCGCTTCAGAGCCCAGCATCCCCGCCATCCGAAACACCATCGAAACCAATTTGATTGGGCTTATCCAAACTACCACCGTCTTCCTTCCTCTCCTCCGTTCATCGGCGACATCGACCCAGCCGGCTGTGATTCTCAATGTCTCAACCGATATGGCCTCTAACAGTTTTATGGCCTCTCCCAAAGGATATCTTCATCAAACGCTCGCCTATAATACGTCCAAAGCAGCTGCAAATGCCTACACCATCGCGTTGGCCCGGGAGATGAAGGACAAGGGGGAGAATGTCAAGGTTAACGCGGTGACGCCTGGATTCACGACGACTGCCTTGAATGGCTTCGCTGACGGTGGGAAGACGCCAGAGCAAGGAGCGGCAACGATGCTCCCGTGGATCTTGTTGGAGTCAGATGGCAAGACTGGTAAGTGCTATTTATTCTTTTTTCTGCGGTAGTTCTTAACGACTCAATGCAAGGCGCCTTTGGGTTTGACGGAGGCGAATTCCCGTGGTGAATGCGGCTTGTCCACTGCAGATAACTTGAAGAAGTAATTCGAAGGCGGCAATGTACTACTACCTCGACCTGAGCAACAAAGATTCCATCCAATTTAACCCTAGACTGAACAACCTTTAACCAAAGAACTCGTCACGCAGACAATCAAAGCCCCGCAGATATCAAAATAACTCGAAAGCCCGAGCAACCTCTTTCCTGGCGAAGAATCATCGAGTACTCGTACCCGATTCACATAATCCTGCCAACACCACCACCGCCAGGCGCAAGGTGACCGAATCCGTCGCTGGGCTTATCTGGGACAGCGACTTTGACGGAGGGGATGTCGACTTCGGCGCTGGTATTGTTTTTGTGCGAGTCATGATCATGCAAAGGGTGGATAATCTTATCGACAAATGCTGCGACTAGGCTGTGTCCGGCGTGCTTCTTGTCCTCCAGCGGCTCTTGGTTAGCGACCGTCTAAGCAGAGGTTCAATAGCTGATAGCGGCGAGAGAGAAATCTCGTCGCTTGAACGTACCTCAAGATTGGAGTCGGTGCTTCCAGCACTATTAGTGGCGGTAAGAGTTTTCACTGTCTGTGCACGATGAGTTAACAGATATAAAGCACGCGGTAGTTGGCGTACCTCAGCCATAGGTTTCTCAAATTGCGCTTGCAGTGCGAATAAGCTGAGCACCAGTGAGCTACTCGTCACAGTTTGAGTCCTTTTATATGCGTATCCCCCCATGCTGATAGGAAAGTCCACGACTAGTGAGTAGCTGATAAGTCAAAGCATGCGCGCTGCTAATGTATTGAAGACAGGGCATATTCATGCGATAAGGCTCCCAATGCCAGTTGTCGTGTAGCTCAATGATTTCTTCTTCTTCAATAAATGATCGGTTTCCGTGATTTCCTCAGGGCTGAGAGTCCGTTGAACGCCGGGCTTGTATAGTCAAAGGTATCTGAGATCACGAGGTGTGGTTCCTTGTAGTTGCTTTTCTTGACACTTCGATATAATTTTATTGAAATGCGGGGGATCTCCGAACGATGCTTCGCCTGAGACTCAGAGAATGATCACACCAGGAACGGGAGAATTCACTATGAGCGAGGTCCTGATGAGCGCACATTTTAAATGAGCACGCTATTATATTCTTGACAAGTTAACTTATTGTGAGTGATGTGATTGCGGCGATCCAAAAATTGCCTTTCTTGTCGATGAGTGGGATCTGTGTGACATAGTGACGTGATTCTCTGACTCAGCTTTTCTTGCTGACCCTGGACCATCGGCTTTTTTCGGACATTCGGGCACACAATGCAAGGGCACAAAGGAACTGACGCTCGGGCTCCGCGGCGCCCATCGATACACTGTCGCCCCATCACTGCTGCGGAAACCGTCTCCTTGAGACACTCTGTGCTCTGGCCAAACAAGGACGTCGCGTATGTCCTCCTGCCAGAGGACGCCAACGGCTGGCACTACGGCGCGTTCATCACAGGCCAAATTCCCTCTGTCGACGTCTCTGGCCTAGGGCTGCCAGTGGAAAGTAGCGACGAAAACTCCAGCGGCTCTAGCGATCCCCTTGCGGTAATATCGCTTTTTGCGGAGGAATTCCCGGCGCCCGGGCCCAGCGACAGTGCGGTGTCCATCGATAACGAAAATCTGGAAACGGCAGCTGACGAGCTGGAGACTCAGCGTGGGCGTGTGCTTGTGGAAGGGAACGACAGCAATGATGCTGGCAGTCGGCGCTCCATCCGGTTCCGCAAGTTTGCGTGCGACTCTGAGCATCAGGTTCGTCTGCGGTCCTTCTCCTTTCTTCCCTCGGTCTTCGCTGACTTCTCCTCATCAGGGCCGGGGACTGGGCACGGCGCTACTTGCTCATATTGCTACTGTAGCGTTTTCGCAACTCTATGGCAATCTCCTGTGGTGCGATGCAAGAGAGGCGACGCGCAGCTGGTACGAACGTCGAGGATTGACGGTATCTGGGCCGAAGTTTTACAAGGGGGAAGTCGCCTACGTGCGAATGAAGATGGTTCTCGATAAGACTCGGCCGGAATAAGGGCAAGTCTGCCGCAGGGAGGATGGGTTCCTTGGCGGTAAGGCCATTAGAGACGGGTGGCGACGTTTGGCGCGCGTCGCACGTTAATTCCTGTCTTTCTCCCGGAGAAACAAACTCACATGCATCCTTCTCCCACTGGCAGTGAAGCAGCAAATGCAGGCATGCGTCTTTATTGTTCGTCTGCCACGAGGGTCGTGTTTATGCCGCGGTTTTTGCCTTGTCGTGAGTGAAGAAACGTCAATCGCGGCTGTATTACACGGGAACAATGAGAGGACGAAGCTCATCCTGTGGAGAGCGGACGCCCGGATCACCAGCGTTTCCCTTTGTCTGGGTGGATTTTACTGCTTTGTGGTGGTTAGTGACACCATTGGAGTGCGTTCTTCTGTTGTTCCGAGACTCTTGGTTCATCGATAAGGTGGGGGCTTGTGGGCGACCATCGGAACGGAAGACGTAGTGGGACTGTATCGTCGCTGGCATCCGGCGCTTAGGCTGGGCTCATCGTGTCGAATAAACTTCACAACATACTCTGGATTTTCCTTTGTTTGCGGTGGGAATTCACCCCATCGAAAAGCTGCACCCCAAGATCTAAGACACCGGGCGCAACGATTTGAATCATTTGATACTGAAGCGTTATCACAGGTTGGATGGGGATGCGAATATCAAATCGGCGCAGGCACCACGTCGAAAGATTCCATTTCCTTTGTTGCCATGCTGCAATGCACGGCCGGCTCTTCGCGGTTTCAATCAATCCGAGCACACGTATTGTGGATAATGTAGCCAGTGACGACGTGAACCTGCCAGTGAAATATTAATCGCAAAATCCTGAGCCGATAAAAGGCTCGTCGCGCTGAGGGATGGCTGAGCAACTGGCCCTCCCAATTTCCCCCCACTCCCCCCCTCACTGGTGTCGCTCAGTCAGTCATCGTCGGATCGGCCACAGTCTCGCGATCGTATTCTCCTCCATCCACACTATTTTGCTATGCACCATAAGCTCCCTCTGCTCGCTGCCTTTCTTGAGGTTGGCGCCGCAGGAGTTTATGTTCATAGCCAAAATAGTTGGATGGAGAAGGCGATGATCATGTCTCTGTGTGCCAGTGCTTCAAGTTGACACGACTCGGAGCCTCAGTGGCTCGGCCTACGCAGCGGCCGTCGCAGCGCGCATAACCGTATTTGCATTGCCCCAGTCCTCTCCTCTTCCATCTCCTGACTTGCTGACCAGTACTCTCAGATATTGGTAGCTGGTGATTTTCGTAGTTACTTACTCCAAGAAGGGTTATCGCAGCAGCTTGATTAGATTAGATTTGAGCCATAGATTAGATTTCATCCACTGTCACGGCATAACGAGCACAGCCCCTCTGATTCCAAAGCTTCTCCCGGTTGGCCATGACATCGAACTCAGAAATGCCCACTGCTCCTTTCAACGACTCTACCGCTGACACCATTCTGCGGTCCGTCGACGGTGTCGACTTTCTCGTGCACTCCTCCTTGCTCTCGCTCGCGTCGCCGGTGTTCCGGACCATGTTCTCTCTCCCGCAAGCCGCGTCGGAGCCCAGGGACGGCTTGAAAACCGTCCAGCTAACCGAGCAGGCCACAGAAATCGATGACATGCTCCGCTTCTGGTATCCTGGGGCCCATCCACACATTCGTTCCATCGACCATCTTGCGGATATCATTCAGCTTGCCATAGGCAAATACGACATGGAAACGCTAGTGCCCATGGCCAAAGTCTTCCTTGCGCAGTACCTCTCCTCAGATGCTCTCACGGTTTTTGCCGTCGCATTTCGTTTTGGATGGGAGGAGTCGGTTCAATCTGCTGCTCGGGAGTGCCTGAAGCTCCCATTGCGCAGCGCGAGCCAGTCTTTGTCAAAGGCGTGGATTCATACGTCGGGAACGGCATATCATGCGCTGATTGAATATCATCTGCGCTGTGGAGATGCAATACGGGCTTTACCGCAGGAAGCCACAAGTGGGTGGATACTACGATGGCCACCGCATTTTCCCGCATCCTGCTGCAGCCTGACCTGGACAGGTGAACTTTGCGGACGCGCTGCGTGGCTAAGCACCTTCTTCATCCAATACTGTGACAAGCTGTCGTATGCGCCAAGAGCGGGAGTAGACGCCAGTTGGGTTATGGACAATCTGGTCGCCCCACAAAGCGGCTTTTGCCATAAATGCCGCTCGTACCCTTATCGTGCTGCAATGGATCTGATCGACAACGTGTGGTCCCCGTTGGCCACATCCAAAATAGCTGAGGTCTGTCTGTCATGTCTCTCGGGCTTAGTAACCATCACTGAAATGCACTACAGATTCAGCTAATACTGTGACTTTATTTTTGAGGAGCGCTACTCCATAAGTACTACTTATTAGAGTCTTATGTCGAGCATGTCATATGCAAGGCGGCAGCGGCGGCGCCACCATCTCAATCTGGCGCGACATGACTGACATTCTGCTCGGACTATTCCATACATATAAGACTTGGACTGTCTCCAATCTTTCAGCCTGCGAGGCATGGACAATGACCCAGAGTGTCCTTGTCTATCAGCGGATCCTGATATCGCGGGAATAGGAGTACGTAGATGCCACAATCAGTCCCCCTCTCAATCTGACTATCATTTCCAGACCACCGTTGCCTTCGTTGCAACGGCATCCATTACACTCTTGTGCTCCTTCCTGGCACTGAGTTTGAACCTGAGCGGAACATCAAATGCAGTCGACCGTTGGGTTTCGCAAAAGATTCAGCAATCCGTCCTCCATCCCATATTGTGCCTCCTTGGTACTTCTCCAATCGATATTCCAACGAAGTTCAAGAGAACGCGGCGCGTCATGACGAGGGTGTTTTTCCCGCTGGTTTTCTCACTGGGCGACACGCAGCTGTTCACCGGCCTGGCGATCTTGATTTCCGGGGCGATCCGCTTGTGGTCCGACGCGCCGCTGTCAGTGTACCACTTCACGATTATCGCTGACCTGTCTTGGTTAGCAAGCGACGCGCAGCTAATCGCCTTCTTCACGCTTTTCCAATGCGTCAGGTCCGCCTCCATGACCGCCAATCACAATGGACCCTCGCAAACACCGGTCGACTCGGAGGACGGTATTGAGCCCCCCGACATCGAACCATACGTGTATCTCCCCTCGCGCATTTTTCGCGCACTAGGAATGCTCGCGATGTTCGTCTTGCTCTTGATCATGACCACGATCCAGAGCAACCGCCACTGGTACGATTGTGTTGGCCAGCCTGCAGCACAATTCGTCACCCGCCTCGCACCTGGCGGCCGTTTTCTGGGGTGGACAATATACGACTATATCAGTGTCATCTGGGGGTACACAGCGGCGCTCATCCCGCTATTCGGGCCGACCTATGCCTGCTACACGGCCCTGAAGAACACCCTTTTCGGATGCTGCTGCCCCACCAGCAATAATTCGCGACGTCCCGCTACTTCAACAAGTTTGTGGACTAATCTGGAGCAATTCCTCGACTCGATGTCGTTCAACACCTTGTTCACCGCCGCGTGGTTTGGCGTTGGCACGTGGAGCCTGCTCGTCGACCGGAATGCCGGCGGGGAAGACATCGCGTTCTGTGCGTCTGATGGCAGCGACGCCGAGGCGCAGTGGGGATTCGGCCAGATAGTCCTGATGGTGTTGCTGGTTTTGCCATTGCTGACGGCGCTCGACGCGTTTGGCAGGACAGATAAACCCGAAAGCGGCGCGGCGCTCCCACATTTGCAACTGGGGTCATACACCGTGACGGGTCAAGCCGGTCAAGCGCTGGGTGACGAAGAGCAATTTCTGTTGGCAGAGCGCCCGCAGAGCCCACTCAGATTCTCATGGCCAGAGTCGGATCGGGAGGACGCGGAGGACTATCCACGGGCGTCGATGGAGCACTATATACTGGGCAGCAGCGAACAGGCTCAATATAACACACGGAGTAGAACCATATAATAATAAGGCCTACATGTGAAGGTCGAATTACAGCGATTTACAATTTTCCGAGCATGAGAACTACCTGTTGATCATTCGTCCATGTTATGGTCATGAATAGACGTAAGTACACCATGAATATATATGCATGAATGTCAACCCTGCTCATCTTCGTCCGCTTCATGCCCTATCATGGGGGCCTTGCTACCTGCAGATACGACGGACTGGTAATCGGCCACGTCGACCTGGACAACACCGAACTCGATATATGGAAGCTCGAGTTCCTCTTCGTGAGGGGATAGTTCTGGGCACGGCATTGCGACCAGCAAACCCAGTCGCACTACGGTGGGATCTGACGGTGAGAGTTCCGTCGCTTTAGGCTCGGGAATTGGTGGTGCTGAGGGCGGAGGCGTTGGAGGTGGAGAGGGTGGGTAAAAATAGTGGTAAGCCGTTCGCAGCGTGCGTGGGACTAGAGATGTCGATGAAGGTGGGAGAGTAGATGGAGCATTGGGGAGTGGAGTTGGCGAAACCACTGAATCGGAATGCAGGGGAACGGATACGACACAAAGAGGCTAAGAGCATCAGCAATTCCAAGTCAAACTTTTCGAGACGAGACACACACACCTGCAACCCATTCCATCTACTTTCTCTGAGCTTCTCCGAATTGGCCTCGAGAAAGACATCGAATAAGACAGGCTTGGGCAGTCCCGCGTATGGGTTGTGTCGGCGCCTCCCTGTCCCCCCGGGAAAAGGCATTGGAGGAGGTATCCAAGTTCCATTCGCGATGGCGATTCGCTGTTGGCGTCGAAGAAATAGCGACCTAATGACGATGGCAGCGCTGACAAGGAGAAGAATGACGAGTGTCGAGAGGAAGGTGTATACTGTGGTTGGAGCAATAGTCAGCCAGAGACCGGCAAGAGTTGACAAAGTACGCACGATAGAGCGCTGGGGGCGGCGAATTTGGGCAGCTTGGCCCATTGCACGAGCCCCCTGGATGGGTCCCAGATTGCTGGGGCATAAGCGAGGAGGATGTGAATCCCAGAAGGTCACTTGTAGGCGTGGCCGTCTGCATCGACGAGGGAGTCGACAAAAAAGACGAGGAGAGGTCGCTCCGAGACAAGGAGCGCGATGGCGGTGATGACTGGGACGACATTGCTCAGGGAACAGTGGGATATCAGCCCTCCTGGCTCGATACCGCCCCGCGCAGGCCCTGTTGTCGGACAGCTCACTGGCAGAAGCAAGGGGTGTGGGGAAGATTTTCATTGGACCTTTCCGACGGGGCAGATGTCAATCAACATATGACGCAACGGGGATCACGGTCCGAACTCTTCAAAGCGCCATGGACCAAAGCACATCTCTTTGTGCGGCTCCGGTACGGTCAAAGCACTTTGTGTTTATCAGTATATAATGGGGCCTTCTACTAGGTCAACCGCACTCCCGCATCCTACATTTGCTCAACAACTACGTGCATTCCACAAGAATGTTTCCGAACGTCAACGCTCCCAACTTCGAGGTCCGTTTCCCCTCTTTTGCCGTCTCCGCAAGTAACCTTCTTTACCAGCCTTGGTCTGCCGGCCCACCTGCACCACCAATCCACCGTCCAGGCTCTCGTGGAGTTTACCGCGACGGCGGCTTTGCGCAAAGGTTATATGTCGGGCCACCCGACGTTTGGATGGTGAGTGCATTAGCCAAAGGTTATTCCCGTCCAGCTTTTCATTTTTCTTTCTGTCTGTAGTGTCCAGCCCCAGCACCTGGCGACCCCGAGGATGATTTTGAGGCAGAACCTGCCCCTGATCCGCGTTTGCCGCTCGCGTTGAACGACGGCGAATATGCACCAGCACCACCTAATCCCGACAGAATAGCGCGTCTGGAAAGTGCAGCAAGCAGTATTTCCATCCTTGCGGGTCGTCCCACCCAGGGGCTAGGAAACGCGGCAAAGGCTGGTAGCAAGGCAGTTGCACCCAACGCCCCGCCTAGCCAACCACAACCACAATATGATGCGCAAGGAAGAGAACTCGCGCCTCCATGGCCCCATTATACGCCCGTTATCCCTCCGCCTCGTGAACTCGCTCCTCCTTGGCCATACTATCCACCGGTGATCCGCTTCGCCTTTACGCCCGAGACTGCGCTGCCCGAATCCGTCTTCGATGTGGGGAAGTCCAAATCAGAGGATGTCGATTTCGGATTAAAACTCCAAAAACGGCCACGTGTGTTTTCCCGCCCACCCATCGTGAAAGCGATCTCGACGAGCTCTTCTGTGCCGTCAGCCGCGTATTCCACCGCTTCGGCCTCTGAGGACGAGGACCCCAATGAGCCCTTCCGCATTATCCCGACTCTCTTGGAGCGGTTCCCAAGTTTGCGCTACAGCGACTGCAGTACCGATGACATCGCTGTCGGCTTGGGGAAGCTCAGTGTTGGTGATGAGGACGACGAGTCTGACTATGATGACAACGACTCCGACATCGACGCACACGTTTTGGAATGGCTCGCTCCCCAGGAAGAATATGAGTCCACTTGCTACGATGACGAAACGAGGAAGCTGGCAATGGCAGACTGGGAGAATGATGGCGCTGAGGACATCGAGCGAAACGCATGCCTTGCGCGGGCTTTGGAGGACAATTGGGGGCAGCATGAGTACGAGGATGCTGATGCGGATTCTGAATATGGTGCGGATGACGAAGGAGGCCATTCGGAGGATGGGGAGTCTGATAATGAAGCGTAGTTGACCTATAGTGTTTGACTTTCTCTATCTTGTAACAACAGTCGTCTCATTCCAAATCTGAGAACGCATCAGTCGCTATGTGTGCAGGGTGGATTAATATCGCACTTGAGAGGGCTGTCTTGTGTTATCGTTGTCTACCGACTCTGCGGCGCCTCCTTCATTTCATTCCAAGACGAGTGGCGAGCCATGTCAGGCAACTGGCTATGGGCTCTTGAGTCTTGGGTAACGCATATCCTAGCCGCAAAGGAGGAATCATGGGAGATCGTGGGCGAGCTGGGAGAACTTGCGGGGGGTAGGGACTCCGTGAGCCTGTGAGGTAATTGAGAGATGGTACAGAAGCGTTGAACCACTGCTGGATGCATTGAAAACCGCACCTGCCAATAGACTCGTTCCGAGCTCGGTTTCTAGGCCCTAGAGCATGGAGCTGAGTAGCTATGCGCGCAGTTTTGTAATTTCATGTAGATGGGAGCGGCGCTGGTATTTGAGGCCCGACGGCAACTTGAGGCTCAGAGGGTAAAAATGGTGAGTGTCACGATCACTGCACCGCCTTTTCAGGTCAACCACAACAACCTGCTCAATATCCAAGGGCTCAACGTCAATTCTCAGTACGATATATAGTGAAATCTCTTGCGGCGAAACTTCGACTCAACCGCAAACGACGCGATCACATGTTCTTTCTGCTACGGAAGCTCGTCTCGTCTTATTGAGTTGTTGTTCCGACTAGTAAGTCCTACGTAGTACGTTCCTTACATCCCTAATAAAACATCCCCTACAGCCGACTCCACCACGTAACCCCGTTGTTCAATACATAATTTTTGATGGGCGACAAATCCACCTTGCTCGCCTGCTGTGTCGTTGGCGTCGTTGGGATCAAGGTGCCCCAATTAACAGAGACCTAGTCAGGCGGTGGCACTCAGCAACCATCGATCTCTACCATGAAACGAGCCTCACCGGTGGATCCTGCGGCGGCTTCTTTGCGAGCGACTTTTGGAGCTCGTCGTTGTAGATCGTGACCATCGAGTCGATGCCGGAAGCGAGGCGGCTCGAAAACTGCGACATGACCCCGCGGATAAAGTTAGTGTAGATGCCGTTTATGCCCCCGGTGACGGTGACACCGGTTTGTTGTGAGTAGCTCGTGTACCAGGTGTTCCTAGGATGATTATTGTTTCAGAGCAAGGAAGAAACGACTATTTGACAACATACCACTCTTTCTTCATGCAATTCGACTGCGTAATGAAGGACTCCCGGACGTTCGCGTCGTTCATGTACGAGGCAAGGCCCGCAGTCTGTCGCGCATTAAAATCATTCAATCATCGAAACAGGACTCTTCACCGAACGCATAACCGAAATCATCTTGGAAAATGTGTACTTTTTCCACGTATTCGCGCTTGCCAAGCTGTTCCCGTGGATTGCATTTGCCTGGTTGTCGTCAGCAACACCCGGAAACAATTGCAAAGTGATTTGCCTTGACACCGTTCGCAACCGCCTCCAACCAGGGCATGAACGGGTTTTGGCTCGTCGGGGTGATGATTCTCGCATTATACGGGAAACAGTGGAGAGTGTTCTGGACCATCTAGTAGGTGCCATCAACAAGACCGTGGGTCAACGCTAAGATTGTTAGGACACACCCCTTGGTTAACCACATATTGTGTCAACCACGAGCAGAAATTGTTGTTCACGCCCTGCCATAAAGCAGTCTGGGTTGCCAAACTTGTCATGAAATCGGAAACTGCGCCGAAAGGTGAGCTCGTCCTGAGTTAAGAAAGTATGACGAACTAAGCTGGATTTCATAGATATGCTCGCGGCCGTAGGTCGTCGGTTTGTTCATCGGTGCTGGTCCGTTGTGCGGGGAAAAGGATGGGTCAAACTTGGCATCCGTTGGGAATTGGAGGTCGTACTGGGATGCCGTTCAGTTATCAAGGTAGGAGACGACATTAGAAAGAATCAGACATATAACGTTGCTAACTGGTTGTAGTCCAAAGCCTTGAATGAGACCCCGGGGCAGGCAGATACCTTCACGAGGACGTTTCCGGGACCGGCTGTTTATCAAATTCAAACTTGACTCTGTCGAAATCAAACGAGCTCACCAAATGTATGATTGGCAACGACATCGTCATCAGCATCGTCAAAACCAAGATCTAGAGCCTCTGTCACTGCCAAAGCGCGACGCCGCTCGAAGGCATCCTCCAGCGTATTCTGATTTACTGCGGCACACCATGAGCTGGGCCAAATAAGACTAATGACCAAAACTTACTATCAGAATACGGGTCGTTATCCGTGCCGTCTGCAGCGATCTCGTTGTTCGTTTCAGGGCAGTTGAGCAATCCGGGGATGAAGGGAATCGATATGCGCTTGTCAAGGTGACCAGGTTCGCTTCGAGGGAGGATATGTTTGACGGAATTCTCAGCGGCACGTTTTTCTTCAATGTATGCCGGTCCAAGAGGTAAACCGGGGCGGTCTATGAGCAGGATAGTACCCTCGGTAAGCTCAATTTCTCGACCAAATTCATTTCGGGAGCTGAGATCTGGTTCAGTAACGGAATCAAAGCACTGAATATATATCAGCTGAGAAGAGTTTGAAGCATAGTGGGTGGCCTTGTACCTTGCTATAAGGTGTCTCCTTGTGTTGATAAAAGTTGATGGATAATGGACCCGTCTCCCAGTACAGAACATTGCCAGTCAGGCCACCATCGCTAGCAACTTATTAGTCCTGGTATTACTGACAAATCACAAGGGAATAGCTTACACAGAAACACCATAATCTTTAGAGCATATGCAATCAGAAGATGAATGAATGTATAGGGTTACTTACAGGCACCAACACAGATTTTGCCACTCTAAGGAGATTTGAGAACAAACAAATTTGAACTGATCAAGAGAAACACATACAACTGCATTGGAGACTGAACCATTGATGCTGACACCAGCATACAGATCAACTTGTACAAATGCTTGTGCATCAATGACTGCACCACCCAGGACACTGAGCCCCAGCTGCAGTGCTGGTACAGCATGGATGCTCAAGTCACCTGTAGTCAAATAGCGTCAATCAGGCTGACAAATGTAGGAGTCAAGCATACCAGTCAGTTCAACATTATATCCAGCAGTGAGATCTATTCCATTTGTGAAACTTGCAGGTGAAATTGCCGAGGATACAACATCAGGATCAGTCTTGCCAAAGTTGAAACTGATGGTTGGGAATGTGTAGCCAATGCTTGTTGTGAATTGGCTAGAGACCAATCCTCAGGATGATAGTACATAACCAGAGAGTATACATACCCCGAGACCGAGAGCTCTCCAGTAACTACACAGATTCAGTACTGCTAAATAAAGAGTAGTTAGCTTACTATAGCCTTGAAGAACCAGACTTGGCCCAATTGTAAGTAGTCCAGGACTAATCCAGAGATCAGAGATTCAAGCAATAAACTAGATAAAGAAAACTGACTAATATAGTCCTGGGAACCCAAATTTCGCAAACTGGATCATAGAGGAGTCATATCGTAGTGATGCCTCGCCCTTGAGAGTAAATTGACCATGTGCACTGGCATCAGCCGCTAGTTCAAATTCAGCAGTTAGTAAATCAGAATAAATATCACAAACAAAAATAAACATAGGCTGCTTGAACAGCAGGAGGCACAACAGTAGCTTGGAGATAAAATCCATATCTACTATTGAGATCTGGCATAAAGTCAGTGATGATTCTGCCAGGGAATAAAGACTTAACTGGCTTGGCCAGTTAGAGAAACATCAATTGATGCCTCAAATGTTGGTGGGCCAGGACATGATACTTCTTTATGGAAGATTGTCCACTAAAATAGAACTTAGGACTTATGCAAAAATAAGTTTAATAAATTACTCACAGTGTCTTGCCAATGAAAATTCCGTGAGACTGATGTATCTTTTTCAACTGTGTTGAGCTTGTTTAGCCAGTTCTGCTTAAAGTATGAGATTTCACATCAAATGAGATGCTTATACCAGACCTTGAAGCTCCCCCACCAGCGTTGTTCAAGATGAGGCTCAAGTCCACGTTCCTTGAGCCTAGTATATAAATTTAGTCCCCTATATGTATTATTCTATTAATCACTTACCATTGTCTACGTTCTGGAGGTGATTCCACCACTGTATCCCAGTAGTCTGGCATATCTGTAACATCGGCCCGCATATAAATTGGTCCATTTGATGCTGGAATTGCTGCAAAATCTGTATAAATAGTTGAGCATATCTATAATAGTCAGCTATATCTGTACTGACTATAGTCAAATTTTAGTAAATAAACAGGCTCTGTGTTGGGCTTTTTTGATTGATGGAATGGTGAAAGAATATTCTGGTTTGGGTGAACAGAAAGAGTATCCACCCGTGCATATGGGCCACGACCACAGGTCTTTGGTAGCTTGACAATAGTATGCTCAGCACCACCAATAAAGACATGGGAGCATTCAGATGATGCTAAATCTGCTTTTGCAATACATGGAAACCTGATAGTAATATTAGAGATAAACAGATAAGATAGAATGTTTCTTACTAATTGTGCTTGGTCACTGGTCTGACTGCATCCTGTGATAACCCAGTTTGTAGAAATTTCCAAGGAAGATACTGAATTTGAATTGGGTGAGTCAATAAAAACTTCACCAAATGCAGTATCATCCTCAACCCCATCATTTGGAAGCTGACTGCTTGTGCCAGCACCATTTGAGTTAGTACCAGCACCTGAATCTGGGTCAAATTCCTCCTGGAAACTGAGGCTCCCCTCAGGAACAGTATTGGGAAATATATCTGAGAATGCAACAATATTCTGGTCTTTTCCTGGGACAAGAGTAAGACAATATAGGAAATGATATTAGAAGATAAACAAACCATCATAGTCGCAACAGTATGATCGACTTCCAGACCCTGAGCAAGATTTGCTTGCATCACCTTGAATATCAGTTGTAAGAGAGATTTGACCCAAAGGACATGCATTGTCTTGACCTATATCATATTTAGGCCAGTAGTTTTTTTTAAAGTAAATAAAGGGACTACTCACACAATGGAGGAGTCCCATACCATTTGCAGTTTGCAAATGGCATTCCATCCACACAACAGTATGGTTTAACATCCTTTCCATGACAGGTAGGAGGACAATTCTTGCGTTCATCCTGGCAGAAATCAACCTGGTCAAAGTCTAATTCCCCTTTGCGGATAGTTGTAAAAAGTTTGCTGCCTGAGGGACATGAAGCTGTAGATGGATCCTGGCAATCTAGAGAAATATTAATTGTTATAACAATATAAATATCATAATATACCTTCAAGAGTACAATAGTCTTGGATCTTAAAGTCAGCAGTACAGCAGAAAGCTGATGCACCACCAGATGCACAGGTTTCAGTTGTAACAATTTGCTCTCCAGCATGGCAAGTGGGACTGCATGGGCTAGTATCCATTCCTCGCCCTGATAGCTCAACATCAAGATCAAGTCAGAGGGTTAAATCAGCTACTTACAGGAGCAGGAGGAGGGTGCATTATCTATTAGTTAAGATCAGGTTCAGGTTTTAGGCATGCAATTGTTAAACACAGACTTTTAGGACAACAGACTAAGCGTTCACAGTGTTCTCCAGGAGAGAGTGGGTCTTCTGAGGTTTCTGTCATGACACTGAGAGCTATAAGCAACATAAAATACTGCTCGACTATAAGCACATACATATAACCATCACCACAAGAGGTCATGCCACATTTAGTGATAAAACACTTGTCATTCTTCTCTGTTTCTCCATTGGCAGAGGAATTGAGCCCAGGATAGAGCCCATTTAATGCTCTTCCCTTTTGGTTAGTAATGTTTTTAAGCAAGCCAACTTGTTACATACGAATAGGAGTCATCATCTTGGTCTAAACTCCAGACCATAGATCCACCAATGCACTTGTCTTCAGCATAGCTCATCTTGATAGCAAAGGTATCTGCATCATCAAAGCTGACCCATTGATTTCTAGAACTGGGTTAGATCTGATTATAAAACAAGTAGAAAAAGAGATTGTACATATTCCACACAACATATTTGACACCAGCAGTTTCATCAAGAGTTGGATGAGGTGTTTCTCCATTAGAGTCTGTCCCCTTGAGAATGCTCTGAATTTCATTGTACATTAGAATACCAGACTGCCCACTACAGGGGCCTGCATCAGCACCACTTGCCTGCCAAGAATTTAGTAACTTGGAATAAAAAGCTACAGAAGACAAACCCAAATACATCCAGGCTGTGAACAGTCAGGAGAGGCAAGTGTGAAAGAGCGACCATAAAAGCCAAAGCCCATGACCTCAAAGAGAGCAGAGTTAGTCAACAGAAAGAATAATTTAATGACTTACCATTTGACTAGGCTTGACTCCAACACGCCAATAGAGCTCAAAGGCTGCATTGATCTCAGTGAGATTGGTATGAGCTTCAACAAGCGGGCCAATCCAGATATCTATTGAACCATCCATTACTAACTTCTAAATTAAAAAAAAATCAAACCTTTTCCATCCCTAAGATATATTGATTAGACAGTGATAATATAAAAAGACAGCTACAACCATGTGCCGTGCAGATCATAAGTCCTATAGAATGATAAGTCTGTATAAGAATCTTATAAAACTAAATTTTACATGACATTGACCCAGTCTGCAGATTTTAGCAGGCCTGGAAGATCAAAATTCTGCAGATACCAGTAGGATGATGGTGCAGTACTATTTCAATATTAATATATATTCTTGGAATATGAGTAAGATAAACTCACAAGGTCAAGCCATACTTTCCACCAAATGCTTTCTTGAGTGCTGCCATAAAAGTGACATAATTCTTTTTGTCTGCAGGAATTCCACCACGATCATCTGCAACAGGGTACTCCCAATCAATATCAACACCCTAAGAGGATAGATTAGTACATACAGGTAGAATCCTAACTCAAATAAAAAAGCCTACATCAAACCCATATGTCTCAAAGACTTTGAGTAGTGATGAAATAAAAGTATTGGTATTAGAGGTAGATGCTGCAAGGTTGGAAAAGATATGAGAGGTTGGTGGATCCTAAAATATATATCAATCAGCTGGTAAGAGAATATAATAGAGATAAGTAAAAGGTGCAACAACAACAACATACATTAAATGTCCAGCCACCAATAGCTTTAAAGATTTAGTCAATTAACTGTGGGGGATCTATCATAACACACATAAGAAAACCTTCAGTGTAGGGTTCCGCTTTTTCAGTGCTGTTGTCCGCTTCCATAGATCAGAATCTCCTTTGGTCATTTCAATAACCTGGAAAGTGCTAGATTAAGAAGATAACTATAAGCAAACTCTGGATAAAAATTGAAAATAAATTATACTTGGAAATAAGTGCAAATGCAAAATTTATATGGGTCAACGACTCTGCCGAGATTTTTTCTGGTGGATAAGACATGCAAGACCTCAATGCTATATGAGTCCCATGTATGAGAGGGAAACCAGGAGCCAACCTTCCATTGCCCCATCCTTCATAATATCCAATGCGTTTATTGAGTGCAGACTCTTGATTGGTACCACATGACGGGATCGGCGGAGCCCCACAGTTTGATTGGCACCCATCCCCACAAAAATCCGCTACAGCACTGATTCAGTAAATCCTCCCAATGAAGCAACGATAACGCACTGGTAGTCCCGCAGAATCCGAATTGACTGCAACAGACATTCTGTCGTTGCGGGTGAACATCAAGTATCCAAAGAAAGAAGAGGACATGTTACCAAAGGGCATGTAGTGTTCTCCGGAGGTGCGTCAACGCCACATTCGGCCTTGGCATTACAGTTGCTGGTACAAACATCCGTGCCGCAGAACTTGGACCCAAAGCCGCAAAAGCCGGACTTGCCGTTACAGCAAGCACCCTGATTGATGGTTAGCGAGCCGCAAATCCGAAGTTGGATCACGAACGTTGGAACATGGGATGTCGGGGGTACAAGAGCCAATTGGCAGACTGGTAGAGTTCGTTGGCATATTCTGAGCGTGAACGGAAGTTATCCCAGCATTGGACGCAACGAGTACTTGAATCGAAAATCAAATGGTGAGTACTTTCCCCGCGTGCAAGACTTAGAAGGCTCACATATTCCGGGAATGCGAAGCAACAACACGGAATGAAGCAGAACTGCCAGTGCACCGGGCGCAAGACCTAGTGCGCTGGAGAGCCTCATAACACTTCAACTGGGGCCGAAGGAAGCAAATCGAAGTGGTAGGCGGAAGGAGAGAGCGTTGTGAAGTGACTTGGAAGTGACTCGATACTTACTGAAAGACCTGTCGACTTGAAATTACGACGTCGTGATGATCGTCTGGATCGGATGTTTAGATGTTCATGACTCGGGCGTCCATCAGAGTTTACACAAATACGGAACCAGGATGCTTCGAACCGTCGGTGGTATCAGAATTCGCATCGTGGTTCAACAGAACTGGCGGCCACAGCATCATGACCAAACTACCAATATGTAGACGGTTGTCCGATATTTGCTTTTCATACATTTGGTGCCCAGCGTTAATCTACCTGAGACCCCTTCTAGACGATGGAGGCGGCGCTGAGCGCGGGACTAGACACGGTCACAAGGGACATGCCCTCACCAACCCATGTGCAACTCGAGGTTCGGGGGGACTCCAGAGCGGCTCCGGTCTCATTCGCGCGTTTCAGGTCTTCAAATAACCATCATCCCTGCTCACTCGCGACGCAGCAGAGCCGTATAATTATAGACTTATAGAAAAAAGTTTGCATCCGTATCTTTCCTTCGTTGATCAGGATTCAGTGACAGTTGATGAATGACAAATGCGCTTCCTTCCAACCTCTCACGTCCATGAGGGAGCCGGGACAATTCACCGTTGGTCTGCCTTACCTCAGAAGGGTAGTCAAGAGTCCTGTTTTGCAAGGACGAGCTTTTCTTTCCCCTCTACTATCGACCCCCGTTACTCCTTGGTCCCACTAGTATTACTCAGGCTGTGAACATGCGAAGACTTATCGCAGTGTTTTTCATGTTGGTTCATGTGCCAGGGCTTCAGGCGGACAAGCCAGTTGCAGCCAAGATACACGATGTCAACGTGCGTACTGCTGTGGAGCTGAGATGTTGACTCACACCCGAGTAGATTGCTCATGGCAAAGCTTTTCAAAATCAGCGCGTCCAGGACCTTGCCGCTGCTGCAGTTTCGAGCTCAACCGCTCATCCGTCGACGGTAGCTGCTAGTTCAAGTCATCCCATCACGTCTCCGGCTCCCAAATCGTCATCAAGTTCAATACGCTCCTCCTTGTCCTCCAAGTTATCGGCGTCGAGTGTATCTGGCACCGTTGGCCTTCCTGCGGCAACTGGAGCCGTTTCATTCCAAATATACACGCCAGACGAATTGCCCTCCGCCCCAGCGCCGCCCAGTGCATGTGCCAGTGCACTGACCGCCAGCGTCGCGTGTAATGACACTATACAGTTGTTAGGGTGCGTTCCCTTGTCCAACTCCAAGTTTTCCCCCCGACTCTCAATTTTGTTTCAAGAGGAAACCCTTGGTTCGATGCGCCATCTCTTACAGCTATGTGTACTTCGACTTGCATGGACTCGTTGGCAGCATATCGTTCGGCTGTGGTCAAAAGTTGCGGGACATATCTGATTCCGGGGCCAAACAACGTGTCCTATGCCGGTCAGTGTGACTTCTTGTCGTTCCCAGTGTAACTGATTATTCTTAGCGACTCTGGCTGTGGACACAATTTCCGGACCATATGCCGTTTCGTGTCGGCAGGATTCGTGAGTTGTTGAGGAATCATGACTTGCTCGACTGAGGTGAATGTAGGAGCACCCATGCTTTCTGTAACACGGTTCTCGATTCATTCGGACCTACGCCCCCGCAAGGCATCCTCGCATATCCAACATCAGAACTTTGTTCGTCTTGTATGCTCGGAACGCTCAACTCGACGTTATCGAACCCAATCACCTTCTATCCCGACTTCTACTCGGAATTGCAGTCAGCCCTGAAGATCTGTGGAAGGTAACGTCGCCTTGATTCATGTCAAAGAAGATCAGCTAACCCCAGCAACAAGCGCATTCAACTCGTACAATGTAACCTCGCCGCCAGGGAGTGGCCCCCTCTTTCAGTCTACTGGACCCTCAGGCGGTCCGAGCGGATCTAATGATACCATCGACGCAACTTGTGCTTTGACCGGTCGAAACGTGACCACCACTAATGCGAATTCAACGTGCACAACTATTGCCTCCCAGTTCTCTGTAGGTTGGTATGATATCCTCGCCAACAACCCCACCATTCAAGCAGTCAATTGTACGGCGGGCGTCGGTAGCGGAACAAAACTATGCCTCCCACAGGTAGATCATTCACTAGTTTTATATCTAGCTAATTCTCCGATAGGCTTGTACCACATACACTCCGGCAACAAATCAAACTTGCGAAGACATTGTCGCCTCGGCCAACAAGATTCTCGCTTCATCGAACCAGAGCATTACGACAACCCAACTGATCAGCTTTAATCCGACGCTGGATACGGGCTGTGCCCATGTTAGCAGATCGTGGGGATTGAGTTTATGCATCAGGCGAGTGCAATCCGCCATCTTTCAGTTCCCATCTTTTCGCGGAAGCTGAATTCCGTTGAGCGCTAACGAGTTTATTTTTGGATTATAGTCCGCATGGAGGGTTTCCAGACGTGACTGCTGTGGACGATGGGCCACCACCTGTCCCTACGGCGACAGCTATTGTGTGCGTTATACCGTTCTCAGCTTCATCAGACTGCGCTCTGACGTCTGTTTGCAGACCCCCACCTGGCCCGACTCCCCCGGGCACAACTTCTAACTGTGGGGCGTGGTATTTCGTCCAGCCTGGCGTGTGTATCTTGCACTCGATTCGTAATGTTGGACTGATTGTATTCTTACAGGATTTTTGTACCAAAGTCGCTCTCAACAGTGAGTCGTTCAACGCCACTCCTGCTCGTGCGTCCAAAACTTCTTCTAGATTCGATAACTCTAGATGATCTCATCGAGTTGAACCCCATGGTAAGTGGTTTGTTATAAGCAAATTAGTTTTCGAAAGACATTTTATAGCTGAATCCGCAATGCACAAACCTCTGGGCCTCGTTCGTTCCAATTTGATTAAAAATTGCTTTGCTAACATTAGATCCGTAGTACATGGTATTGCGGTATTTGCCTCCGATTCCTCTCCAATGAATGCCATTAAACTGTCAAAGTTGCGGCATATCCACCACTCGTCGGCGGTGTCCCTCCCATTCCGACCGGAGTTGGCTCTTTTAGTATGGGGACAATCGCGTTGCCGTCTGCGACTCCGGAACCACCGTTCCCTTACCCAACCGGCTATTCTCCTGCCCCACCAAATGTAGCGAATGGAACAATTACGACGGGCTGTCAGTCGTGGTATACTGTCCAAAGTGGCGATAATTGCACATCCGTCGAGACTTTGTTTGTGGTTCCTGTGGCCATCTATACGCTGAATCTCATCTCACTTACAGATTCGCCATTGACGACGGCAACTTTACAACGTATAACGAGGACCTCAATAATCCGTGTCCTAAACTTACCGTTGGCTCGGCGGTTTGCGTGTTGGTAACCAACATTACCCAGACTATCCCGCCCGTTCCGACCAATGCCGCGTCTGGATCAGGTCCCAACGTTCGTTGCTTTCGGCCTCTAACCCGAATTCGCGCTCAATCAGCTTTCCCCAGGGCTGTATGCGTTGGTATACCATCATCTCCGGAGACGGCTGCGCATCGGTCGAATCCAAATTCAAGTTGACTCAGTCCCAATTCTTCACGCTGAACCCAGAGCTTGCACCATCTTGCACAAACCTTGCGTTACAGGAGGCGTATTGCGTGAAGGGGCTCCCCAGCGCGCCACCGACCGGTCCACCTGCCGATTTAGAACCCGGAAGCTGGAGTAACTGTACCACTTATTGTAAGTTGCCGATATTTTGCAGAGGACTGAAGGTAGCGCTGATCCCTTCGCGCAAGATACCGTGCAATCGGGCGATAACTGCAATTCAATTGAATCTAAGTTGGTCTCGCATCTCTTCTTCAAGTTCATCCGACGCTGTTACTGTTTCTTATGCTTCCAAGGTTCAATATCTCTTTCAGCGACTTCTTGCACTGGAACCCCGAGGTCAGCACGACTTGCGGAAGTATACTGTTTTACCTGGCTCTCTTCAAGCTTTGCTGACGGCTCGTAGATCTTGCGCTGGCGGTAATTGCTCAAAGGTTACTGTTCCATATTTTATATTTGTGTAGAGCTACTGCGTTGGTACTTCTGGCGCCTGCGAGCAGAAGTACACCGTCGTCAGCGGGGACTCCTGTGGTGCTATCGAGAGTAAGACCGGGATTTCTGACGCGGCTCTGCACACATTGAACCCGTGGATTGACTCCAATTGCGCCAGTACGTCTACTTTATTTTTTCATGCGTCGATATTAACTGGAAATAGATATTCAAATCGGCCAATCGGTGTGTATCAAGAACAGCGCAGTTGGCCCGCCCACCAATCTGGAACCAGGAAGTTGGAACAAGTATGTTTCCCCGGTCAACTCAGCCGTAAACTAATTAATTGGTCTAGCTGCACATCTTACTGTAAGACCTACTCATGTCATCATTGATTCGGTTGACTCCCACTAGACAACGTTCAATCCGGCGATAACTGCAACCTTATCGAGTCCAAGTTCAACATCTCATTCAGCGACGTGCTCAGATGGAACCCCGAAATAAGCTCCACCTGTGGAAGTGCGTACGAGTTCCTTTGATCGCAGACCCCAATGTTGATGGAGTGCAACCCTTTCTTCTCTAATAGATCTTGCCCTCGCTGTAAGTTGGATCATGACTTGATTGCGCAGATTGTTTCAAGTTGATACTAGAGCTATTGCGTCGGTGTCGCTGGTGGCTGTCAGCAGACATATACGGTCGTCAGTGGAGATAGTTGCGGTGCGATTGAGAGTAAGACGGGTGTGTCAGATGTTTCGCTCCATACCTTGAACCCGTGGATCAACTCTGCATGCTCGAGTGAGTCTGTCGTTTCTGATTTTTTTTTTTTTTTTTTTTGCGGGGACCCAGACGCTGAACCTTGGCAGACATTCAAATCGGCCAAGCCCTCTGCGTTAAGAACACAAATGTCGTTCCGGTCGGGCCGCCGGCGAATTTGAATCCCGGGAGCTGGTCGAAGTAAGTATTTGATTTTATGTTGCTTGACTGACTTTTACTAGTTGCACCACCTACTGTACGTTTTGTCTCTACTGGTAGCAAGCAACACTCATCCTGTGCAGATAACGTGCAATCCGGAGACAACTGCAACGTCATTGAATCCAAGTTCAAGATCGGGTTCTCCGACGTGCTGCGCTGGAACCCTGAAATATCTACAACGTGTAGCAGTGCGTTTGAGTTTGCCCTTCTCGACCGCTCGTCTTGGGCGTTGCTGATTTCCATACCAAGACCTTAACTTGGCGTCGTACTGCGTCGGGGTGGCTGGCGGCTGCGCTAAGCTGTACACGGTTGCGAGCGGAGACTCTTGTGGTGGGATTGAAAGCAAGACAGGTGTCAGTGATGCCACGCTACACGCGGAGAATTCGTGGATCAATAGTGCATGCACGAGTGAGTCTTTTCCCGCTCATTCCCTTGTGGTAGATTGTCGTTGATGATGGTACAGATATTCAGGTTGGGCAGAACATTTGTGTGTAAGTGTCCTAGCAAAGATATTTAAGTTTGTCCACAGTGAAGGGGAACATGCACAGAGAGAGTTATGTGTGATATGTAAGCAACTGCATGAGGTTCGTGCCAGATCAAGGTGTGCAGTCACATCACATCTCATCTTTCTCATAAACGTCGACGATGTCAACGTGGCGACGACTATCGAAACACCGCAGCCGCCGAGCAGCTCAACCTCGTTAATGATGATGCAATGATTATGCCGATGCCAAGCATGTGGATATCTCCCTTGTTTGGTTCCGCCGTTTTTGGCACCCTCCTCGTCCAGTCTGTTTCGGTCCCTCAGGGGTGTCAGACGCAGTCGAGCAATGTCAGCCCGCCGCAAGACGAAGAGGTCGCGTGGCCGGTCCTATAGACAGTGGGCTGTTTTCCGCAGTCTATGCGCCAAGCCAACGACAATCGTCACGCCACGCAAATCATGCCAATGACCTCCGCCTGGCGAGGCCTGGCGCCGGACAACGGAAGTGGTGAAACGATATCGCTTAACGACGCCGAGGAGCCCTAGACTTCTTTCTCTTCCCTCCTCCCATCTTCTTATTAAGATCTTTCTTCACTTCCACCTTCTTCCCTTCTAGTTTTTGGCTTTTTGACGACACCGACGTTATGCTGGGCTCATTAACGTTCCTCTCACTCTCTTTGACTGTATCCGCGGGCCTCGTACCGCACGACCACGCACACAATGCAAGACACGACCACTCGCAGCATGACCACGATGTTGCAAGGGCGCTCCCTGGCCAGTGGTACCATCGGGATGACCATCCGGGTGCGATATGTTGTCCAGAATTGGGCGTTGTCCGCTAAAAGTAGTCATCCAGTCCACGCTCTCTTCAGGCGCCAGGGTGAGACTTTCCCCGCCATTGGTACTCCTGGTGCGTGGCTTGTCCCCTTTTTTCTTCCCTCATCTCACAGTGTTTCAAGAATGGGCTGCGGGCTATCCGCCTGGCCCACCTGCCTTCCCCGATACTACCAAAATGCCTGTCGAATGGCTCAATGCGCTGAAGGACGCTGTGGCACGTGGTGCCATCCCCAACGTCCCCATTTCCAACCTCTCGTCGGAGGGTGTGCCGACCTACCCCGCTGGGGCCAACCCTAATGGCCCCGAGGTTTGCAGCGCGTCATACGGCTGCCGCATCCCAACGGACTTGTGGGACGCTCCCGCAAACCACATCGCCCTTTCATTCGATGACGGCCCGCTCCCGCCGAGCGATGGCCTCCTCTCTTTCCTCGACGAGCAGAAGGAGAAAGTGACCGTCACCCATTTCATGATCGGCGCCAACATTCTAGGCCAGCCGGCGCAGTTCAAGCGCATGTTTGAGCGTGGGGACGACTTGGCAGTCCACACGTGGTCGCACCCGCTCATGACCACGCAAAGCAACGAGCAGGTTGTTGCGCAGCTTGGATGGACGATGGAGATCATCTACCGCTCGACTGGCGGACGTGTTGCCAAGTACTGGCGCCCCCCACAGGGCGACAGCGACACCCGTACCAGCGCTATTGCCCGGGAGGTGTTTGGACTGAGCACTGTTATCTGGAATCGCGAGTGCGTCAAACAGATCTATGTTTTCTACTACAAACTGATGATGTTTCTTAGGACCTCTGACTGGTCTCTCGGCGCAACCCCACCTGGCACCACCGTTGCTAAGATCGCCACCTCCATGAACGAATGGCTGACCGGCCCGAAGTCCCCCGGGTTGATGATCCTCGAGCACGAGCTCTCTGAGGAGGCGGTCGGCACCTTCAAGGCGGCGTACCCGCTCATGAAGTCGAACGGATGGACTGTCGGCTCGCTCGCGACCATCATGGGCAACGGCACCGCCTACCAGAACGCTGCAAGCGACACCAGCGAGGTCGTTCGCGTCGCCAACATTGTTGACGCGAAAAAGCTCAACGGCAAGCCACCCGGCAACGTCAACACTGTCAGCGCCCCCGCACCCGCCGCGTCCAGCCAGGCACCGGGATCGAAAGCCGTCCAGTCTTCCGCAAAGCCGAGCGGCTCTGCAGCTGCGCCTGCCCCGTCCAAGAGTGCAAACAGCGCACGGACCCTTGTCGGCTCCTCGTTCTCTGCTTTAGCTGCAGTTGCGGTGCTCGCGCTCTGGTCATAGATACATAGATACATACCCCCCCACGCATCCTTTTGCCCTGAAATCGACCCTTTATTTTATTCTACTTCGACTACATAGCTCGATTTACTATGGACGATTCTTTATTGTTATTATTATGCCTGAGGGACAGTATGCTAAAGGCTGGAGCTTAGTCGTCATTGACTAGATGGTCAAGCGGTTCAAGCGATTGAAGTCTGCCTGTAAGTATTGTCATGTCAAGTTGAGACTGGCAACTCAAGTTTCGTCTTCCCCACAACCAGACTAGGCTCGGACCAGCCCCCACGGTTACGAAGGAGGAACGGAAATGGTGACCGTAGGTCCGAGCCTACAACCAGACACAGAAAATGATTATACTAGGCTTCGGTGAGGCAGGATGAAGCCCAGCACTTGTTTGGGGCGAACGAACTCGGCGCTTACTGAGCTCGGTTAAATTTAGACCGGCTGACGTGATACATCATTACAGTGACACCTTCCTACTCCTACTCTCCACTCAATCATCCGCGCGGATGTCGGTCCTTGAGACATTGAGCTGTCTGAGAGCGTTCGTCTCTTCATCCACGACTACAACCCATCGCGTGGTACGGCCCAGCGATGGCTGCTCAGCTCTCCCTCCCAACGATACCGGAGGCTCTTGGAGCCAGAGTTCGTCTTCTCTTTCGCTCATTTTTTAACAGTATTGTGACGGCGCATTCCAAGCTCATCGGTACCGGGCTTGACGTTCTACTCCTAGGTCTCGTCTCGAACCAGGTGCGTTCTCGCCAGTCATCGGTCATGTCCTCTGGTCTTACTTGTCAACTCTCGAGGTCTGCACGTATGCCGCCGAGTACGGGAGCACGGACGGCGTGTACCTCCGCTTATACGTCGCCGGCCTCGCCTCCCTGGTCTGGGCGAAGTCATTGGTGAATCTGTGCGCATGCTCCACGATTCCTTCAAGTCCACACTGATTCTTGCCCTTATTATTCCGACCAGCGTCTACGTTTGGGAAAAGTTCATTACTCGCTTTGGCGACCCCACCAACGTCCTCCCTGCGATCAGCACGTACGAAAATAGGCTAGTTGGAAGCTTAGCTATCCTGGTACGCTTCTCATATATAGTCGAGCTTAAGCGCTGATCACCCAACATTTTTTTGCAGGTGGTCACTACCGTCTGCTATGGCCAGTTATATTACATCTACCGCCTCTATTCCCTCTCCCGAAAAAATGTCTACATCACCGCCACTCTTACTCTCATACTCGTTGCAGCTTTTGTCTTGAGCTTTGCCAGTGTATGTCGTCAATTACCCTCATTGTCGTGTCGATGCTAGAACTCTTATCCAAGGCCACGTCTTTCGCCACCCTAGGTGTAGTCGGCGCTCAACGGACTTCAAAGCTTGGTGCGTGATCTTCCTTCAACGTTCTCATACTCATCTCATTCATGCATCTACAGTACGCGCGGCTTATCCGCTGATTATAAGTTCGTCGCATCCACGATTTGTTCGACGCCGTATCTCATTTTGCAATCCGTCATTGTTACAGTTGGCGACATAAGCCTATCTTTCATCACTGCCTATTTCCTCCTCCGATTCCGCCAAAACGCCTTTGCCGCCACTGCCAATAAATTGACTCGGCTCATCGTACTGGTATTTCAGACGGCCGCTCCAGCAACTATCATGTGAGTCCTTGCGTTCTCATCCAATGCTTTCCAATTTGACGGGAAAAATAGCGCGGTCGTAGACTGTGTGCTGATCTACGTCCTGCCCAGTCTTTCGGCGATCCCGTCGTCGTTCTTGATGACACTCGCAAACCTGTGGGCATTCTCGGTGATGTGGACCCTCAACGAACGGAATGACCGGCGGGCGCGTGCCGCGGACGGCCATGGTCAGGCGGCGACGGCCGTTCACACTATGGTGAATGCGAATAGGGCTCCGACACAGAAAGGACACGCGGTTCGTCATTTGGACTCGGCTAACTTGGTAGGCAGCTGAGTTGTGAATATGATAGGTTGCAGAGTCGCGGCCGTCTCATAATCGCGAAGAGAAGCGATGAGGCTTCCACGAGATGAAGGTTTTTGTGGGCAGGGATGGAATAGCAGGCATTATTACATATCTAGAGCGGAGCATACTTATGAACTTTATTTAAATATACTTTCAGTCATGATCATACAGGCTTAAAACTTGGCGTTTTTCCAGTGTGTCTCAAGGCCGTCGTACGGAAGGGCAGATGGTGACCGTAGTAGATTAGATTGAGAGACTTGGAAGGGCTAGTACCACCCTAACCTATGCTAGTAGACCGCCATTTCATGCGGCCAAGCACTGTTACAACAATCAGGACGAGAACAGACCTTATTCGAGCAAAGTTGATTGTGAACATCGTCTCGTCGCGATGTTCTCGCGAAAGAGGATGCAGTTGTATATGGAGACAAGACTCATCGGGAAGATGATATCCTGTTTTTCAGTGGTGACACTGAAACGCTCGAAATACGTCTGATGGGTGGGGTGGGAAATGATGAGAACAGGTAGGAGGTGACAGCAGATCATCAGCTGGTGACATCAAGTCACACATGTCACATAGGGTAGGGTGGGTCAGTGGGGTGCAATTTCACTTTTTGGACTTGTGTCTGGGGAAGGTTCAGGGACATCCAGGAGAACCAGAAATACACAGTTATATGTTTTTAGCACTTGTTGCCAGAGAATATGGAATGTTTGATGGGCCTATTTCCTAATTGGGAGAGTTTGGTGATAAGTAGAGTCCTAAACAATGATATGGAAGCATGTTATTTACATTTTCTTCTTTCCTTCCCATATGGTATGTCTTAAATGGCCCTGACATAGAATCCAATGGGCCTAATGCTGTATCCTGTACAGACACTGATGACAAACAATTTCCTTTTTGGGAAGTCACATAGCTTAGTCATGCTTATGTCAATAGGGTAGGGAGGGCTGGCTGGTGCTTAATTCACTTTTTCGACCCGATGTCTAGGATTTTTTTTGCGCGGTACCCTTGGGAGGTGATGGAGAAGGGGATGGGCTAGACTCAGCTAAAACCCACAACACAACACAAACACCCTAAACCTAGTAGATAGTCCAACAAATAACAATGTGTTCGGGGCTTCTATCAAAGTATATGATAGCTGCAAATATATTATTGTGTTGGAGCTCTGAATATGATATGATTATAATATATTATGCCCATAAAATAATATAATCACATTTGGCCAGCACTAATCTGGTCGTAGTCGATACAAGGTGGTATGGTAGTTGTTGAAGTAGTATAAAGTCCAATCTACATGGCGGCATGTCAGCGTCGGGCTCGGGCCGTATCGGGGTGTCGGGGGGGTCTGACTTCGAGAGGGTCTGGGGAGCATGAAAGGTGGGTATTCGCCCGGAGAATAGACGATATTAGCCTAGCGACTACATCTTGTAAGTACGGTTTTATACGCCTATGATATTAGGGATAGATCAGATGGGCGCCAGGTCCCAGGGCGGATCGGATGGGCGCTGCGTAGGGCCTCAGGGATGAAGGGAAGGGGCTGGAAGAATGTGGAAGCGTCGAGGAGTATGGCTGTATGCGGGCCCGGTCGGGCCCGTGCGCCCTCGTGGCCTGGCGGCCTGACCCGAACCGTGACATCACCCCCTCCGTTGTGGGCGGCGCCTCGATGCCCTATGGGTTCGCATTCCCTGATCTTCCTTTCGGATCTTCCATCGTCCGTTAACGAGTTCTTCGCGGGGCGCGAATGGATTGAGAATATAGAAATCCTCTAGTGCCTCCTCCGCTCCTTCGAGTTTGTCCCGTAATTCCCACGTCCACTCCTCCCGAGGATAGCCTTTCCATTGAATTAAGTACCTCAGGCGGTGTCGACCTTGTTTGCGTACGAGGGAGATGGCCTCTACTTCGTAGTGGGGCTCGCCGTCCTGCATCTCGGCTGGGGGCGGCGGCGCGGCCCGCTGATGATCCGCTACCGGGGCGTTCCAGGGTCTTAATAGCGCCGTGTGGAAGACGGGGCTCACGCGCCAAGTTGGGGGCAGTATCAGTTCGTAGGACGTTTTACCGACTTTGCACTTGACTTCCGAACGGCCCGAATCTTTTGTCGTCTAGCTTTTTCGAGGGCCGATCGCTGGTGAGGTTCGTACCCTGGAGGTATACTTTGTCCCCTTCGGCGTAGTTTGGGTCCGGGGAGTGCTTCCGGTCGTAATACTTCTTCATAGTTCCTTGGGCCTCCTTCATGGCTTCGGCCGCGTCAGCCCGAGCTTCTTTCATTCGCTCGGCAAACACGGTGGCCGCTTCAGTTGGGACCTCTCGCGGGGCTTCGGACCCCTTTCTCGGGTGAAATCCCAGCGTGAGGAAGAAGGGCGAGAACCCTGTCAAGGAGTTTACTTTGTCGTTGAAAGCGAATTCCGCTAGGGAAAGCCAGTCTGACCAGTCACTCTGCTGGAAGTTGCAGAATGTTCGAAGGTACTGCTCGACCTCCATATTCGCGCGCTCTGTTTGCCCGTCCGTCTGCGGGTGGTAAGCCGATGAAGATCGGACCTTGATACCCAGCAATTTGCTCAAGTCGCTCATGAAATGCCCGATGAATTGCTGGCCCCGGTCGCTAGTCACTTCCTCTGGGAATCCGTAATCCTTCCAGACGTGATCACGATATAGCCGGGCGACTCCTTCCCCGGAGATATTCCCCGTGCACGGGAGTACGCGAATCCCTTTACCCAGTCTGTCGACGATCACGAGAATTGTGTTATATCCGGAGGACTCGGGTAATTGAACGATCAGATCAATTGATATGCACTGCCATACCCGGGTCGGCACACTGTTCGGGACCAGGGTCCCTACGGGGCATCTCGGGAATATCTTTGTTCGTTGGCACAACGGGCAGGCCCGTACGTAGGCCTGGCAATCGGTCTGAATCGACGGCCACCAGTAGTTGCGGGTCGTAAGCTCGAGGGTTCGATGCCATCCCAGATGTCCCATAATAGGGATGTCGTGGTGCTGTCGTAGAACCCGATGCCGCAGTCCCATGGCTGGAGGCACGTACACGAGTCCGTTCCGAGTCTTGAAACCGTCATGCTGTTCCCAGCCTTCCGGTTCTCCCTCTTCCCAGAGTTTGAGGACCTTTTCTTCCGTGGCCGGTTCGGCCCGCCGGATCGAGTCCATTAACCCGTCGCCCTCCGTATGCTCCAATGTGAGCATCGTGCAAATCGCGTGTTCCTTGAATAGGCCCGCCGGTAGTAGTACAATGTCCCGGGTATCTTCCTTCCCGTTGTCGTACCCGTTTCTTCGGGATAACGCGTCGGCCCGCCCGTTCGTCTTCCCCGGCTTATGTAACAAGGAAAAGTGATACTCGCTCAGTTCGAGCGACCATCGTGCCTGTCGCCGGTTCAGCTTCTTAGCAGTCATGAAGTACTCCAGGTTCTTGTGGTCGGTCCAGATCTCAAACGGCTTTTCTCCCCTGTTCTGGAGATAATGTCGCCATTCGGTAAGGGCCCGCATAATGGCGAGCATTTCTTTATCGTGGATGTCGTAGTTGCGCTCGGTGTCGTTCATGGCCTGAGAGAGAAACGCGATCGGTACCCATTTCCCCTCTTGCTCTTGCGAAAGGACGGCCCCGGTGGCGAAGTCGGAGGAGTCCGCTTCGACCCGCCATGCTCCGTGATCCGTAGGGAAGTGTAGAACTGGTTCGTCAGTGACCCGGTCTATCAACGTCTGGAAGGCCTCCTCCTCTTCTGGTCCCCATTTCCATGGGCTGTCTTTCCGGGTCAGCCGAGTGAGTGGCTTGGCGTAAGCGCCGAAGTCCTTGATGAATCGTCGGTAGAAGTTGAGGAACCCCAGGAAGCTTTGCACCTCCCACAAATTACGAGGTCGGGGCCATTCGCGCACGCCCGCGACCTTGATCGGGTCCATGCGGAGTTGCCCGTTCCCGACGATCACGCCGAGGTATTTGACTTCGTTCCGCCTCGAAGTCGCACTTGTCCGGTTTCAGATACAGTTGGTTGTCCTTCAGGATCCGTAGGACCTCTTTCACCGTCGCGCGATGTTCGGAGAGGTCGCTGCAGTATATGAGGATATCGTCCAGGTACACGATCACGCGACCCTGGGAGATCAGGTTGGAAAACAGTTCATTCATCATGGATTGGAACGTAGCCGGAGAGTTGGTGAGGCCGAAAAACATCACGAGTGGTTCGAATAGGCCCCGGTTGGTAACGAACGCAGCCTTCTCTTCGTCGCCTTCTTTTATGCATATGTTGTTGTACCCCCAACGCACGTCGAGCTTGGTGAACCACCGGGCGTTACGTAACTTATGCATGATGTCCGATATGAGTGGTATCGGGTATCGGTTTTCTATAGTGATCTCGTTCAGCTTCCGGTAGTCCTGTACGGGCCGTAATTTCCCGTCCTTCTTCTTGACGAAGAAGAACGGGGATGCGTATGGGGATTTTGAGGGCCGAATCCGCCCGGTTGCCAAGTGCTCCTTAATGAATGCGTCGAGCTCTTTCTGTTCTTCTCCGGACAGGGGAATGCAACGTCCTTTGACGGGTTCGGCGTCCGGATGGAGTTCGATGGCATGGTCCCATTTCCTCCGTTCCGGGAGTTTGTCGAAGTCTTGTTTTTCGAAGACTTCCTTGAACTCCTCAAGGTAGTGCGCGGGTATGCTCTCCTCGGTGGTTCGGGGCTTCTCGGCGGCGTAGGCGGCGGCGGCCAGCTTGGTGGCCACGCTCTGCATGGCCCGGATGTGAGCGGGCGCGTTTGATCCTTCATCGTATATCCGGGTGACGAAGAGGCGATCCCCTTTGCCCAGGGGTTCGTTATCCTCTTCGTCCCATTGTTCCAGCAATCGGGCCCGCTTGCACTCGGGCGGGCATCGGGTGAAGGCGATCGCCCCTTCATGCCAGTCGATTACGGGGTTGTGCTTCTTGAGCCAGTGATGCCCGATGATCACGTCACTGTTCCCGGTGTCCGTGATGGCGAACGTGAGAAGTTCGGAGTGGTCCTGAATGGTGACCCATAAGCGGGTGATGTGGGTGATCGCCCGTCGGCGTTGATCGTCCCGTCGG